GCGGGGCCGGACACTCAAGCGGAGACAAAAAACCTATACTAGAATATTGTAAATGTTGCATATTCACCTAAAGTCGGCCAGCGTAATTCACATAATTCACGTATTTCACTCAGCCCAGTGGCGACCTGTCAGACAACGAGTTTGCTTGGGGTAGAGGGTAGCGAGCTAAGTGACAAGATCTGCTGAGTAGTGGAGAGGTAGAAGAACGTAGTGAACATACCAGTGGCAAGTATATGTGTATTACTCGTTGTCCTCGTCCTCAATGGGATCAGGGCCGATGGCTATTTATGTGGCTTTCGCCCTACTTCTGTACAATTCCCCGAATGGGTCCTAACACACAACCCTTCGGAACAACAAGCATAGAGTAATAGAGTGTAACGATAAGCATTCGGTATTGAATCTCTGAGAAGCGTCGAACACTCCGAGCAACAATATTCGTTTCTTGCATAACCTCGGATGCGTTTCTTCGTGGCTCGCTGAGAAAGCCCAGAATTGCTATCCTAGAAAGGGCAAGAACAGAATCATAAGTCATGACGTCGAACGGTGGCACAAGTACATAATGTAATAATACTTGTAAAGCGCTCTTGCCTCCATACAAGAATAGCTGATCTAGGACCATATTATTAGTACCTGTATCATATTACTACAGAGGACACTACAATCAATACACACACACCCGCCATAACGTGGCGGGTAATGCTTCCTTCAAATGTATTCGACTACAACATTGTCCATCATACTCTCAACTGCAATCTCCTCCCAGTCCCTGTTGCAGTAATTTTTATTATTATTATTAACTTTTTTTTTTTTTCTTTTTTTAAAAAAAAGGCTTATAGACTGTACATGCATTGGTAGCAGGGTAAATTGTCGGAGGGAACACTGTTCCGATCCGACAAGAGTCAAGGGCTCGAAATCACGCACCAGTAACGTGACTAGCATGGAATAATCTCTCATAGAACAACAACACATATCAAGCCGCTCAATACTACAATAAAGCTACTATTTTAACGTTTTGTTTTTCTCTTGTCCTCAAGAATTGCTCGGTTCGAAACCGGATAGTCCCACCCGATTCAGACCCATGTTTTACCGAAGTTAATCCTTGCACATATTAACATCAACAAAAATCGCGAGGAGGGGAACTAATTATGATACGGCGATACCCCGCCATCCGTGACGGCCGAGACCCTTGACCCCCCTTGACACCTTGAGTAACAGCTTCACCTAGATCCGTTCGAAATTCTTGAGTTTTAAGGAGCTCCGTTCATTCTAATATAAAACCATATACGCAATTTTCTCTCTCCCACCCGTGACCTTTTCCTTTATCTAAATATTGAGCATATATATATATATATTTATCATATATCCTCTCTCTTCGGAACCCTTACTTTGCTCACTTGGACGTGGCATAACCCCGCAATCAACTTGACATCATTCTACAAAGAGATATTTTTCTCTCTTTCCCTCTTTCTATATCTCTCCTTTACGAAATATTCGTGCTCCCCACGTCGATACTGAAACCTCCGAGCTTCCCTCAATAACATCACGAAACAGACAAAATGGTCGACCGCGCAAACAAGCCTTCCGCCCTGGCCGCCACGCCCGGTCTACCCCCCCAGGCCCAGGTGACCATCTCGGATGGAAACTCTCGTGTCAAGGCGACACTCCCGACCGGCGAGTCGATCGAAGTTCTCCTCCACGGTGCCACGGTTCTCAGCTGGAAGGATGCCGCGGGTGACGAGAAGCTGTGGCTCAGCGAAGCGGCCAAACTTGACGGCTCCGGTGCCGCGCGCGGTGGTATCCCTATTGTCTTTCCGGTAATGCCTTTTAGCCATTTCCCTTCGTACCACCCCCCTCCCTGACAGAGACAGAACCCTGTGTGGCTGACTCTTTTGTTCCGTCTTTACCCCCCAGGTCTTTGGCACAGACGCCGGTCATGCCGTAGGCAGTCTCCCCCAACACGGCTTCGCGCGCAACTCGCGGTGGGAGTTCCTCGGAAAGTCGACGACCGAGGGCACTACAACGGCGGGTGTGAAGCTCGACTTTGGCCTGTCCTCCGAGACACTGGACGAGTCCACGCGCAAGCAGTGGCCCTACTCGTTTGGCCTTGTGTACAGCGTCACTCTCGACCGTGACAACCTCAACACGACCCTCGTTATCACAAACGACGGCGACCAACCCTTCGAGTTCCAGACCCTGCTGCACAATTACTTCCGTGTCGCCGACATCGAGTCTGTCTCCGTCGCGGGCGTTGAGGACTCTCCCTACATCGACAAGGTCGACTCGGCCAAGACCAAGACTCAGTCCTCAGGCCCCGTCACCTTCGCCGGCGAGACCGACAGCGTTTACACCCCCATCAAGGGTGCCTCGAACCCCCTCGTCATCAGCGAAGCCGGAAAGCCCAAGTTCCGCATCATCCGCGACAACCTCGACGACGCGGTCATCTTCAACCCTTGGATCGACAAGTCCAACGGCATGGCTGACTTTGCCCCCAAGGGCGACTGGAAGCGCATGGTCTGCGTCGAGCCCGGAAGTGTCACCAAGTGGCAGACGCTCGAGAAGGGCGACGTCTACCAAGCTGCTCAGACTATTTACCTCATCTAATGTGGTGGAGTAGATAGTGAATACTACTAGTAATACCATGGAAAGAAATGCATGGATTCTTTGAGTCTCTCTTTTTCTCCGTCTTTGCTCTCCCGTTTCTCTATAATTTGTTACAGTATAGAAGCCCTTATATATATCGAGGCGTACTTGGTTCTTGGTGCTGGTTGCATGCCATGGTACATGTGTGCATCGTCGGTGGTGAGGTCATGGGCATGATCATGAATATGAACATGACCGGAGGAGAAATGAAGCGAGGATGTGTGTGTTCAATCGGATGAAGAGGGAGAACTGCTTCACCAAATACACCCTCTAAAAATGTCTACTAAATCATCCTTCTCCTTCTTCTTTTTTATAATGCTCAAGGAACTTCCACGTGGCCACATGATAGCGTCATAGAATACGCCGGGACAAAAAGAAAACGAGCTATAATCTTATTTCCATATCAAGCCATCAACTCTTGTTCTCTTGCGCGAGATGGTCAGCAACCAAAAAGGCTAGCTCGAGGGCCTGCTTTTCGTTGAGACGCGGATCACAGAAGGAAGTGTAGTTTGTCGAGAGGTCGTCCTCGTCGAGCCCCTCGCTGCCACCGAGACACTCAGTGACAGCATCACCGGTGAGTTCGAGGTGGACACCACCGAGGTAGCTACCCTCCTCGTTGTGGATGCGCAGAGTGTCCTGCAGCTCGGAGTAGATGTCGTTGAAGCGGCGGGTCTTGATGCCCGCTGGAGTAGAGAGGGTGTTTCCGTGCATGGGATCACACTGCCAGACGACGCAGCGGCGGTACTCGGAGCCCTCGACGGCACGGATGTGCTGGGGCAGCAACTCGGCAACGCGGTCAGCACCGTAGCGGGTGATGAGCGTGATCTTTCCCGGCTCGCGGTCCGGATTGAGGGTGCGCAGGAGTTCGAGGAGGTCCGAGACCGGCGTAGTGGGTCCCACCTTGACGCCGATGGGGTTGGCGATGCCGCGGAAGAACTCGACGTGGGCGTGGTCAATCTGACGCGTGCGGTCGCCGATCCAGACGAAGTGAGCCGACGTGTCGTAGTACTCGCGCGTCGTTCTCCGGGCGTCCGGCGAGGGCGAAGCCGGCTTGCTGGCGGTGGAGGGGCTGGCAGTCGATGGCTTCTCAAGCAGACGTGTCAGGGCCTGCTCATACTCGAGAAGGAGACCCTCGTGGCTAGTGAAGAGCTCGACAGACTCGAGACCCGTCTGGCGCGAATCGATAACCTGCAGGAAACGCAGCGTCTGCTGGATGCTCGTGGCAATGGCCGAGTACTTGTCCTTGAGGGCTGGGTCGCGCACGTGTCCCAGGCCCCAGTCTAGCGGACGATGAAGATCGGCGATGCCCGAAGAGATGCTGGAACGGATGTAGTTGAGGGTAGCAGCCGAGTAGTGATAAGCTCTTTGTATCACAGAAAAAAGGTCAGCTTCATTATGCGGCTAGCAAGGCGTTTGGCAGGAAAATAAAGGGGTTGGGTTGGGTTGGGTTATAGAACATACTTGATCAGCCTCTGGGGGTCAAGCTCACGCTGGTCCTCGGCAAACCCATTAAGAATGTCACCGCGGAAGCTAGGGACCTCCTTCCCGTTCAGGATCTCATTGGGGCTGGAGCGCGGCTTGGCATACTGGCCTGCCATGCGGCCGATACGGACGATGCGCTTGTTGGACCCCCAGATGAGGACCAGGCTCATCTGCAAGAGCAGCTTGATCTTGGACTCAATGGCATCCTGGCGGCAGTAGTCGAAGAGCTCGGCACAGTCGCCCCCTTGGAGGAGGAAGGCATTGCCCGCGGCCACGTCGGCCAGGTGAGCCTTGAGGCGCTGAATCTCCGTGGGGTGGACAATGGGGGGCATGCGCGAGAGTTCGTCGACGGCACTGGTGAGCTTGTCCGGGTCAGGGTAGGCGGGGGCCTGCTTGATGGGCTTCGTGCGCCATGTTGACGGGTCCCAAGCTGGTTGAGACATTGTCTGATCGTGTTGTGTTGCGTGTAGGAATGTGTAATGAGAGAGGGATGAGAGTATGAAAAGGAGGGCGGTTGGAGGGGCATAGAATGACGTAGCAAATGAGGACCCTATAAGTTGTGGGTATCAGAGGAGGAGGAGGAGGAGGAGGGATTGAAAGGGACGAATACTGATGACTGCACAACTTGTGCGAGATATTTTCCCCCGTACTCCTGAAAGTAGGATGAAGCAGAGGAGAAGTTAGTGTGACTCAAACAGACCTTCTCCTCTTTCTTACAGTAGTAGTACGATGACCCGAACGTGCTCGTACAACGTGGCTCCTCATCAAGTAAAAGTTTTGCGCTTTTCGTACGAGCAAAACCGAGCGTCCTTGGCACTGCTTACTTGTGTGCACGACATTTAAAATCCGTCCACGTGGGATCTATATGGGAAATTTATCAAAAGTATGCATAGACTTGAATCAATGAATACAAAAATCTATCTTATCAGATAATTTTCTCCCGTCCTTGTTCTTCTATCCAGGCTAGTAATTGACTCATCATGCTCTTCTGTTTGTCTTCTGTTCATTTTGCGCGTCTTTTGAACTTTTTTTAATACTGTTGAACCGAATTTGGCAGGTGGGGCCACGTCAGTTATTAAACCAATGATAGGACTGAATTGTGACGTACGAGTCTCTGTTTTTCTGCTGCTCCGTAATTCTGCTCCGCCGTAATAAACGGAAAGAGGAAGAGGGCAATACTAAGGCAATAAAGCGAGATGTATCGCAGGTCGTACGTACTAAGAAAATAGCAAGGCTACCGTACAAATGAAACCCCTAAAGGACGCACCTGTCTGTCCAGAGAATGTAATACATACTGTGATAATGCTTGCAGTGCGGTGCACAGCTACCTGAACAACGTAGCTCACCGTCCATGTCTCCGGCAAATACTGCCCCGCCCTTCGGTCCCGCCAAGCTGAATCCCATCGTCATTGCCTCACCTCAGCTCAACTTTCCCTCACCCCGTCACCGCCGCCACAGCACTCTCCAAGAACCACGAACCTCGAAGAAAACGGATCGAAAATGACTGACAAGCAACCCTCAAAGGTCGAGGAGGGTGCCACAACCGGTGATGTAGAAGACGACGTGCCCCCCACGGCCGCCAAGTCCGCCCAGGAGCGCAAGGCCGCCTCGGCCATGGCCAGCCTCGACGACGACGCCCGACCGACCACCACCGACGCCTCCTCATCCCCGCCTTCCTCGCGAAGCAACGTCGACCAGGAAGCCGTCAGGCAGGCTATGAAGAACCTAGAAAAGGTCACTGGCACCGGCGCCGGCGCTTCCGCTTTCGCCGCGAGCAAGCCCCGGGGGCAAAAGAATGGCCCTGCTCCTGCGGCCCCCCGCAAGAATGTCAAGCTTGACCCCGCCGACGTCACCCTCCTTGTTCAGGAGCTCGAGATGTCGAAGCTGAGGGCTACCGAGTTCCTCAGGGAGTACGACGGCGATGCCGTTGCCGCCCTGAGAGCCTACGTCACCACCGCTGGTTGAGATCCCTTTCTTGTCTCTCTCTCTCTGCTTGAGTTTCTTATTTCGAGCGTCTTGATTCAGTCTTAATTAAATACCACGTTCCCCATAATTAAACAGCATGCTATCCGCCCCCAATACTATCCATGTATACTACCAAGAGCTCAGAATCACATATTTGAGAAGCTCGGGGAAGAAGAAACAATAAATAGAACCCATCATAAAAACGCCTGGTTTATGTTCTGTTCACCCAGTGCTGCTGACTTAAAAAACGAATGAGAGTATGTACCGCAAACAAAACAAACAAGAAAAAAAGGACACATTCGGTGATTGACCGATGACCACATTCAAACTTATGGCTCCTCTTTCCCCAAAAACACAATACGTCTAATTCCAAGTCTTGGACAAGGGACTGGCAATCTTGGGCGCAAACTGCAGACTCTTACGCTTAGCCGCTAGTAGCCTCTTGACAACTTGCTCATCCTGGCTTTCGCGGCCAAACAGACTGCGGGACACACCCATGTCCTGGACAGACAGCATCTTCTTGGGAGGCGGGCACGTCTTGGTGACTAGGGCCTCCATCGTGGGCGACATGCACGTGCCGTCTTCGTCATCGTCTTCATTGCCAGGTGTCTCGGGGAGCTCAGCTGCATACTTGGCAATGGCCTCGGGCGCGGGAGTCTTGGGGACAGGCGTGAGGATGTACTTGGACCAGTCAATGTCATCGTCGTCCTGCTGTTCCTCCGCGTCCTGGTCCGAGGGGGTGTGCATCCATGCCGAGCTCTCCCGGCGGCTACTTCTGGAGCCGCTGTCATACAGCGTTCCGTTCATGTTTCCCAGAACCTTGGGCTCCATGCTCTTCCTCCGACGCCCGCTGTGCGCATGGAGGCTGGAGTCGACGCAGTAGGGAGCCTCGTCGAGCCACTCGTTTTCGCGCTCGCAGTCAAGCACCCAGCTCACTCCGACGCACTGCACGAGGCCGCGAGAGCGGCGCACCTTTTCCAGTGTCTGCGGTCGGCCATCCTTGTACACGACGTGCGTGATGCCAATCTTATCGGACCCGGCATCGCCGGTAGCCGAGTCCCTGGGGTTCCAGTTCCACGTCTTCCTGCACCGAGCACCCATCTGCTTGAGGAGATCTGTAAAGAGCCCGCTGGCGTCGCCGCCGTCGCTCGTGCGCGCCTCCACAAACACAACAGCGCCACGGAGGAGGTTGCGGTCAAGGTCGGGGCGCGTGAATCCGGGGGTGCCGAGAGTCGAAACAGAGTCGTCGTCCGTATTGGGTGTCTTGGGCATAGGCGTAGATGGCGTGGCAGGAGGTGCCGATACCTTCCGAGGGGTCCTAGGCCTTCTTCTCTTTGACGGCGATAGCGAGTTGGCCGTCGCAGCAATGTTGGGGACACCTAGTGATGTGCGACGCGAACTGACACGGGACATGCTAAAGCTCTGCTTCTTGAGGGGGCTTGGGGTGGAGTTGTCGGCTGGCTTCAGCGGCACCTTCGTCGTGGTGTGGGGGAAGAAGGCCGGCACCCTCTGAGGACGTTCGGGAGTTACGGGAACAGGCTCTTCCATCATGGGCGGTGCTTCATTCTCGTCACCGTACTCCTGGCTGGCGTCTGAGAGACTGTCATCGTGGGACTGGTGCTGGAAGCTCCTATCAGCTTGCTGTGGCGTCATACGAGATATGTCTTCTGCCTCCTGAGAAAAAGCAACGTCCTCATCGTTCCAGGACACCTCGTCCGTGGACGAAGACTCATCATGCATTCCCCTGGCAGGCTCCTCCTCCGTTTTGTCGTAGACCCTGGGCTCCGAACGGGATTGCATCTCGTCATCAAAGAAATGACTCTGAGAAGGCTCCTCAACCACCGGCGTAGTAACAGACTGTGCCTGCGGGCCAACACTGGGCTCCTTGGTAGGGCTTGTTGTAGACCACAAGCCAAACTGCTCAGTGAGGGAAGTGAAGCCGATGGTCGACCTGCGACAGTTGCTCTTAGAGAAAGATCGTGTGGGCGTGTCCGAGTGGCTCTTGGCAGGTGACGCCGTCTCGCTTTCCACCTCGGAGTCCATGTCATGGCAAGGGTTGAGGTCCTTCCGGCGGAGCTGGTATCGGGGGTCTTGGTGCTGCTCAACAGCTTCCGCCGACGGCGATCCGTCGCTGGAAGCCAAGTCACCGGTATCTACGCAGATCTCATCTTGAACCTCTGGTTCTGTGTGTACAGGCTCGCCGGCCTCATCTGCGACCTGGACCAGATCCAGTGACTGGGAAGAAGCGTCGGCCTCTCCACAAGCCTCGCCTTCGTCCTCCCTAATCGAGGCTTGGTTGTCGGTAACAACGTCTTCCACTGGCTGCTTAACCTCCTCCATATGCACGTCATCGTCGACCTCTCGAGGCATCACAGCAGAAAGACGTCCGGGAAACTTGATCTTCTCCATGGGCTCCTTGAAGGGCTCGTCATCATCTCCCTCCTCGATGTCATCCTCATCATTATGAAGGTCTCCAGACTGGCCATCCATAAGAAGCCTCTCAGACGGTGTCTTGACCGCTCCCTGACCTGGTGTCGATACGGCAAGGGGTTTCATCTGCGGAGATGCGATGATCTCAGCAGCATGTTCCCTCCGGAGGTTTTCTACCAGGGGCTTCAGACCGGGCATAGCCCGTTTAGCTGGTGAGTGCAGGAATGACCTCTTTACCGATGATGGTGTCTGCTGTGTCTTGGAAGGAGAGGGGAAGGCGAGGGCTTTGATGGGGGAAGGCGGACGTTTGGCAGGAGAGTGAAGGAAAGCGCTCTTTGATGGGGAGGAGATATGGTCTGACGCGCCGCCAGTGATGTTAACAGCCGGCTTGAGCGCAGAGCCTGGTAAGGGGATGGCGCCGATTTTGCGGGCCGGGGACCTCATGGTGTCTTTGGCAGGTAAGGCAGGCGCGCGCCGGGGGGGCGAGCCAAAGGTGATGGCACCTAGGTCAGGCGCGTTGAGGATGGCATTGTTGATCGTTACTGTTGAGTCGTCATCCTGCTCGTTGTGGACGCTTTCGTTGGAGGCACTGCTCGACTTGGCACTGCTCAATGGGGGCCTGATGGGGCTCATCATCAAGGGCTTCGGTTCGTCATCGTTATCGTCGTTGTCGTCACCAGCCAGCTCATCTTCAGACTCATTGGCACGCTGCATGGGAACCTGCGTCACCTTTCTAGGGCTGAGAGGCTTCTTCTTCTCTTTTTTGTCCTCCGACTTGCTTGCGGCCTGAGTGGCGGGCTTCCTTGTGCTCCGGACTGCCGTAGTGCTGCCACCCCGGCGTGCGGGACGTCCACGAATGCCTCCCGTGGTTGTGGCGGTGGCGACAGGCTCCTTCTTAGCTCCAGGAGCAACATTCTCCTTGCCTGTGTCCTGGAACTTTACCGTCTTGCGCACCGGGGGCTTTGCCGCAGCGGCAGAGGAGGCGGTCGCGGCGGTTGCAGAAGACCGGGAACGCGTCGTTGTTCTCCTAGCCGGCTCAGGCTGGGATCTGGCTGCTACTGCTCGAGTGGTCCTGGTCGGCAGGACGGCAGCAGAGGCTTGGGCCTTGGAGGCCTCGGTAGCCTGCTTCTTTGCCGGCCGACCGCGTACTGTTGTCTTGGGAGGCTCCTCAGCAGGAGTGTTGCTGCGGAGGCGTGTCCTGGCTGTCTTCCTGTTGCGTGTACCTTGCGGGACGTCCTGCTCGTCGTCCGAGTCGTCGGCCCTCGCCTTGCGCTTAGCGGCTGTAGACCTCGTGGGAGCAGCGGCAGCAGGGGCAGCAGAAGCCGGTGCTGTTCTAGCCTTGGCGGCGGCCGTGACTATGCGAGTCGTCCTCACCGCGGGCTCGGTAGCCTTAGCTGCAGCCCGGGCACGCGTCACTCGCTTGGGCGACGAATCCATTGTGTGTGAGTCGTGCCGATTCTCTTCGATGATGGGGGAGGGTTTAGTATGAGTATTCAAGAACAAATGGGTATCAAGCTGCCATTTGTATCAAAGCTGGATGTCAAGAGGGAAAGAGTGAGTTCCTTGCGTGGGTCGTGTTTGTTGTGGTCGTGCAGTGTGGGGGCATATGTTGCCGGGCAACTGGACAGGCGAGCTCCATAATGTGACCTGGGGTCGTCCCTCGTCACGTCTGATATGCTGATAGGTTCACTCCCACGCTTTATTTACCAAGAAATCGTCACTAGAATCTCTTTCCTAAATTTCGATCCTGATATTATCATGTATGGCCGCATTGATTCTGCATATTCACACCATGCAAGATGGAAAGAGAGAGGACAACAGGAGTATGGGTCGGGATCTAGAGCTACTATGCAGGCGGTCCTAGATACACGTACCTAGTTCTTGTACTTTACGTCATGAATGTAAGCTCTCTTTGATGTCTCTTACTGGTTTTCAGTATCACGTCCTGCAATATGCTCCGAATGCTTCAAGTTCTTGTCGAATGTGTTCTGACCTGCACAAAATACCACATCCCTGAACCCTTATGCAACCCCCATGCTTCGCTCACTCCCACCCTTCCCTTTTTGAATGCAAGAACGACAAAGGAGAGATAGAGAGAAAAAAAGGAGCCGATCATATAAGTCGTCAAAAAAAAAAAAAAAAACGCAAGCACTAAATGAAAAATCAAAGAGCTGATATGCTAACCCCGAGGATGAATCGCCCCGCTCATATGCCCTGCTGGTGTCTCAGATGTGTGTAGTATGGAGTGGCTGATATTTCAGACCAGGACGTATGAGAAAGGTAATGGCCAGTTACAACTTGCAATACCATCTTGCAGGTTGATATGTAAGAATGATGGAATATGCGGAAATGCGGCTATAAACCAGGGAGGAAGCGATAGGCCAAAGAGGAAAGGCAAAAATATGGTCAGCATGGTGTCAAATCAACACCAGCTCAACTCATCGAAAGGGAGTTCGAAAGGGACCTTCCACCTTGACGTCCTTGACACCCTCAGGCATCAGACGTAACCATTCATTCCAGCTGTCCACGTCGACGTTGTCATCGGCCAGGCGGATGGACATGTGCAGGAGGGGACAGCCGTCGGGCGTGGAGAGACTGCTCCGAAGAGGGCTGTTGACCTGCTGGGAAGCAGACAGCGGTGAGAGGAAGATGGAGGGCAGCCTGGAGTTTCCAGACATTAGAGTGTGAAACGGCGCCGGGAAGCTGGTAATCCTCTCCCTCTCGGGGTTCCGATCCCGGACAATGGTAGAGTAACTAGAGAAGAGAATCGAGTGGACCTCTGCGGCGGACAGTGGGTTGAGCCGGGTGGCACGAGTACGCATGAGCTCCGCGAGGGTTCTCGTGAATGCGTAGGGGCCCAAAGCCTCATGGTGCTCGGCCGAGGTGGCCGCCGTGATGAGCTCCAGGACGCCCGTCTGGCGGACCATCTTGGATGACGGGTAGTAGGCGGAGTCCATGATGAGAAGGGTGTCGGCGCAGGCCTCCTCTAGGATCTGCTGGATGCCATTCCATCTTATCGTCGTTGCTTTATGGGAGTCCTTGGATCTATGGACAATTAGCAATAGGACCTCGATAACACTAGGGGGTCTCCGTGGAATACAAACCTTGCCAGGACCATCTCACGGTTGCCATCGAGATAGCTATGTCCCGCGTAGTAGACAATTTTCAGGACATCCCGGTGGTCGCGTTCCTCAGAAAAGGCGTTGAGCTCCCGTGACAGCCACCGCCACGGGCTTCGCGCGGTGTCTGATGACAAGGGTATGGGCTTGGTCTGCACGGTGAAGTGGTAGTGGTTGTCCAGAACACTAGCCAGCTCCTTGACAGCGTCGGGGACAACAGTGGTCAATATGTCGCTCTCGTCGTCCTGCCAAAACAACAGTAGAACATGGGCGGCCGTGTAGCGGCTGCGGCACGATGTGGACAACATGCGGGACGCGTTGGACTGGAGTTCATTCTTGAGGCTCTCGATACTGGGCAGGGACAGCGATTGTTCGAGGCGCGGCCCCGACGGTAAGGGGGTACGATGGCGCGCTTCACTCAAGGGTGGCCTCCCGGGGTAATTCTGAGGCGCATTCGAGTCGATGTCCATCTCACTGGTCTCGTGCGTGGTCTGGGCATTATGCATGTGCTGCACGGCACTGTGGGCGGTAGTGGCCGGGCTCAGGGGCCGAGCCGGCGCAAGCGGAGGCGCAATGTCGTGCACGGTTGGGCTGTGAGATCTGTGGTACTTGTTGACGACATCCTCCCAAGTCATATTATGGTGACTCGGGTGGCACTTGAGATCGAGAAGGCGGAAACGTATGTTAGCGGGACAGGCGGGTGATGATGATACGGAGGAGAGGGCATCGTTCGAGGAGGTGGAGGAGGAGGAGGAGGAGGAGGATGAGGCCAGAATATGCCGTTTTCACTTACAGCCACTCGTCTACGGCGGCAGTCATTGCAGGCACCGAGCTTGCGAATCAAGGCAGCGCGCTCCCTGGACTGCTGGGACAAGGGGCCGGTACGTCTCCTGCTGGTTCGACGGCTGTTAGAGACGTCGATACCATCCTTGGAATAGAAGATGGACTGGTGCAATGGAGGAGAGGTGTCGGCACTGTACGATGTGGTGTTGGTCTCTCCCGAGACCAGGGTGGCACCAGCTGCCTGGGCAAGGTTGGCGGGTAACGATGGCGACGGTGAGGGGTTCGCGTCCTTCCTCGATGGCGAGGCGATGATGGGCTGGGCGAAGGAAGAGGATGATGGAGGCGTGGCAGCGATGGTGGACCCAGTAGAAGTCGGTGTAGGCCTGCGAGCTGACGGCTCATCTGGCCGAGGAAGAGGGCCCGGAACAGACGGGAAAGGAGGATTAAGATGATTAAGATGATTAAGGTGGTGGTGATGCGTATGATGGTGAAGTTGCGGAGGCGGAGGCGAATGATGGTGAGCGGCGAGAGCGGCCAGAGACGTCTCGGCTGGAGTAGAGGCTCTGAGTGGCGACGGAGATCGGGGACCGGCTCCGGGTGCCGGGGCCGGGGCCGGAGCCGAGGCCGGGGTCGGCGACGATGTCGCCACCAAGGGAGAAGTGGTTAGAGGAGCAGAAGTGTTCGCCGGAGCATCGGCTAGCCTGTGTACAGACTCCATGACTTTCTCTCTCTCTCTCTCTCTCTCTCTCTCTCTCTCTGACGGCAGATTTCCGAAGATGGGCGCACGCGCAGCCTGCCGAAAAGGATGGAGGGGTGCCAAGACGGGCGAGGGCCCTGCAGGGTTGTCCTTCCCTCGAACAGAAGGAGGGGTGACGGGATAGGTGGGGGAAGGTGAGGGACCAACACAAAAGGGAAAAGGGAACAAGGAAACAAAAAGAAAGACGGCAGCGCGCGCACACACACACACGCGCGCGCACACACACACACGCGCGCGCACACGCACACGCACACGCACAAGCACACACACGCACACACACAAGACAGAAAAACAAAATTCGACAAGGTTGAAGCCTATGCCATCCTGACAATCTCTATCATGCGGAGTGGGAGGTGAGAAAACAGAGAGGGCAGGAGAAGCCGCCGACCCGATAGCAAAGATGTAAGCCCATGGGAAAGCACACAACAGCACAGCCGCGAGCCAAGCGCCCAAAAGAAGAGCCTGGGCGGAGACGGGAGAGAAAAAAAGAGAGGTCAGGTACAACTGGCGCTGGTAAGTGAATAATATGTGAGGCAGGGGTGGGTATGTTGTTGGGTGGGTACGAGTACGTGCACTCTTCTCATACACGAAACTCGGGCGGCGCCCAGAAGTCGTCTGGGGGTGGGTGGGGAGGGGACAAGAGGGGGGAGAGCAGAAGAAGAGGGACGGCTAGGAATGGAGGCAGAGCGACCAGAGATGTGAGCAAAGACAGCCCGAATATAAGGTCCGGTAATAGAGTTACGGGAGGAGTAAGACGACGATGAGCAAGGCAGAGCGAGCGAAAGAGAGAAAGCAAGAGAGAGAGAGAGAGAGAGAGAGGCAGCAGCGCATTGCAAGGTACGAGGCAGACACGAACATACGGCGGCGACAAGGCCAAGATTGAGGTACATGTATACTTTTATGTACCTTGGGACATGTATATGTAGGTCTATTTCTGGGACTGATCTAGTCAGAGTCCTAGTAATAATAATTATAGTAAGGAAGAAATAACAGAGACTTGTTGTTGTTGTTGTTGTTGGTGGTGGTGGTAGTGGTGAGGGGGCCCACCTTGTGGCCTGGAATCGACACAAGAAGTTGGAGAGGGTCCGAGAGATGGGGACAAAGGTATCGGAATCATACATGTAGGTATCAAGAGAGGGATATCCAGATGTCAAGGCAAGAAATGAGGGAGGGAGAAGAACGAGAGACATGCGGCAAAACGGTGAGACGGAGAGTATGAAGGTGGATAGGTGATTTGAAGATGGAATATAGATGAGAGCCATATAAGTTTCGGAGGAGAAGGAGCTAGGAGGAAGTAGTAGGAGATGACGGGTGAACAATTAATTGGACGAGTCAACGAGAGTCGTGTTGCAGTTCAGTACGAGTACTCTCCGCTTTTCTTCTTGGCACTGCTTCCCTCCCAGTAATAGTCAGTGATAACGGTGCTAACGTACTACGGACCATGTATACCCGGTCTCCTCCAGAGCAGAGGACATGGCAGGGGTAGAATTCAATGTTTCTCAAGTCCGCATACGCAGCACTCGTGGCATTACGACGTCAACAGATGTAGTCATGAGAGAGCCGGGGATGCACAGCTGGGCATCAAATCTGCCCAGTTGCACCCGGTCTAGGGACGAATGACGAGGACTTGTTAGATTTTACAGCATTACCAAGAGACCGAGGCCTCGACTGGACGGAGAGCAGACGACGAAGAAAGGTTGCGATAGGTCGTAGGAGTGGTAATGTGCTCCGTACATGTACATGGAGACGAGTGGATGCCTGCATGGGAGGGGATCCGTAAAAGGGTGTGGACAGTTGTCAGATGAGAGAGAGAGAGAGAGAGAAAGAAAAAGAAAAAGAGAGAGAGAGAGAGAAACAGAGAGAGAGGGAGAGAGAGAGAACATCCATTACATACGCATGTACGGAGTGACTATGAGTTGATGTTGTCGCTCTCTGACGCATCGTAGCATAGTATAATAGAAAGGCAAACAACCACAACAAAAAAACAAAAAAAGGCCCCCAACTTTCCGCACAATGAAAAAGAGCAGATAAAGACAAACTGGCGAAAGAAAAAGAAAAGAAAAGCAAGAGATAGATAGAAAGACAGGCACGAGTCATAAGAGGGGTAGAGACAAGGACAAAGGGAAATCCAGTCGGGTTCATGGATCATGGCTTTAGTTGGCGGATGTAGTGGGGAAGTGGAGATCATTGAGAGACGAAAAAAAGAAAAGAAGAAGAAAAAAAAAGAGAAAGTCTAGTGCATCGTCGGTGAGGTGCGGGGGGGTTCGGAAAAGCCCTTTTTTCCCCTCCAATTTTTCCAAACCCGGTGACGACCTGGCCCATTGTTCTGCATCATCACTAGCATCACCAGCGGTTAGCACGCGCCGCCCGTCGTATCTAACCTCCGCATCACAGTATGGGTAGTAGTAGGTACTAGTGCTACTACTGATTCATCTCTACTAAGGCGCGCGCAGTGCGTGGTATTATATCCTACCGACTGCAACATCAGCGACCAGTTCCGTTATTCTACGAGCGTCACCTTCCCCGGAGCTCACGGCCCGTCTTACATTGGTTGTGTATGCGTGTTATCGTGACAGACGGACAGACAGGCATGGGACAGACATTTCTGGGACCGTGTCAAGGATCGAAGCCAAGGCCATGATCCCTCCTTCCTTTCTGATGATCTCAGCCTCTTACAAGGTGAGGCAGGGGTGAGTGAAGAGTAGCGAAAACGCCGACGCCGACGCCGATGTTGATGTAGGTGCGTGGATGAGTCGAACCGTCAGGGAGTGGGGGTTGGCTTGTTTACGAGTACTCGTACAGGTAGGTGAGGAGGGTCTCTCCCAGAGTCCGTACCCGCGAGCCCGCCATCGCAATCTCGGCTTCATGCATGTATATGATATTCCCATCTGCTCTGTTCTGTTCTGCCTAGCAAAGAGAGGAACGATGGATGATGGGAGTCAGGCGAGACAAAAGGGCAAGACGTGCGCACGCACGAGACTATAATATACACTTGAACATTTGGCATTGAGCCCGTGCACACTCGTACAGTCAACAAACTTGGGGAGAGTAACAATCAGTCCTCTCACAAGTCCTTGTCCATCTTGTTGACGCCGTCATCTGAGACACCCCCTTCTCCTTTCACGCTTTGCCTCCTCCTCTCCTTTTTAAGGAGGTTCTCTCCCTCTATCTTTCTCAAAAATCGACTAGTAGTCGGCCTCTTTGACCTTCTTCGCATCGCCCCCCCCCCCCCCCCCCCCCCCCCCCCCCCCCCCCTCCTTCCTTCCCTCCTACCCCGGCCTTTTTTCCCGCAGTGATTAGCCTCATGCAATATACTGCTTAGGATGAAGAAGGGACCGGAAAGACGTCACCATCCGTCCATGCAGACAAGCCCGTCCTCGTGTGCCATCCAGGACGGGGGTCGCGTACCCGGGTGGTCTAACAAGGTCCAATAGACGCCTTTGCTTTCTCCGGGGGAAGCCATGGTGTTCTTGGCGGGACGTACGTCAGTTTATTGCAAAGGATCGAAGGTCATCCATTGCCAGTTGCGGGCTCGGGGTAATACCACGCTACGCAGCGAAATACTTCGTAGTTAATATGCATGTTTTTCTTTTTATATTTCTCCGTATACTCCGTGATATAATATAGTACACACATTCTGCAGTGCCGCAATACGACCAATGTAATATCACCAGTACTCACTGAATCCTTTGCTACGACCACTACGGTAATATATGGTAGAGCTGCATGCGCGTACCATATCCCCTTCGGAGCGGCATCCGACCCGACCCGATAGACTCGCTTCCTTGTACTCGCATGGACCCGTTCTCTCTCGATCTCTATCCCGTACGGAGTAAATCAGATGGAGAGACAAGACAGACCGAGATATAATATAACATTATCAGAACCTTTTCGTATGAGTATAAAAACGTGTTGTTATGCACAAGGGGTGTTGAATCACTAGACTGTTACTAGTTTGTAGTAATAGTAATACTAGGTAGTTGGCATTAAATACCAGGGTGGTATTAATCAACGCATATTACGTCTACTCGTACGAGTACACATACATATTATATACGCGCATACTGTAGATACTTCCGCAAAGGATACCCATGTTCTGCACAGACGACAGACTGCTAGGGACAAGAGACATGGATGATCGAACCCCCTCCTCTCCGTCCATGTCATCCCTGACAGGCAGCACTTACGAGTACCCGTAACATATGATGCAGAGCACATCTTTTGTCTTTCCTGAGCAAAGGCACAAAAGTCCATCTGATAATGCGGGCCTACTAGAACAAGTCCCGGGAACCCCAACCAACCAACCAAGGAAAGAAGGCAGATGGATGGGCCTGTGCGTCGAAATAATAACAGCCACATGATTATAATAGTCCGCCAAAGAACAGGGACAGATGAGAGCCGCAAACCCCTCCCGAAAAGAGAAAATTAAAAGGAAGGAAAAAAATTTCTCCCGAAAAAAAGAGGGCCGTATGCAAGACCCTCATTACGGCGTCGTAATACTATTTTCATCGGGTTTTCAATGCTCCCACTCTTCTGTCCCGCCAATGTATCATCTACCATACACGCATCTCTGGGTCTATGCAATCAAACTGGTGATAAGTCATAATACTAAGTCGTTATTTTATAATACTTGTTGGTACAGTTCCTTCAATGTAGATGTCCTCCATACATGTAATCCGCGCAATGACGCCTCACCCTTCCCTTGCCCGTACTCGTCTATTTAATACTCGACAGTTTTACTTAGCCCGAAATCCAATGTTATCTCTGTCGTTGTGAATCAGCCGGCCCCATTCTAATAGAAGCCGGAAGAGATATGCTTCCATATCCTTCTCACCGATAGCTTTTTCCGCCCACTTCTGGCCCTGCAGTGCGATCCACTCGCCGTCATCCCGGCTTCCCACTTGGCCAGGACCTGAGCTTACTTTGTTATACTTGACCTGGTTGGCCGACTCGGTAAAGTAGAGATATGTCGTGTGTAGTCCGTGAAATCTCATGTCGATGGGCACGAGGTGGAGGTACGGTCGAAGGCGTTCTGTGTACCACGACCGGAAGATGGTCGACACCATTGGCATGCTCTTTGAACGAATCGCCCGCATCAGCTGCTCCGGCTTGCTCGTCTTCTCATCTACGAGTAGCACATAGCGGTACTCGAGCGGCTCTTGGTTGTCGTCCATGGCTTCAAACGCTTGCCTAACAATCTCGCAATGGTAACCCGAACACTCCGATAGACCATTCATGCCCACATCAAATGACAGCAGGCTGTTTGCCTCTGATGCTGGCATCGCTTCGTACCCAAACTCATTGACGTCCCGGCCACGGCCCGCCCGTACTACGACGACCTCTTCGTGAGAGCCCGGGTCCAGTAAAAGGTGCAGCAGCCGATACTTTGGGCTGGCACGTAGCACTTGCCCGTTACCGTCTTGGTGCCCAATGTTGCCTCTCCAGAAGAGAGAATCGTAGCGTCTCTTGAACTCCCATTTTATGTCCGGTTCACCCCCTCCGAGAGTCGGCCCGGGGAGAGGAATAAGTATATCGCCGAAGGCGTCTGTTTTGGAGAAGCTGAATAGAGGGCCCAGATCCTGAATCGGATCAATATCCGAACTTGTCAGGAACATTTCATGGAGATTCAACAGGTCCGGCTGTTCACAAATTTCCATGGAATTGTTCCAGCTGACCAGGAATTCGTGTTTTGAGTGACGCTCGACGCAGTCTGGACACAGAGCCGCAAAGTCCCACATCATCTTCTTCCTGCTCTTCGAGTTGGGTGCGCAGGCGTTGATGAGCATATTACGGAATCTGAAGGGAGACAGGGCTCCGGATGACCGTGCGGCGTCAAGCTCGAGGCCAACTTCCCGAGGGTCGAGATGCCCCTCTGCCATATCCGGTAGCCACCTCTTGGAAGGGCCAGCACCCCACCCGAAGCGCCCTTGGCCTTGGCCGTATGTCTCTTCCCATACAGGAAGGACTCGTGGCGACGGGCCGAGGTTGATCGGAATAGTCATGTCTGGCAGGTGCTTTGAGAACTTGCTGATTGTTTCCGAGAGCTCTTGTAATCCCCGCTGCTCCTCTCTGTTTCCAGCATCGCTGTACGTGACCTTTCCATTTCTGATTATGATGGCGAATACCCCAGGAATTGAAGTCATAGCTTCCGCCCTCTCTCGCAGAACCTCGGGCGGATAGCTCCAGAATGGCGAGAGGTCCTCATCAATTTGTTCAAACGTGTCGATAATGGTGGCTCCCTGGGCGTACTCGTACCATGCATCGAAGTTTGGAGGAGGCAGCCTTCCGTCATGGCGCTGCTGGTAGATGTGAGCGCCTGCCCTAATATTGCTGCTGACTGTTGCTTCTTTGACCCAATGGTCGTGCGCAATCTGAGCTTTGTAAATCAGGTCGCTGATAGGGTGTCTGGGGTATGACAGCGGTGCGGTTCTCGATACTCTGAATGAAATGGCCAGAGCAACCCCGACAAGAACGGAAATGAAAACGGCACGCTTCATAAACAAAATATATCTCATTCCGTGGAAGAAACTGAAAAGTACACTGCCGCCCGCGACAATCCAAACAGGAGCAACAACGGGGAGGCTAGAAAAATGGCCCCAATCACCGTAGTTTGAGGCGTTCCATATGGAGTTCCACAAGCTGGCCAGGATGGTGATGACCGTCGACGGAACCAGTGGTGACGTCAAGCAGAGCCACATGGTCACGGAGAACAAGAATATAGCAAAGAAGACGCTGTCAAGCAAAATGAAAATGCCGTAAGGAGCCTCCAAGAAGGAATCGGGACGGCTGGCTCCCCCAAACATGGCAGTAACCACAAAAACGGCCCCCATGGTTAGGGAGGAGGAAATGAGTACCACTCCCAAAGTCCGGAGACGTGCCTCCATGGTCTGGGTCCATGTCAGAACCCTCCAAAGCTGTATGGTAATGGCCACGTCCAAGCATAAGCCGACGAATTGAAGCAGTACGGTCCACGTTCTGCTATCCAAGGGTTCAAAGCAAACATAGGTAGACCGGATCACCCGGCCAGATGAATAAGAGGTACCGAGGGATATGAGAAGCACGCCCGTCGCAGCGATGAGCATGGAGACGCGAGGACCGCTGAACCAGTCGTGAAGATCGTCGAAAACCGACCGCCACGGGTCGTCTGGCTCTGCTGGTATTGGGAAAACGTATCTACGGCGAGAAGAGAATACTTCATAGGCAAAGAGAAGTATGCACAGAAACGACTGACAATGATCATACCCATTAGCAACACTGTTGTAGTCGACACCCGTATGTCATTTGTTTATCCTCACCTCCATGCCAGCGCCGGCACACTGTTGGTGATAAGTCACCCTGTTGAGGATCTCCAGACGCGCGACAATGCAAGTGACTAGAATGAGCAAAGGGTAACGTCTGGGCCGCCTCGGCAGGGTGGCACCGGCACCACTGTCTGGGCCATGGTGACCAGCATCGTCGAGCTCAGTGTCGTCCAACGGGCGCCGGGAAATTGAGAGAGGGCCAACGGGTCCTCTGTACCATTCTGCGAGCCACTCTGCTGCAAAGAATGTACATCCCGTGAAAAGAAACGCCAGGGGCGCAAAGAGCTGGGGGCGTCCTAAGGCGAAGTTTAGGGTTAGCAGGCCACTTCAAAGGATGCGGCTACGAAGCGAGGCAGCAAGTTCAAAACGCGACTTACCAGAGTATGGAAGGCCCTCAAAAGACTTTAATAGATATATCAGGGATATGAGGGTCCTATTCTCCCGTCAGACACCTGTTCAAATCGACGCGATCTCCCCAGCTTTCACTTTCACTCACCCAACTGACGCAATATTGGCGGCTTCGACGGATCGCATAGCGCCAAGAATTTCCCCAACGGGGCTGACAACACAAAGTATAAGTGACGGATCATCCAATCATTACGCCAGCACGACAGATTCAAGATATTTCAACGAGGCTCCCTTCCTTTAATAGAGAAGAATTGATTTTAGGGATGTCTGTAGGTTTCACACCCGGACAGCTTTGGCTTGGATGATGCATGCTCCCTCTGGGGCTGTCCAGGGGCGCCGCGCGGATGACTAAGGCGCTAACTACGTGTCATGGATCTCGTATTTGAATGAATGTAGGGCAGGTACGCGCACGTTAGAGCTCCCCCATTGGGGCTGTGAATAGCTCTCCCTCGGCCAAGACGTTTTACGTTGTATTATACGAGTATTCGTATTCGTTCATATAACATCGTCTTAAAACTTTTACCATCCGATATTCGCTCCCCTGTCTGTCTTCGCGCCATCCTATGCCCTGATATCCCCCCCCCAACCATTTGCCATCATGGCAGGATTAGGCGATGCCCCTCTTATGCAGTATATCGCCGTCCCAGCCGTATGTCTGTTGATAACTTTTCTCGGCTTCTTCTCGCAGTATCTTTTCCACTACTCGACAACGCTCGATCCCGGCCCTCCCTCGCGCAAGGAGACGATTACCTTCAACATCTTACTTGCCGCCTTATACTACACCTACTTCAAGACCGTCTCCGTTGATCCCGGCCGCTATGTCTTCGCGGACCGAGTCCTTGAGGTCGATGACAAGAAGCAGTGGTGCAGCAAGTGTGAGGCCCCGAAGCCTCCGCGCGCCCATCACTGCCGTCACTGCCAGCGATGCATCCCCAAGATGGACCACCACTGCCCCTGGACCAATAATTGCGTCTCCATGACCACGTTCCCCCACTTCATCCGCTTCCTTATCTACGCCAACCTTTCCCTGTGGATGATGGGCTACCTGCTATTCCAGCGCTTCTACCCGCTATGGGAGTCGCGAAACCTACCGTCGTATCTGGGTCCCAGTCTCCTGGCTCTTGTTTCCCTGTCTGCTATTTCAGTCGTGGGCTTCTTCACATCAGTCGCCCTCTTCATCATGCTGGTAACCACAGCTAAGTCCTGGTTGACGAATCAGACCACTATTGAAGGATGGGAGGTAGACCGCCACGAGGCTATCGCCGAGCGCGGCGGTCGTGACTGGTGGGACATTACTGGGCCCAACGGGAAACCAATTCGCTTCGAGAAGATCGAGTTCCCTTACGACATTGGCTTCTTTGCAAACATGGCACAGGCTATGGGCACCAGCAACATCCTTTGGTGGTTCTTCCCCTTTGCCAGCAACCCCAAGATAGGCGAGGATGGCACTGGTAGCGGATGGACATGGGAGGAGAATGGGTTCAATCGCATGAAGGGCATGTGGCCGCCCCTAGATCCGGAGAAGATTCGACGCGCCAACCGCACGTGGCCCGGTGCCAGAAGGGACTACGCAGCCGAGCTAAAAGAGCTGGATATAGGTCCTGAAGAGAGGAAAGAAGCCTTCAGGCAGCGACAGGAGCAGGACCTGGAGCGGAGGAAGAAATTAGTGGCCGAGCTAGAAGAGGTGGACAGCAACTTTGAATTTGTAAATGGCAGCGATAGTGACGATGACGACCACAGCGATAACGATGATAATCGTGGCTTTGATGGAGCCCCAGGCTGGACCAACTCGGATGGCGAACGTCTGCGCGATTATGGCGTAGATGAAGAGGCAGAGGACCTGGCCGACGACAACATCCCCCTCGCAGAACTCATACGGCGCCGCAAAGGTTTCCAGTATGAAGCAACAACGCAAGAATGATGTATGAGGCGGAGAATATCTACGAATGCGAAGAATTGAACATTTAGTAATACGTAAAATACTTGACAAGAAAACTTGTGTAGATATATATCTGTGATATTCTCGAGTAGTTGAAAAAAAAGTAGAAGAAGCGACCAAAAAATCCAATAGAAATCATCATATTCCGCCCCCTTTGCTCCCGTCCTCAAGCAAATCTGCCTTTTTTCCTATTCAATTTTATAATAAACCAGAGCGCTTGAAAGGCATAGTAAAAAGCTCCGAGGAACAACATGACGGCATCAAGAATAAATCTCTATAGAAAAGAATAAGAATTTTGCCCTCCCTTTCCGCGACTGCGCAACAGGAACTGAACGAATAATGGTTCGAGCAAGGCAGAAAGAAAATTTAATCGAAAAAAAGGGGAGAAAGGAAGACTGGTTTCAGGACAAAGACAGCGTTCGAAGCTCTTGTTTTTCTCGCGCGATCATTCTCATTTACCAGTCGTCATCGTCGTCCTTTTGCTTCTGCATGGCATTCTTTCTCGCCAGGAGGGCATCCGCTAGACTGCCACCCAGGCTGCCCTGCGGCGTGGTGCTGCGACTCGTGTCCGATGAACTTCCATTGACCCCATTAAGGCTCATTCCTGAGTCTCGCTGCTGAAGGTCGGCAGGCTTCTGGGCAGCGGCGGGTCGCTTGGCAGGGGGCGCTGGAGGTGCAGGCTTAGATTTGACGGGCGGGGGACGGGCCTGTTCTTCCACGTAGGCGGCTGGCACCCAAGCCTGGCCGGCATCCGTCTTGCCCAGCCACCATCCTATGTAGAAAGTTAGTTTCCGGTGTGTCTCTTCTTGTGTTCTGTCCTTTCTTTCCTTCCTTCTTTTTTTTTTGGGGGGGGGGGGAGGGCGGAAGTGGTTTCTTGACGTACCATTGTCTTCCTTCTGCACGATCTCAATTATCTGGCCGGCGACGATCGATAGCTCATTGTCTCTCTGACCGGCAAAATCATATAGAACCTTAGCCATGATTTTCGGCGGGCCCGCAGGAGGCGGAGGAGGAGGCGGCGGCGCTCTTGTGATGCTGTTCTGATTCCTTGTGTGACTAGGAATAGAGGCAGAAGAAGTCTGGGCGGCAATCGGCGTCGGCGTCGGCTTTGCGATGGCAGGGCTGCTAGCTGCAGGACTGGGGCCAGAACTGAGGGCAGCTGGAGGCTGAAGAGTACTTCGCACATTGTTGGCCCCAGGTCTGGGCTTGGCAGTTCGGTTGCCCGTCAGCCTGGACGGGCGTCCGTTGGGACCCCCGGGCTTGATCAGCTTGCCGCGGGTGATGGGCTTGGGTGGCACAGGCTTGGCCTTGGGCGTCGGTTTGGACACAGATGAAGGGGGCTCCCCCTGCTGAGTGTGGACAGCTCCGCTTTTGTAGAAGTCAGCTGGCATTTGGGAGTCCTTCAGGACTTTGACCTGCTGCATCTTGCCGGGTTTCTTGGCGTATTCAATCATGTCGGAAATTTTGAGGTTGAAGCCGGCAGGCATCACCTGCTTCATCTGCGTGAACATCTCCGTCTTGAAAACACAGTTCATCAGAGGGTCAGGTTCCTGCTGGGACCCGATGCCCAGAGAGAACCAGTCATCGCGGGCCGTCGAGGTACTTATGTACTTGATAGCACCCAGGGGAACAGCCTTGTCAACGGAAATCGTAGGCTGCCCGTTCACCAACGCCTGAGAGATGATGTAAAACTTGCTGCCAGTCACAACAATTATTCTAGGAGTAGGCTTGCTGGACCTGCCAAACTTGGCCTCCAAAATCTCGGCACGACACGAAAAGACAGCTCTCTCGTTGGATCCGATATTGGCTGCCTTGTGAATCTGCGCACCGAACCCTCCCAAGGCATTGACACCCAAGTAGTCACCCAGGAACCTTCTAGAGCCGAGCAGACTCATACGTCGTCGCTCCTTGCGATTGCCAAGGACACGGTGTCCCTGGTCGCGAAGCTGCAGGAATTCAGCGCCAGTGCGCTTCTTACGCCAGAAGCGCTGGATCCGAGTAGCAGACTCGGCACGGTAGGCCAGGTAGGCCCTCCACATGCGCTGGATTCTGGTGGCCATGTTGTGCCAGTACCTGTCCCTCATGTGCTCGAGGGCGAAAAGGGTTTCCGGGGACTTGATAAATGCCTTAGTGACACCCATCTGCCACTCCTCCTTGGGGATGCTCGTATCCTTGAGGATCTGTTTGGTAGCTTCCTCGTACGAACCGTCCCAGGTGTACTCACCAGCGTACGATGTCGCTGGAGACAGGAGGAAGAATCGATCCACGAACTTATCGAACGACTGGCGGTAGGCAAAACCAGCACGACGGATACGGACGTTTTCCTGCAGGCCAAGGTACTTGATCTGGTGAAGAACATTGGGGCCGTTATATTCGGTAGGCGACTTGTTCTCGTTGGGCTTGATGGTACGAATGTACGACGGCTGGCATTTCATCAAGGTGTCGACAAGAGCATTGGCGGACGTGCGGATACGGTCGCCAGCGGAAGGGGGCTGCTTCCGGTTGTCTTGATCAACCTGCTGAGGGAACAAAGTGTGGACAAAGCTGTTGCCGCTATGCTCGACGAGGTTCAGAAGACCTTTGAGAAGCTGGTCCTTGTTCTTATCCGTGATTCCGTCAACAGTGTAGGACACGTCGCCGGCATAATGTTTAATAATGAAGTTTCCTTGACGTGGTGTCAAGTGAGCGTGCGACATAGAGTTGACAGTCTGCATAAAGGTACGGTCGCAGGCGGCGGGATCGGCGTGGGCTGTCTTGGTAGCGTCCTTCATGGCCGAGAAGACACCCGGGGGTCGGACCTGCTCAATGAGCTCGCACACGACCTTGTTGTCAAAGTACTTGATAGGCTTCCACTCGATCTGCTCCCTCGCATACTCTTCCTGCTCTGTCTTGAGAGTGAGCTGGATGAATATTTGCTGGAGCTTCTCGTTGACATAGTTGATGCAGAGCTGCTCGAAACTGTTCTTCTCGAATATTTCGAACCCGTAGATATCCAGGATGCCAATCGTGTTAGACGTGGACTGACGCGACTTGAGGGACTTGTTGATGCGGCTGACGATCCAGTCAAAGAGGTTGCTGTAAATGGCCTTGGATAGTGCATCCCGGGTGGCTGAGGCCTGGGCAGGGTTGGCTGGGGACTCAATGACTTCACCACTTCGAGGTGTCAGGATACGGATGGTGATGCCTTGGATGAGCTGGTCGGGTGTTACCTCGAGAAGATAGGCGGCAAAGTCGACGACAGACCTGTCCACGACCTCAGCATAACCGCCATCGTCCTCGCGGAATTGGATATTGCCAATCCACAAAACGGCAGCCAGCATGCGGAAGATACTGTCCTGCTCGGGCTGGGTTACACCGATGATCTTCATGGCGTTAAGTGTATCTTGAAATTCGGCCAGGTCGTCGATTCCGTCAACATCGAAACACTTGGATTGGCTCGTGTAGACGTAGGTTTCGGGACCCTGGACACCAAAGGTCTGCTGGTATTGCGGCGAGGCGCCCTTGGTGAACTGGTAAAAGATGTGAAAGTTGCGCTCGTTGGCAATCTGGCCGACGACTCGTGACTTTTCGAGAAGGTAGTTGTTGATGTCGGCACCAACCGGCTCGCCTTGGCCGTTGAAGTAGATCTGGAGGTACTTGCCGAAACGGGACGAGTTGTTGTTCCTCAGTGTCTTGGCGTTTCCAAAGGACTCGAGCAGCGGGTTGGTGGCCAGCACCATGTCCTTGATCTGCTGAATATCGCCGGAGCCACTGCCCGAGACGTTGGCAATGTACTGCATGATGCGCTTGGCGGCCTCGGTCTTGCCGGCACCCGACTCGCCCGAAATGATGACACACTGGTTATCGTTATAGGCCTTCATGTTGTAGTAAGCCGACTCGGCAATAGCGAAGACATGGGGCGGCATCTCCAGACGGTTCTTGCCCCTGTAGCTGTCGAGGACCTGGTCGGTGTAGATGCCCAGGTCGCGGAAGGGGTTGACCGACACCAGGACATGGCCGATGTAGGTGTAGATTTCGGCGCCTTCGAATCGTTTCTTAAGGTTCTCGTTTATGGCTTCGTTGGAGACCTTGCTCAGCAACGTTAGGTCGGAAACACCGACCTCCTTCTTCTTGCTAGTTTCAAAGGTGGCCTTCTTGGGCTTTGCGCTGCCCGAAGCGCCTCCTGCCCCGGCCTGGGCGTTCCGGCTCGACTTATCTCTGGGACGCCGTGATATACCCTAGATTCACGGGGGGGAGATGCTCAGCAACCGTTACTTTTTTGCGTGCCCGCGCGGCGAGGTAGGAGAGAGGGGCTTTCTTACCATGGTTGGATACGGAGATGAGTATGCGGTGGTATTGTGGAGAGGGGAGAGAGGGTCGTAGTGTTGGCGTAGGTTACTCTGTCATTAGGTAGCTCACCGCAAGAGAACGAAAGGTGTAGTAAAGGAAGGAAAAGCAAGACAAGCCAAGTCAATCAACCCTCTGAGAGATAGGGAAAAGAGATGGGGCCAAATCGATGCTGTCGCAACCCAGATGATGATGGTGGTGGCTACATGTACGGGTAGGTACCTAATAGTTGGTGGCGGCGTTACTGAATGGAAGTGCCTGGATGGATGGTGATGAAAATTGCCGACAATTTTCCGCCGCAACAAAATGTCAGTCAGTCAGCACAGCCTCATGCGCATACGTAGCAGCTGGCGGCTAGGAAAAACAAAAGGCCAGCCCCCTCCAACTTCTTTTTCTTTCGTTGCCCTCTCACATCAAACCTTGACTCGTTCGACCCGCCATATTGCCCAATTCCTCTGACTCTTACAATAAGAGGCTAGGTTTTCCCATTGTCAGACACGGCCGGCTAGCTGCCTCGGGTTCTCGGCGCTGTACATGCCAGCTTGGTGATTGCACGGTATTTTGTTCCAGAGTACATCTGTATTTTGGCTGCCAAGCGTCTTTGGTCACCAAACCGTGATCCACCGGTTTTACTCGTTGCGTCATAGTGCATGCGCCCATCGACTCAGCGAGAGACTGAGCACTCCGGTTCTCCAGACTTTGAGTAGAAGGGGAATATAAAGTAACTGTTCTCTTTTATATTTGAGCCTCAGCTGTTTCTTCACCATGCCTGCACTAGATTTTGGGTGTCTACCCTCGATTTGCTTCACCAAAGACGATGTTATGTAGCACACATAGACATTGTACACGCGGTTGCTTTAATGTGTTACCTATATCAAGCATCTCAAAAAAAAAAAAAGGTACCTATATTCATGGAAAAGGTTGTACAAAGTGGTACAAAGGTAAAACCGTGTAGGCCGATTTATTTTCATGTAGAGAACAATATATATTTAGAGAAAAAAAAACATATTAAGAAAAGGTCCCCGCAAGGCGGGGAGAGACAATCAGATGTTCAAACAGAAAACAGATATTATTTGGAACCAAGCCTATACACGGTCATCCAGGTTTATCGAAGCAGGTCTGCCGAATACTAAATCCAAGGCCGGCCGAGTGGCACCATCATGACAAGATCTCATCGTTAATTCTTCGTCTCCGCTCCCTGGACGCCCCAATGCACGATGACATTGTTGCCCGAGCAGTCGACAGTGCCCTTGTGGTCGGCTAATAGATACAATGCGTTAGCTATCCTCCCCACATTATACACATTGTGTAATTGATGCATTGGAGCTGTAAATATATGAGTATGAGTAAAGAAGAACTTACGAGCACCATATTGGCGGAACGGTCCCTCTCTGTAGGGAGACGGCGACCCGCTATCAGAAACTCCGGCCGGGATGGAAGACTCCGTACAGATAGTTCCCTTCGCATCTTCAGAGCTGATGTCTTTGGGGCCAGTGTCGTTGGAGCTGGTGTCTTTGTAAGGCTGCTGGTGGACGACCGGGGGACTCCTGTAGGCGGTAGGCATCTGTCTCTCAGAGGCGGCAGGCATTTTGAATGAGATAGGTCTTGATAGAAAAAAGGTAGACAACCGAGTCCGTATTCGATAATGAATCAAGCTGATGATTTTCTGATCTCGAGTCGACGAAGAAGGCCGGGAGACCAGTCTTTTATAGTCGTGACACTTGTATCTGCTACGCACCAAGGGCACGCAACCACCTCTCCCCTATCTCATGACATGTTTCCAACAATCCTCTGCTCACCAGGGCACCAAGGAAGTGTGTGCCCCATCAGAGCCAGCCAGGCAACCGTAGCGTAGGATGAGGTGACAAAGCCACCGAGCATATCCCGGAAAGATTGCCTGAGTGGTACACAAGGCAACTAGGCCTTCTTCTCTCAAGTCTGGTACATCTGGGCTTCAGCTTTCGGTGAAACAGCTTCAGTAATATCTACATAAGAAGTAAGGCGGCGGGGTGTGTGTACGGTCGAAGAAGGCGGCGGTATCATGGGGTGAGGGGATTCATCGGACCTGAGGGCCACACCAGCAGGGTGCAAAATGCCGACAACGAGGATTATTATTGAAAGAAGAAAAAATTGAGAAGAGGAAAGGAGAAGTAGTACGTCAGTTATTCAGCCACGGAGGCTGGGAAAGCCCGAGGCACACATACATCAGGGGCAGTGAAGCAAGAGAAAGAGAAGGAGGAGGTCAACGTCGGTGTGCTGGCACGCTTCGACGGCCAATATGAGGTGAGAATTGACGCCGCAAAGCTACGCGGATTAGTATTGCTATGAAATAGGGCGAGGTCAGCCCCTAGGAGTGTCCGTGTAAGTCCCTGCAAGTACAATAGTATACGTACTCTCTGACTGTCACATTATTTTGTGATACGATACTTGTCCTTTCATGATTTACTGTTACTACTTGTCATACTAGTACGAGTAGTAAGGTAGTCCCAGACCGACCCACAATGTGCGGCGGGGGTGTTAATGGAGGGTGAAGAGTAGGACTCAATGGATCGTATTTTCATTACTGATGTATTTATGTAAATAGAAGCTTCACACAGACTCCACGATTGCTTTCGAGGAAACTGCGTAGACCTAACGATTATGATGTGGGTCGGGGCTGTGAGGCACAAAGGATGAATACCTTGTCGTCCGGAGGTTCAGATGTAATAGTACGGTGCATAGCTGTAATATTGCGCAGATGTTCCTTGCAGCATGCAACACCTGCCACTTGGTTAGACACCACGACACACCGTATTACTTACTTGCACTATCATGGTAACCGCAGAGAAGAAAGGAAGGAAAGAAAGAAATTAGCCACCCGGAGGACACTAGTAATATCAAATCTGCTATACGAGGAGTACAACGAAAGAGTGGTATCACAGCATCTCTCGTGATGGCCATCATCAACTCTGATTATTCATGATGCTTCTTAAATCGCTTCCGCGGCGGCCAATACATGCATGTAATACTTTTTGGTTGCATCACCTCCAAAAAATTCGAACCCAAGTGCTAACAAACAATGTGACTGGCTTCTAGAATGTGGCGTACAGGTTCGCACCGGAGCTGTCAACGGATGTCTTCACTGGGTTGCCTAAGGAGTATAGATTACTGGTCTAGCTCTTGGCATGTATCATGTGCATGTATGTCAGCACAAGCTTGCCGCAATGCAGCTGATTTTGCGAGAGTGACACAGGCCCAAGGGCTTGTCTGTACGACATTCAGGTACCTGCTGGCCCGGCTTGGATGTCATGAATATCTCGCCGGAGCAGTATTAATATCCCCCGACGTCGGTATCGTCACTCACAGGGCGCGACTCTGTTCAGGCAGGTTGATGCAGTCCTGTCATTGAAGTGCAGAGCGAGGGTTCATTTGCAGTTAAGTGGAAAAAGACAAGATTGAACTGGATGTTGTTGTATGTGGACACGGGATAGGCAAACAGCAAAGGATGGAGGAGCCTTCGACGTGCGACGTCAGTAATAATGGAGATGAATACCTACCTACTCGTACTTGCATCGGCCATGTGTTGCTCCTGCGGACCTTTTCCAGGGCGCTTTGGGTGCTTTGACCCTCCTGTCTTGTGCCCCCACTAGCCAAACAGCTTGTTGCCCCAGAGGGGTCGAGAATATTACATGACAGGGCCACGTCTCTCTTCCTGCATCCTACAATACCGTTTCTCTTTCGTCATCGACAATTCAACGCCCTTGCTCAATTTGTCGAGGATAAGCGATTAAAAGAGCAATAATGAAGTCCTCTATTATCTTCTCTGTTTTGGCTTCGGCCGCCGTTGGCATGGTTACCGCCGAGGGTCTCGACGTCAAAGTTACTCAGGCTGTGGAGTGTGACCGCAAGACCCAAAATGGCGATATGGTCTCGATGCACTACCACGGCTCGCTGGCCGAGTCCGGCAAGAAATTCGATGCCAGTCAGTCCCTCGACTCCTCTTTCCCCGATGTCGTCGGATCCTTTGCGGAAAGTCTGGTTTAAAACTGACAATCTGTACATCAGGTTACGATCGCAACGCGCCGCTTACGTTCCCTTTGGGTGCCGGCCGTGTCATTAAAGGGTTTGTGTGACGAAGACTGTCCTACATGATTGAGCTAACGGAAATTTATTTAGATGGGATCAGGGTCTGCTAAACATGTGTATCGGAGAAAAGAGGTTCGTCTGACCAGATCCTGGAAAGCTTGCCATTGCAGCTAGATCTAATCATTGTCATCTCACAGGACTCTCACTATCCCTCCCGAGTTGGGTTATGGAAGCCGCGCCATGGGTCCCATCCCTGCTGGATCAACCCTTAGTAAGATCTTTCAAGTCACACTGAGCACAAGGCTTTCATCTGACCATTCCCAGTCTTCGAGACCGAGCTGGTTTCTATTAAGGGCGTCCCGACCCCCGAGAAGATTCAGTACAAGGATGCTGAAGGAGAGGATGCTAAGCCTGAGGCGGTGAAGACGGACAAGATCGTCGACAAGATTGTAGAGGCTGCCGCCGAAGCCGCCGACGCCGCCAAGACTCTCGTCGCCGACACCGATAGCGACCAGCACGAGGAGCTGTAAAAGGTTTATTACCACGCATCAAGTTGACTAGTCAGCGCCTGAATAATAGCCATCACCGTGTTCATCATTGAACCTTCTGTCCAAAAGTCAGAGTCTTCTGTTTCGGATCGATGCAGTTGGCCCGTCCCTTCTTTTTGTCCAAGGCCCTGGGCTTTTTGTGCTCTGGCGGTCGTCTGTCATTGTTTGCCTCATCTGCTTGCACTGCCTCTCGGATTGTTTGTCGAGAAAGGCATAAGTCAATGTGTTGGTTGAACAGACGCTCGTCCGCAGCCATAGGCCGTCGGCATATTGGGCAATCCCAACACGGCTCTGTAGGCGTTGGTAGTCCGTTCCTAGACTGGCCGGGAGTAGTAGTCTGGTGTCTGGATTCCAGGCGGCTGCGGTCCGCCCGCCAGCCCAGTGAAGGTATCTCATCAAGGGAGTCTTCCTCGGCCTCGATAAAATGATGTTCTCCCGGCCACTGTTCCCATTCTTCGATGCCGTATAATGATTGGCTGGTCTTTCTCTTGTGTCTAATTGGTCCAGAATCGCCCTCTTCACGTCGCTTTAGGCCAAAAAATGCCATTGTGTTAGGGCGCTTTGTACTGACAAGATTGGTGCAGCGGAGCCCTATGAGTCTGAGTTTCAGTTCAGACCTTCCTTGCTCGAGTTTTCTTAGCATTGGTAGAGCGTTGTTGTAGAGGTCATCCGCGAGGCATATTGCGTAGGGCGTGACGACTTGTCGGGTGAAGACCTCAAAGGTGTGAAGCTTCACTTTTAAACATATTGTCCGGCCTTTGCATTCTGCCCGTTTCATGTCCTTTTCCAGATCTTCAGCAGTGCTCCGCAGCTTTTCCCTCACTTTTTCTGGATCTGAAAGCTCCCCAAAGGTCCTTTCCGTACCGATACTCCGCCGTTCATAATCTTCGGCGGGTTGTATCTTAGTCCTGCCTAGTCCAAGGTAACAGTTGAGAAGAAAAGCGGATGTCTTCTCCCCAAATAGCGGCTGGAGGTACTGCCTGTACTCGTAGAGATCACCACAAGTTTTGACGCCAATCTCGAGAAGCTCACGTTCCAGAACACGGCCGATACCACCAGCCTTTCGAGTAGGTAGCTCGTGCATAAATTTCATAATAGCACTACGGTCGTGGGGAAGCACGTATTGCCCGTTAGGTTTGTTCATATTAGAACATATCTTGGCCAGCTTTGAATTAGCTGCGATCCCTGCAGAAACTGTGACCTGGGACTTCTCGTGCACCTCCCGCCGCAGCTTGTCCACAGTCTCGATGGGGTCCACGTTTTTCTCGATGCAGTACTCTGTGATATTGAGGTACGCCTCATCGATGCTAGCACCCTCGAAGTGGGGATCATATACAGCAAGCACCTCTCGGATTTCACGAGCCTTGGCGGTATACTTCTCGAAATTCGGTTTGATGAGAACCAGGTTCGGGCAAAGCTTCTTAGCCACAAACCCGGCCATCCCAGAACGGCATCCGAACTGGCGAGCAAGGTAATTGCAGGTCGTTAGGACACCTCCGCCAACAGCAAATGGCACGTCTTTGAGCTCGGGGCGCTCAAGTTGCTCGACAGCAGCGTAAAATGCATCGCAGTCGACATGGACCACATATTGCGTCAAGTCTCTCGTGGATTCCAGTTCGGCAAGAAGGCGATCGACTCTCCGAAGTTCGCACGACAGGTCATGGTTATCGAGCTGCTTCTTTCGGTCGAGCAATTGTTCAATTTTTTGGGTGAGGACCTTGTCACGGGCTTCTTCACGATTGAAGAACTTGGAGCCCTTGGAGGCATTGTAGATTATCTCGGAGACCTAGGTGGGATGTCAGTGGGTTGAGCTGGCGTAACTGCTACGGTCGGAAGGTCGCACCTTATTCTGATTGACCTTGTCCTGGCCAGCTTTGGTCAAGGATGGTCCAAGCAGATGATACTTGAGCGTCTTAAATTCTTCATCAAGCTCTTCTTCTCGAGCCGACGGTTCCGGTTTGGCATTAGCCGACATTTTCGGTTGGGTAGTTGCTAGAAGTAAATAAAGAAGGCTAACTGTCTAGTAGAGCAATACTGATGCAATACATCGTAGCTCTCAAATAGGACAGTGGTAATAATCCGATCTTGACTTGGGTTCCTTTTCGTATAGCGGGGTGGCCTGGTAAAGAAACGCGTGGCGAAGAAATCATGAGCCTGAAAAGTCGTGAACGCGTTGCGGTCTTCGACGCGGAATCACGTGAACACCATGTTGAGCCCCATTCCCCGCCCCGCCCATCATTGTCTTCCACGCCCATACAGTGCCAGACCTGCCGGTATCATAATGTACGAGTATTATTCTTATTATTTGTTGACCTTTACTACAACAATTAATTCGTGCCTTCGATTAGTGGGACAGAGACGAGGTGGGGAGATATAGGCACCTCCCCTCTCATAAGACTACGAGACGTCATTGGTCGCTCCCCCTCTCGGCAAGCAGCAGTTAAGCGCCGACCAAACCGCCAACTGCAGGGCTACAGGATGGCAGCTAAGGTGACGAGCGAATGGAGGGAAGGTTCTGAGTGCTAATCTGGTCCTATTCCCGCCGAGCCTTGGCCCAAGCGGATGGCCGCAGATACAAAACTTGAGGGGCAGCAGTGCCGACGTCGATGGCAAATCTTCCTCTCCCTCATCCTCTCCCTAAGCTCGTACGAGTACTTTCCTAGCATTCAATCCAACAACTGCGCCAGGGCTGAAGGTGTTTTTTTTTTCGGGATAAGTGCCAGATTTCATAAATCTGTGCTTCTTGAACAGCAGCAGCTCTGTCGCGCACAGGACGTGGTTGTGAAGATGGCGGCTCGACCTGGCGAAGAGAATGTAGCTACGCTGTAAGTCATTATGCGTGCGCACTCACATAATGCATTATCCTGACTCGAGTGCTCTCTCCAAGATTTGGCGACATTCATTACTTTTACTCCCCTGCCGAGGTGAAACCTAGGCACCACCGGTTTGACAAGGGATCGTACGTTTACCTATTCGAGAACGCCAATGAAAGAAGATGTCGAGTTGAGATTGCAAACAACCCGGGGGCAAGCGACCAAGATGCTTTCGATGGCTGTCAGTAGCATCCCTTATAATAGCGTGTGGCGCCATTCGTTGACTCAATTTCCCTAATAACAGTTCTCGATCAGACCCGGGTAAGCTACTCCTACAAGCAACACTGCATGGTGTCTCTGGTCGTCGCCGACACTGTCAATCAGAACGAATGGCACCTACCGACTTACGACCCGCGCAACGAGAACAAATACCATTATAAATTGCACTCGCTCGACGTCTACTTTTGGACGCAGCAGGACGCCCTGCAATTTGTGAATGGCGTGAGAAGGGTTCTGCCTCCGGCGCAGGTCGAGGTATTGGACGAACCGGTCCCAGCAGCCCACCAGCAGCCAGCTCATATGAGCGATGTCGTGCGCAAGCTCGAGACAGCTGCCATTTCTGACCCCCAGTACAACAACGGATCTCTCCCTCCTCCGCCTCCTCCACTTCCTCAAGGCGCGCCTCCTGCGTCGACAGCCCCCGCCCAGCCCGCCAATTTTGCCCCCATGGCGTACAACCCTGCGGCGCCGGCAGCTCCCGAAGCAATACAGCCGCGTGAGAAGACGCCGCCGCCCGATGAGGACCCTCTCAACCCCCTCGCCGTAGCTGTCGCGTATGACTATCAGAACCAGCCCTTCACACCTGGGTTCCCGCACCAGCCGGCGCAGGTGCCACCGGGGCTGCTGAGCCCTGGTCTCCTGAGTCCTGGCATGCCCCAGTCGGCCCTGGCTAGTCCCGGACTACCCCCGGTCCAGCCCGGACTGCAGCGGACGGCCACCATGCCAGCTGGAGCCATGGGACTGGCATCGCCGGGTCTCGCAAGTCCATATGGTGCAGGGTTCCCCGGCGGAGCGCCGCCCCCTCCGCCTCCACTCCAGTCGCAGCTGGCGCCCGTGCACGTCGGGCTGCAGCAGCCGCAACAGCAGCCAACCCCCCCTGTTGCCAGCCCCGGGCTGCCTCCACCACCTTCGACTGCAGGGTTCTCTAACTTCTCTTACGTCCAGCAGGGACAGCCGGCAGCGGTGCCGGCGACAGGTGGCGGTCATGTCTATGCTGTACACCAGCAATATTACCGACCGACGGCGGATGAGGCGGCCGCACAAGGGAGCCCCATGGAGAATATGTACCAGCCGAAGCAGGAGGCTAGGGGAAAGTTGGAGGAGAACGCAGGGAGGCTCGAGCGCGGCATGTCGGGAATGCTGAAAAAGTTTGAGAAAAAGTTTGGATAAAATGGAACTGCCGAGGCCGTCGATATTAGTAGCTGCAATAGTATACTCCGCATGTTTCTCACCTAAGCCCTTTTTTCACCGCAATCCAATGAATGAAAGGAAGCGACTGCGCTCGGCCCATCCAGTTGGGTTAACAGAGACCAGACCGCTTATTTCGATGCTTAATATTATCACTACTTACTCATACTTTTATCGAGTATTATGTATAGGTATAATACATTGAGTATTAGCCTCACAGGATGGTGTCTACTCATTGTCATTGGCAGTGTGGAGAGTCACGGAGGGGACTGAGGGGCGGTGGGCGACTCCTACATCTCGATTCTCGAACCACGTTGCCTCTATGTTGGGAGACGTTGACTCTGCTTGAGACAAGAGCTGTAGCTATATTTATCCTTGCTCGTAACCCTCATTACCAAAGTCAGTAACGATGCACGCTACAAGGCTCTGCGTAAAGTTTCACCATCAAACTGCTATTATATTCTATCGACTGCCAACCGCTGAACATTCATCTCTCGTGGCGTGGCTAATTTGCACCGGGGCTGCAAACGGCCCAACGCCATAAGCAAGGTTGGTTTGCCGTTATGCTGTATATGACCATTGGCCATTGACGATGCACTGGGCGCTTGTCCTCGCCAGCCGCTCCTTTCATCAAGACTTTTTGCCCCTCTTGGTGTGTGGCATTCAACCAAATTCAGACTCCGAGGCGGTTGGTGAGACATGATCATGGCAAACCGTCGAGAGCTAACGCTTTTTCGTATATTTATTCCCCCTCTTTTCAGATGGGCAGTATTATGTATACCTCCAGTAGCATTACCCAATGGTTCCCCGATGGCAAGGCAGAGGCTTCCATTTGCAACATCAACGCAATACTACTCACAGAGTATTATACCTGTACTCGTATATGATGCGTTGTGCTACAACTTAATACAGGATACAGGTAATAATATGAGTGCCGTAATACGTCGTACCGAGTGCATGGGCCACAATGGGCAAAGACGCAGGTCATGGGTCTGTGTCAATCATGCCATGGCCCCTGCTAATTATTTGCCCATGGAAGCGGTAGAACAGTAGTTTGTGGGAGGAGGGTTCAATGGTCAGGGCGGAAGGTAACATTCTGAATTGATGTGGTGATATGAAGCCTGTCCTGATCACCACGTGTGTTCACTGTTCAATAAGTGCTGTCAACTCACCAGGTGATTAACAAGATCGATCGTATACGGAGAGTACGAGTACAGGTGCATACAAGCATTGTACGTCGTATTACCAGTTTATGGGCAAATAATAAGTCTACAAATACTATTATTCATTTCTTTTCCTCTTCTTCGAGTCTGATCTGAGCGCGCTATTGTTACTTAAGCGGCCTGCTGTACGGCCAACCGACAAAGGCGTGTGTTTCGATACTGCTCTAACAGGTACCTGAACCACCTACTTCCAGCTCATCAGGTACGGCATAATAAAGTACCACCACCCTGGTACACGTCACAGCTTATCCCCACCTACCACACGGCGTCTTCTTGGCTCAGCCTCCTTTGCAAAGTAACGGGTTAACGGGTGACAAGTGGAAATTCCGTTCAAAAAAATGGCCGATGGGCCTTGTTTTGCCCAGACCTCTTTGTCGATGGGCTCTCTGGGCAACCATTCTTTTTCTGCTTCTAATTTGTTATTTTATTATCTCGAATATTCATACTTCTGTCCTTCGCCCGCGACACCGGCTTCGTACCCTACCTAAGTCGAATCATCCCCCTTTGAAGGTCATAATACAAGTATTACGGAGTACGAGTAATACGATTTAATCACAGAACTTCCGGGCATCCTCATCTCGCCTGGCCCGCTTATCGTCTACCGCACGAACGGCACGACCGGCATTTGCAGCCGACTCAAATTCGATTGCAATTTTCTAGCATTGCCCTTCTGTCTCTTCCTCGCTCATCGGACGGGGGGGAAGTAACTTGGGAACAATGCATCTCAGCGGTCGGGCACCAGATAGCAGCAACGACAACAAGGGTGGCGGCAATAGCAGTGGTACTGCAATCAAGGCATGCATTGTATGTTACTTTCCTGGGGGAGGGGTCCATCTACGACAATCTTTTTCTACACCAGGCAGACATGGCTGACCAAGACGCTGTCAACAGATTGTCTTGATCGTTCTGGGCATCGCCGGCGTTGTCGTCGCCTCGTTCTATATTTCTCGAGCCCAGCGGGGTGGACTCAGTCTTGGTCGGAAGAAGTCGCGGGGTGGCCAAGGGGGAGGCCTATGGAGTCGTCTAATTGCACCTCTAACAGGGTCAAGACGTCGTCAGTACGAACATGCCTCCTCAGGAGACGACAACGCCGAGCTCGAGGGCACCCACAGAGATGTCGAACAAACACCGAATAGAAATACAGCCACCGTCGACCGCAATACGTCCGTTCGGTCTGTCCTGACCCTGCCCGCCTACAGCCAGAAGGCATCCAACACAGAACAAGTCATAGCCCGCGAAGGCGACCGCGATGGTATGGATGTCGTCATCGATCTCCCTACGGAAGAAGAGCAGGAAGCCCGACGGGAGGAGGAAATGGCGGCGCTATACCAGCTCCGCTCCACCAGGCGACAGCAGCAACAAGAGCGTGCTGATATTAGGCGACAGCGTGAACAAGCCCGGCAACAGGGTGATATGCAGGCTCTGGTTGAGGCTCAGGCCCGCGCGCAGGCACTGAGCACCGGCCACAACGCTGTCGTTGAGGAGCTGCGCCGCGACATCGACCGTGCAAAGGAGAACAACCGCGGACACGTCTCGAGTGTGTCGTACGCCGATCTCGGTGTCGCTCGCCACGACGGTACCAGAATACGGGCGGGCAGCCAGGAGAGTGAGCGTACGGGACTCCTGTCTGATGCTGCCGACATGGGGCACCGGTCCCGCTCCAGAGCCGACTCCGTTCTGTCTCACAGTCGAGACGCTAGCGCCGGCTCGGCCGTGAGCCTAGTCAGTGGCATGCCATCTCCGGACCTGAGCAACCATGCCCGTGCGGTGTCCCTGGACGTACCGTTGGCCGGCTCGAGCCCAGAGCTGGTCGGGTCGGATCTTGGTGTCGAAGCTATACCTCCTCCCGAATACGAAGATGTGCCGCTTGACGATGGTAGTGCTGCTCGGGGGTCAGCAGCACACACTGACGAACCACCCATCTATTCTGGTCCGTATCGATCAGCCTCTATACGGAGCCGACGTAGCCAACATGGCACCGGGTCAGATGAGGACGTTGTGGTGAACGATGCTGCGGATGGCGACAGACCGCGTGGTCGTGGTGTTGGTAGTGTTCCTCAGCTGCCGAGTCTGAGGATTAGCCATTTGCCCTCGATTGTGGTGGAGCCGTCCAGCGCGCATCCAATGGACGACCCAAGGGACAACGGTGATGACCGTCGACCGACAACAACAAATGTATGAGCAGGGAGGTGAAGGAACACATATGAAGGACAGCATACTTCAACCTCGTCCCACCACTACTCTGCACCTCATTCTTTCCTTTTTCTTTTTTTCTCATACAGCAGGGCGGAATGATTCAACGGTCTCTAAATTTCTGCTTTTCGGCAGCATGGAGTTCAAAGGTTTCCAGCATAACTTGATATTTCTTTTTCTCGTTGATAGTGAGCGTTGGCAATTTTGTAGTAGCTTAGTGCGTCAATTCAATTCATTTGTAACGTTTCACCAATCAATCGCTGCCTCCAATGTCTCTGGGTTATTGCATCACGAACATGTCACTTACATCCAGCCTACATGTGAGAGAGGTGGAACAGGCTACAGCCAACATGCAGTCTAGGTGGCAAACAGTGGGGTAAATACACGGGTTCGACACCAGGTGCTTGTACAGAGTTGTACGGAAGAGAAGGCGTCCCGCTGATATAGTTCGTCGTGTATTACACAGCATTTGATCATGAGCATGTGATTAGGCCAGTAGGTGAGAACTAGTAACATCCATGAGGGGGGGGTGTACTTGCAACAAGGTATTGTTATTCATGTTTTGGAAACAGTACGACTCTGTCATTACGAACAGATGTGGCTGCAGCCTCATGTGCCATACTGTGGCGAGACGAAGGAAGGGAGCAAGAGGCTAAGCGTACATGGAGGAGTATTGCCCCTCGATGGATGTGTAAGTGATAAGGAGGCGCTGAATAATTCGTGCCAGGTTTTACATTATTAACGTGTAGGTAAAGCTTAGAAATTCCTTAGCTAATATCTGGATTCTCCCACTACGAGAAGACGCGTGGGGTCTGTGGGATGTTTTGTCAGTCTCAGGTAATGTGTGTGTCTGTGTCCCCCAGGGAAAGAGGAGGGCGGGGGGAGTGAGGAGTGAGGGGGGAAATGTGGGTTTGAGATTTCCAGGTGAAAGTTGGTATATCCGTACTCGTGCCATAGACTGGCTATTAGCATGTAGGAGACTCTGAGAAAGGCTTAGAACGACGCTGCTGGAACCAATAACTCCGTATGCCGCCAAACATTGTCCAATGATATCACGGCGAGACAACCGTCGGGGCTAAGAAGAGGGTCCCGTACGGATATAGCTATTGGCAGTTGCTATTACTGTAGTACCAGCGAAGCTTCCAGTCTCCAACGACGTGATATACTTGCATTAATACGGATTTATTTGAAAAGAGAGCTCTCCGGCCCTCCCCCCATGGTCAACGAAAAGTTTTCTTTCTCCTCATAAACATCCAACATTCCTCTTGTTCTGACAAACCGCCCGTCAAGAATCCACACACAACCGTCGCAATGGCTCCCAAGACTCCCAAGATCGCTGTTGTCTACGTAAGTTGTCCTGCTACTCTTCCCACACGCTCCTGCCCCTCCTACCTACCCCTCAATCATGAAACCCTCCTCGTCCGCCACAACATCACTTTCTTCTGGGAGAATACTGCTGCCCACCTTTTTCCCATCGAGTGGGGAGGCTAGATCATAGACAGACGTGGTTGGGGAACAAGGTGGCGCTTCACATGGCAGGAGAGCCATGATTTGCTAACACTGCTCATCTAAACAGTACTCGATGTACGGCCACATTAAGACCCTGGCCGAGGCTGAGAAGAAGGGTGCCGAGAAGACCGGCGCTACCGTCGACATCTACCAGCTCCCGGAGACCCTCCCCGACGAGGTCCTCAGCATCATGCACGCTCCCGCCAAGGACCCCAGCGTTCCCGTCCTCGAGGATCCTGCTACCCTCGAAGACTACGACGCTTTCCTCCTAGGTATCCCCACTCGTTACGGAAACTTCCCCGCCCAGTGGAAGGTATAAATCAACTCCCTGTTTCCCTAGACATTGATGTACAAGTCGAGAGAGAATTTGGAAAAATCGAGGGTTCTAACAACACGCTTTTAAAGACCTTCTGGGATAAGACTGGCAAGCAGTGGGCCTCTGGTAGCTTCGCCGGCAAGTTCGCCGGTATCTTCGTCTCCACCGGTACCCAGGGCGGTGGCCAGGAGGCGACTGCCCTAAACGCCATGTCTACCCTCGCCCACCACGGCATCATCTTCGTCCCCTTCGGCTACAGCCACGCCTTTGCCCTGATGTCCGACATCTCCGAGCTCCGTGGCGGAAGCGCCTGGGGTGCTGGCACCCTGGCCGGCCCCGACGGCTCCCGTCAGCCCAGCGCCCGCGAGCTCGAGATCGCCGGCATACAAGGCGAGTCCTTCGCTAAGATCATCGTCAAGCACTTTGAATGACTACGTGGCGATAGTGCCGAGGCTAAGGAAGAGACTTCTGCGGATAAACCTTCTGCCCCGGTGACCACCAACAGCAAACCTGTTGCCGCGGCCGAGCCCCTGGAGCAGAAGAGTGTACTCAAGGAGGGGCCCTGCGGTCTCCCGGCAAAGTGCACAGTACAATAATGATATGAGCAAGCTCTTTTTTCCCTATGTCGTATGGCCGATTTTTAGCACGATTACAGATAGATGGCGTAAAACCCACTTCAGGAGATGAATACAAATTCTTCCATGACTCATACTGCTATGCTTTCTGACATTTGAACTGCTAATGAATGGATATATGAGTGCGCCTGTATGTATGCTAGCCCGACTTGACTGGTAATAGCCACGAGGGAATGCCGTAGATGTCTATGAAAAAGGAAACAAAGGAAAGAAAAAACAATATGTTTTAAAGATCAGGTATGGATATCTCGTATTCCACATTTCAACTTTCTTTCCTGAACCTAAACTGGCGCCACCCTTGCAGGGGCGCTGGTCACGCCTTGACTTCGTCGCCGTCGTCAATGGGTTCGCGATCACACTCGACAGGGTCGGCAAGCTTGACCTCGCCGCGGTAGATGTCGACGATGGAGACGAGCGGCAGGATGAGGAGTAGTACAGAGAGGAGTTGACCGAAACTCCACTCCTTCTCACCCTGGTCGGTAAGTTTGACTGAGGGGTGGCCAAAGGCCTGCGAGAGGAGGACGATACGAACAGCTGCACCTATGGCGATAGCGGCCATGAGGATGATACCGACAAGCTGTACGGCGTTGTGAAACCGACGCTGACGAGCGTGCAGGTACCACGTGGCGAGGCCGAATACGACGCAGTTTCCTATGATGACAATAACGGTGCCGACGTATGACAGACCGACGGTGCTCGAGCGGGAGCCGCCATGGGTCTCCGAGTTCCAGACGCAGGCGATGGGTAGCGTCTCATCGTCAAGGCCTCTCGACACGGCTTGAAGAACGAAGACGCCCAGTACGCATGACAGAGCGAGGTTGACGAACATGAGGGACTGACGAAGCCAGCGGATGACCCAGTCACGGCGGTAGTCGTGGACCAGAGCTAGCAGGGTGGCGTTATGGGTGGCCGTGGCGAGCAGCGACATCATCCAGATAAGAAAAATGTGATAGGGCACGAGGGTATTTGTCTTGGCCAGGCCGACACTCTGGATGCCGATGCCCTGCAGCAGCTGCGAGTCGCTGTAGCCGTCTAGCAGCTTGCGGCGGACTGTCGACGTCTTGCCGCGCGACTCGGAGAAGATGAGGGACATGGAGAGAACCAAGGCCACAGCTGCGGCGATGATGAAGGAGATGAGAATCTATGAGGAAGCCATTCGTTAGCATAACTTAGGCAGGGCGGCTGAGATGTGCTGCCCATGGAGGCGCAACTTACACCAGCACCTGCAACGCCAGCATCGCTAGGTGTAGAACTGGGGGGGTCGGTGCACGGAGCATCCTTGAAGAGGCTCGCCATGATGTGTCGGTGGCTCTGCTCTGGAAAAAGAGTGTGTTGGGTGTATTAAGGTTGTGTAGAGTGGAAGAGAAAGAAGAAAGAACGAAAGAAGATGACAGCATCTAAAGAAGGAAGTCGTCACAAAGACATAGCCAAGAGAGTCAAGGTGAAGAAGATTGGCTGGTATCACTGCAACCAACCAGTTGCTGCTGCTGTCGGTGCCCGCGGCTAAAACCACATAACTTGACAAGACATGATGCGAAACAAAACGAGTAATGTAGCCCAAGCGAATGGGAGGGTCTGCAGTTGCGGTTGGGTTTTACAACAGGCGCTTAATGTCCGCCGGAGTCAAGTCGACTATCTAGCAATGCTCGGTAAGCGACAGCAAATAAGTCGATTGGATGACGAGCGTCCCTCCCCCAACAAGAGCGCGGCGCACGCGCCTGCACTGCTGACTGTGTATTGTCCTGTCATGTCCTCCTACCTGACAAAACAAACACTTTAACTTTCTACCCGTACTCCGTAAGTAGATGGCGGGACGGGACGATTGAATGTTGTCTCTCTGCGTCTAGCAAGCAGCGGACGGGTCCGTACAGTGTGAGTGGGTCGCCTCTTTTGCTCGCTTGGGGAATCTCAACCCATTTTGAATCTGGGAGGCTGGCTGCAGGAGGTTGGATTGTCGGGATTCCCAAGCCGTTGGCATCATTATTCGTACGATTGCAAGCTACTGGTAGTGCTAACTATCCATGGAGCTATCCAACCGTTGAAATGGACGTACATGGCAGCTCTCCTTGCCCGGGCGTTTCCCACAATGTGACCATTCGTCTAGGATCGACTGGTCGTGGATTCACGAATGAATGGATGGATATGTGGCCATGTATCGTGAATCTGCTTGGTGGTGGAGGCGCCGTGCGCTATTGCTGTAGAGTCATGCATCACTTGGAGGGAAATGCAATGAGTATTTCAAACCGGCAGGAGATGCACGAAGGGAGAGCTTGGCCTAGCCCAGGCATGCAAGCATTATGAAGCAAGGAAAATCGAGGTTAGGCGATGGAGATCTGCGACATAAAGGCACATGCAGAACCCATACGGCTATGCATGTAATACGCACGCACACGACTCGTACGTGCTGTCGTGCATTCAGTGGCTCCGTAAGATTCATTTCTTTTTCTTTCCTTTTTTTCTCTTCTCTTTCTCCCATATTTCTCTTTCTCTCTACGCTAGATGGATGTCTTGTAATATTAAACTTCTCGGATTATTATGAGTATTTAATACAAGTATCCCTCCCTGTTCCCTTCCTTGCCAGCTTCGAGAACAAACCATCTTTCTCCGCTTGTTCTGACCCTGACTGACCTGGGTCATGGGTCATAGGCCATGGGCCTAGTGCCAGGATCCCTGTGATGTACGACGAGCATGTACAGATACAGTGAACAAGGTTTAACGGGTTACGGAGTTTTACATTGGCAATACTAGCAATGGCATTGATTGAATGATGGGTGTCGTTGCAGAAGGGCTTTAAGTATTATTCCTTCCAAGTATGAGTATGAGTAAAAGCTACATCATGATGAAAATTGGGAATAATGGAAACGAGACCAAGATAAGAAACATTTCTCAACGTCTCTTTAAGTCTCTCCCTTTGTGAGGTAACAGGACGAACACAGACGAATCTAATGCACATGGAAGGACCTGGACAGAGTGGAGTACCATCTTCGTGTTCACCGTCCATCCTCACGCTCTCGGTACGTACAGAGTTGTCACCTGTCTACGAGTACTCGTACCAGTCGAAGACGTTTGTACCTAGTATTTATAATGCAGTAATTTCTCACATGTCATCTTTCTTCAACATCTCTCCCCCCCTTTTGCTTCATCCTCTCTCGGCGTGAGGGAACATTCAGTTCCTGACGATTCAGGTGGCGAAGAAACATTGAAGTGCTTGTATGAGGGAGAATTGACAATACGACGGACGTACTTTGCCCCGTTCACTTCTGGGACGACCAACCTCCCCTCTTTCGACGACCCTGCAGAAGACCATATTTGGATGTGTGTTCTGTCTCACACTTTGGGGCTCGGCTGTAGGCTCCGAAGCTTTAAGGGAGCCTTTTCCTCTCCTCTTCTATCCATCCGTACGACTGACTACCTTACTTTTGCTAGTCAGGCACCGCCCAAGTTGCATTAGGACATCGCAGGGGAAGTATCCAGAAGAATAGACAGATGTCGTTGATTAAATTAAAAAGGGACCTTGTACAATCTATAGAAGCCTTCCAGGTGCGCCAAGACCCAGGCAATGGGCAGGATCCGTGCAGCTGGGTACCTGTTCTATTTACGTAGAGAACTAATATACGAGTAATCTGTACATGCGCAGTCGTCGCAATTGACAATAACAGGCAGATTACTACGGTACCACGATGTACTGCTCGTGCAGAGTAATGCGGAGTATTGATGCTCGTAGTCTCGTACAGATACGTCCAACGTTGACGTACAAGGTATCCTGACCATCTAATCCCTGCCAGGATTCTGTCACCGTCCCTGCAGCGCGGGAAACAAGCACATAGAAATTGAGAAGAAAAAACGAGTCTCGACGCCCCAGCCGTCTTCACTTTCGGCCCACCTATCCGCCGTCACCGGAAATGATGTGAATGAGTGAGAAAAACGGCATCCCGACACGCAGGTACGACATACCGGAGATGGATGCGCATGCCATATCCCGATTGATCCTTGCCTTCCAATTATTACAGAGTATTACGACTGCGGAGTATCTAATGATACTTATCTGTACGGTATGTGTGCTCGCTGTAGGCTTCGCATCCATTCAATCGACCCTGGGGGCTGATTCTCTTCTCCCCGGTGGCCTCTATGTCTCATCTGACCCAACAGAGACGACTAACCTCAGACAGCCCGCCGCAGACTGACGTGCACATCATCCCATTCAAGTTTTCGCCCATACGTTCGTTATGTAGGAGTAAGGTGCAGAGAGTGGGACCGACCGACCCTTGTATGCAAGGTGAAAGGAAAACATAAGTCTTCCTCCTTCCCCTTCACTTGTCGTATGAAAAGCAGCCATTATCCATGTTGGAATAATATTGCCTTGATTGTGGAGGAGTCAGAAAGAGGGAGGGAGAGGAGAAAAGGGGGTGTAAATATCACATTTTGCTGTAGAGAAGCCACACACGCTCTGTTCGACTCGTCCCAAAAGTTATAGTCTCTGCTAAGCTACTACTAATATTAGCACACCTAGTATTATTACTCCGTACCGTCGTATGTATCCTTCCTCCCTACATCAAACTAAACCATCAGCATTCTTGTTACATCGAATTACCCCTTTCAGCCTTCTTTGCTTCATACACTCTTAATCCTCTTGCCCTCTCTCTTGCTCTCTTCCCACGCGATAAACTTGGTTTTCTCTAGGCTTTGCAGGAAGACAAAAACTGAAGCCTCCTCCCTTTTTGTCTGGCATGAATCTCATCATGACGCTTCTACGCTGAAATATATCCACCAGACCTTGTTCTGGCTCTTCTTTCACTACCTTACATCCCTTCCCCTCTCTATCTACAAGTATCTCTCTTCTCTGTTCCTTGTCAAATACCGGGCCCTCCACATCCTAGACAAACTCCATATCACTTTCCGTCTTTCAACATTCCTTCCTCCCCGGGGCATGTTTTGTACATCTTTCTGTGTGCGCGTCTGTTTGTGTGTGTGCCCTCGCCCCTCTATCAAATGTTCTTTTCTTTGACAACATAATAATTCACACCCCCGAGAAAAGGAACCGACCATCCATTTATCCTCTTCCATTCATTCCTTCCTTTCCTTTCCTTCCCTTTCCTTTCTTATCTTTTTCTTCCTCTTTCCATTTCACTCTCGCATTCAGACTCTACGAAACACTGGCCAGCCTCGCTTCATACTTTCATTGTCATTGTCATCAATATAGACCCCTTCCCTCTTTCTCTTTCTCTTGTTCTTCTGTCCCCTCCTCTTTCCCCTCCTGCTCTTCTCTTTTAATATCTATCTCTCCAGCTTTTTCTCGACGTGACGCACGCGCCCATACGGAAAAATCAACGGTCTCAGCAGCTATCAAAACCAACATCACCGTCAACATGTCGCCAACTTCGCTCGAGCATCTGCCTATCGAGCTGCAGAGAATCGTCTTCTCTAAGCTTGACTACCAATCTCTGATCCACCTGTCGACAACGAACCGCCATTTCCATCGCACTGTCGATCCCCAGACTATGGCCGACCCACTCGACAAGCTCGAATTCGTCATGAGAGCGGCCAAGGACTTCCCTCAGCACCGTCCGAGCGAAAAGGGCCAGGAGTACCACCCTGGAAACTTCGAGTGCTACATCTGCTTTCGAGTCCGCTCCCCGGACTGCTTCGACGTCCTCCAACCCCAGTTCGCCTACGTTGACTGTCATGGCCGCGTCGTCCGCGAAAAGGAGCCCACCCGCTTCGACTCCCTCGTACCCCTACGCCGCTTCTGTATCGACTGCGGTGTCCGTACCGCCCTTCACGCACCCTCCGATTGCCTTACCACCAAAACGGGTCGGGACCTCTGGGTCTGCCGATGCTGGAGAATATGGCCCAAGCCCGGTGTCCTCCGCTGCCCCGAATGCTCCGGCGACTGTCCCCTCCGTCCCAGAAGGAAGATGGCCCTCGAAAAGTTCCCATCGCCTGCACCCTTTGCTTATCCCACGCCTCGACTGTCCCGAGTTTGATACCATCATATGGTCAGGTGTGTTGTGTCACAAACAACATCCTGTTTCCTATTGTTACACTCATCCATACGGGTGGGAGCGAGCAAACTTGTCAATAATACTTCGTCATTTTTCCGATCTTCTGCTCAGGCAAACATCTTAAGAAGCTGGAGGCACATTTTTTTTTCTCTTTCCATTTCTTCTCTATTCTTTCATATCATTTACAACACGCAAAGGTCGGGTCATGGGTTGCATATATTATTCGGGAATTGCTTTTTTTTCTTTTCTGCTTTTTTTCCCTATCTTATTTAGGGGTTTATTTACCGTTAGCGTCTGGCGTTGTTGATTTACAAGATAGAAAAAGGAACCATAGGCGAATATTACATGTACTCTTGACTTTGGGATGAAGAACCCTAAGGAGATAAGGGGAGAGAGTCTTTGACAAAGGGTCTCATCCGTCTCATCTCCCATGCACACTTAGCTGCTCGGCTGTGAAAAGCCACAAGCAAGACGATAATGAATATTGTTCGGCATCTATGCAACCCTCTGGGAGAGGTCCCGCAGCTTTAACAATGATTCGCTCTTCTCCATCCTTTGATACTACTTTAATACTACATGTGAGTGTATGTCTCAACCTAGATGTTTGTCACAGACGTTAGGGCCACCAACTCACTTCTCTTATATATGCCTAGCAGCCGTAAACAACTGCCCCCCCCCCCCAAACTGAACCAATACAGAATCGATACAAATAAATACTATCTTTTTTCACACAATAAAAAGTGAAGAGACTCGTACCCTGTCCATGTAATCATGGTTCAACAAACATCCCCATCCCCGGTCGCCGCTATCGACTACACTATCGTCACCGTCCAGCACTACGACGGTCGAACTGGCAGCAACGCCATCAACATCGGTCGAGGATAAGGCGCTCGAAGAAGTGCCAGAGTCAGGAAGTGGTGATGAATTGCGCCTTACACGATATGGAATTGTAGACAGACTCACCTTGGACCCCATCTTCTCCAACTCATCCTTCGCCGTCCGACGCTCTGACGTCGCTGGCTTCGGGGCCGTGGCCACTCGGCCTCTCCGCAAGGGGGACGTGAGACTCGTCGAAGAGGCCATAGTTGAGTCCACATTCAATGGAGTCGATCTATTCGAGGACTGCAAGAGACTGGACAGTCGTGCCAATGATGTTACCCTCAGCTTGCATAGCAACCATCTCTTCAGGGCGGGGATGGACGATCTAAAGGTCATCTGGTCAACCTATTCGTCCGTAGAAAGAGTAGAACCGTATTTTCTTCTTTCCCTTTATTGTCAGATATAGCGAGTGCTGACGGTGCACGGATTTTCCACCGTGCCGGGAAAGGAAGGTATGTTCGCCATCGTATATCGATTAACCACGCCTGCTGTCCTAGCCGGAGCGTCGACTTTATGTACGACAATGACACGGAGTACCTTTCTTTCTTCGTGTGCGCAGAGTATATAAGGCCTGGGACGGGACTGGCCGTCTGCTATGGAACCTATCTCATCCCCGAGTTGCTGTATATACGGTACGAATTCAGCTGTACATTGTGTGCTAGTCTTGGCCATGACGATGTGGCGGCCCCGCGGAGCAGTGGTAGATTTACGCACACAGGCATATAGACTACAAGGTTGCATTATACTGCATCCACGCATGGGCTTAGACTAGGTCCTTTTTGTTTTATCTTCAACTGGGTACGCTCGCAGCTCTTGACGTTTTCCATATAACAACATCATCGCCAATTGATCAATCAATGAACCATTCCTCAACCCTCCGTCTTTCGATGCCTCTAGAAGAACCCGAGCCATGTCTCTGTCCGCCTTGTCTGACATCCCCCCCATCTCACCCCATAGATTCTCAATCCATTGCTCCGGTATGTCGGGCAAGAGTCCGTCCATGTACAGCCCCCAAAATTCATTGCTTGTGCTGGGTGATGAATCGCCAACGGCGAACATGCCCAGTCCCTCGGACGAAAGGGTGTTCGTACTCGTAGGGGCTTCAGTCACTGTCATGTGGGAGCGGTTCTGCAAGTCTGAGAGTGATTCCGATGATGACGGTTGAGAATCATCAGACAGGTCACTATTGCGAGCTCGTCCCTGATATATCAATGATGAAGAGTTTTTGCCGTTATTACTGACCCCGTAGGTACTACCGATATGCGGCTTCAGCGGACTGAACCTCCCGGTGAACAGTCCTCGGAGGCTGACGGGAAAGTCCCCGTCCTCGGGCAGCCTGCTTTTGCTGAGACTGAGGTCCAGGGACAGGGCCAGGCGGAGATACCACCCCGGCTGAGAGGCAATGATGTCGGTCCAGTCGTTGATTCCATTCTGCAGCCCACTAGTCTCCTGGTTCCTGCCGCCGAACTGAGCCAGGTAGGCAATGTGGCAAACAATCTCGCTGACCCAGTCAACGCCGTCATACTGAGGTTGGTATGTCCTCATAGCCTCGATGAGGATGTTGAGCCTGTGCTGTTTTGAATCAGATGCCACGTTTGAGTCGAGTGTCTTGTTCTTTTCTTTCTTATTCGCCGAGAGTTTCACATCTAGAATATTGAGCGCCAGGGGCAGTGTCATGCATGCAACGGCCGAGATAGGCAGCCACCGTGCAAGCCAGAGCTGTACAAACTCCTTGAGGCACTCAGTGACACCCGAGGCAGCGTCCTGCAGCTCGTGTTGATTCTCGTATATAACGGACACATCCCTTGACACGGTGTTCTTGTCGCTCGGTGCTACCTGTAGGATGGCGAGATGAAGAACCTCATGGTGACAGAGGACCAGGCGGCTAGAATGGTAGTACATGTACATTAGGTTGGTGTACAGGATCACCGAATCGTGGCGGCACTCTCTGTTGCTGTCGTTGCTTCTAGTGGGTACTGAGCTACATCCTCCTCCTCCAAATAGGAGAAGTCAAAGTGTCGCATCCTTGTACCATCTCCTGAGGGTGGATCTACAGTCTCGAACGTGTGCAGAGTCCTCGGGCTTCATTTCTCGGCCCCAACCCGGGGTATCGTCGAGCGGGAAGACGAGCATCGAAATGTACATCAAAACGGCGTAGAGTTCGACGATCTGTGCCAGAATCTCGGTCAGGAACCTTTTGGTTCCAGGCCGGTAGAGCCTCGACTTGTCGAATTCGTCAGCCAAACCGACCAGTTCAAGCGTAGGGTTCTCGTCAAAGTCGAAATGGGCCCTCATGATCTGAACAGGTCTTCGCATGAGCAGGCCCAGTGTGCGGCCACGGATGATGCAGCACCACCATAGTCTCTTGAGTGTGTTCTGCCTAGAATGTTGCAGGAGGTGCGTCGTGGCAGAGAAGATGGGTATGGCAGCGTAGTGATGCCCCTGCCGCACGTATGCTGGGGTGTCCTAGAGCCTTGATGGTAGCCCGCGAGACAAAGTTGCACGAGGCAAACAGTATGGTTTGGAATAGGAACAGAGGTATTCGGTCATCCTTGGAGGATGTGTTATCCCCAAGGTCGCAGTAAATGGCCCAGAAATTACCCTCGTTGATCAGGGGTAACAGTGGATGGACATGGAGGAAGTACTGCTGGAGGAACTCATCCATGAGGGCTTTCATAGGCACACGTAGGCATCCTTACGACTCAAGGAAGTTGACGCCTTGTGGGAGCATATTGGAGAGGCTGCTCACAATGAGTATGAATAGACAATATCCGAGTCGTGTCCAAGATGACTCTCCATAATCCAACTGTTGTTCACCAGTGATCTTGCTGGTAGAATTTTCTTGCCTATACCCATGACCAATATCAGAGTTGTCTTTCTGTATATACATATTCCTCGAACTTACCAGGTGCCGCTGTCTGAAATTCGTCTCCTGGTCTCTTTGACCTTACTCCTTCATTGGTGATATCACCATGTGCTTCTGTTTCCGTATCTTGGTCCACATTGTTACTCATAAGCGCCCCGTTTCCGGCCAAGTCCACAACATTATTAATTTGTTCTACTAAATTCAGCATGGGGAGCCCATCGGGCCTTGACTTGACGACTTCCTCAGCTGAGGGCCTCTTGGATGTATTCAGAGCAGCAAAAGAAGGGCACGAGACTTGAGAACTCTCGCAGTCGTGCTGAGCACGTTGACTGATGAAGGCGCCAATTAGGTGGACCACGATCCCCAGCAGGAGAATATATATCCTGGAAACAAAAACTGACAGTCTCGAAGCTCTGCTGGTAGCGACACACATCTCACTGTCGAGATAACAATTCATGCACGGCCGACCCCGTTGGGATACATCGCACCTCACCTTTCTTGCGCGATATGACAGGCATGCCTTAGGTGCTCGCTTTCTTTTCTTCCCTTGCGCTTTGAATCTCGTTCTGGTAGAGTCGGAAATTGGAGTATCACCAGATACTGTTGTCTCCGATGGAACTACAGCCACCTCGGCAGACATGGTGACTCGTTGCTTCGTAGTCTTGGTACTTCTCTATTTTGTAGGCCGGACGGCTTCCAGAGTCCACTGGTTTGTTATTCTGCGAAGAACCAGATAAGAAGAAGTAGGAAGGGGCTTGAGAGGAGAACGACGACAATTTGCGATACAAGTGTTGAGTAGACAGGGCCCCCGCACCTTCTATACAATCAGCTCTCGTGCCTACCATACTACTTTGAAAGACAAAACGAAACAAAAGTTATCCTCTGGTAATGCGAGGTCATATGTGCCTTCTGATAGTCTCAAATAGGACATGAAATCTTGCGACGTTGGGGGACTACTCCGTACGCGGGTGTACTCAACCGCCTCCCCGCCACCGATGCTCGGATGCCAACTTCCCCTACGGCCTCCCTGACCAATGATGATATATATTTCCTGGCTTCATATTATCAATCACCCCAGTATTGGCCATACAACATGAGTCGTTAGCGTACATTGACCATTCCCTGCAGCCATGCTTCCATCTTCCGCGTTGTCCGGCCCCAATGCTGAACTATAACCCTTGCTGCCGTTCCTCCAACTCTTAGATACAGCCAAATATGTTAGGGGGGGGTCCTGATGAATTTAGTACATATAAGGTTTCTTTTGAGCTCGTCAAATGCCATTCTCTTGCAGTGACTAGGTCCAAACAACGCCAGGGCTTCACGCCTCTCAAGATCATCAAGATGCAGACGCCCAATCAATCAAGGAAAAAGCAGCATACTTCAATCCCAATACTTGATGTCTCCCTCCAGTCCGGCCGTGGCCACCTTGCTGGTCTCCTGCGGGTGCCACTGTATACTCGTAATGGCCTGATTACCAGCCTTGATCTTGTGGTACATCTTACATGTCTTCCAGTCCCAGAAGCAGACGAAGCCTGCTGAGTCACCGGATGCAAGGAACTGTCCGTCGGGGCTGCAATCGAGGTCGATACCCATACCAGCGTTGTTGTGTCCGCGATAGCTCTTCTTCCTGTTCTGGCGGAATTTGTCCGTTGCACCGTAGACCAGGATCTGGTTGTCGGAACTCTGGTAGGCGACGTACTTGCCGCTGGGATGCCGGGTAGCACGAGTCATCGGGTACATGTCGGGCTCCGCGATATACTTTATAGGGACCGGAATGTTGTAGTCCCATGCGCGAAGCGACCTGTCATCAGACGTTGTCATGAAGCGGCGGTTGTTGTCGACAAATACGATTGTGTTGATAGCGGCCAAGTGGTGGTCATACTCTTGTGCCACCTCACCCGGTGTCCTCGTGTCAAACTGGACAATCTTCTTGTCTGACATGCCAGCAAGGAACTCATTCGAGTGATCGGGGTCGGGGTTGAACTTGATAACGTGCGGCGTCTTGCCTGTCGTAAATTTGTTGATGCAGACACCCTTCTCTGTATCCCATAACTTCATCATGCGATCGTAAGACGCAGAGAGGAATTGCGTTCCAGAGTTGTTGAAGCAAATGTCCGAGACAGATTTTGAATGGCCTGAATAGGTTCGCAAAAGCTCCCTGTCATGGTAGACATCCCAAATTTTGACCGTCGAGTCGGCACTGGCCGAGAGAAGTAAATGTCCGGAACCGGGGAAAAAACGTAGAGCAGTGACCGGCTCCTTGTGGTCCCTCCAGACATGAACCTGTTTCTTGGGAATATAGTTGGTGATGCTTCCAGCCTCCTTGCGAAGATCGACGTCTAAATCCTGGGGAATATGCATGTAGGTTCTCCCCTGGTAGTCGTACTCTTGCGTTCCATGGAACACCGTCGTCTCATCACCCAAAGCCTCAACCTCTTTGCGGCGGGCGAGGGCCTCGGCAGGTGCTTGGAGTATAGTGCCACTCTCGACAACATCGTCCTCATCTTCGTAAACAACTTCGTACTCTTCGTCGCTGGCCAATTCTTCGTCCTCCCCGATGTTCTCGTATTGTTGTCGTTGATATTTTGCCCAAGGGCCGACGTATGCTCCCGCGCCCTCTGCGATGGAAGCATCGCCCTTGCCCTCCCTTCCCCTGCGGATTCGAGCAGCTTCGGCCTTGGCTTCCGCCCCAGACTGGAGTTCACGCCCGGGGCCTCCTAAGCGCTCCACCGCCCGGTGTTTACTTCGAAATGTGTGCTCGTCAAGCGCCATCTCCTCAGCATGGCCTGCTGGGACATTCTTACGCTTCATGGTGTTCGATTCGTCCTTGAACGGATTGGCAGGTCCGGCTTTGGCTCGTGATAGATCCTCTGCTGAATACGGAACAACAGCGTGGTCGAGCGCCGCCTGTTGTCGCACGATGAGCGCGTCCTGAGGCGCCATATTCGGCGGGTATTCCCCGAAGTTCGCCATGGCGAATATTCGTGATTTGTTGTTGTACTGTTGTCTTGCCGTTGTAGGATGTAAACATACGTCAAAGTTTAGCGGAAGTCTCGTCTGAAAATTGATCACGTGATCCTGTCGACGCCATGAAAGAAGGCCATTCGAACCTGTTCGGACACATTTCCCAAAGAGTAGCGCCCGAATGTAGAGGCTGTTTAACAGTAATTATTTGTCTTGTTTTCCAGTATTTCAATCTACAGTAGCAAGCGGTTTTTCTGGGAATTACGAAGGTCGGGGTTTAGAGGCTAGATGATGCTTCCAGTGGAGGCAGATTCTGTAAAGATGTCGGCATCCGTATAACACAAAGACGGGGGACTATCAGACTAGTCGACAAAAGATCAGGCCGAATTTCAGCCCTAACTTAAGGACCGCGGCGATAGAGAAAGTTCCACGTTATTGAATAGCATGGCCGCCCAGTCTTGGGTCAAATAAACGTCGTCAACTAAGAATACCCCGAAACACCGTCATTATAGTATGTGGACGGACAATTATGTGACCCGTCAAGCACTAGTGCTATTCGTAATATCTTGAAATATCATAGTCAAATAAGGCTCAAGATGTTTTAGATGCTTCTATGTTTCCTTAAGACAGTGATGCATGAGACCGGTGTTACTAACATGTCTCTACTAAATGGTCTAGTATATGACAATACCACACACCAAGAGCAATGGTGCAAAAAGTAGAAATAATAAGAAACTACTATGACAGTCCATCATCACACATGTCATGTCCAGAGATCCTCGGTCCAAGCTCCCTTCTTCGTCATGATCCCATCATTGCAACCAAGACATATTCAGCTAAACAGCGCCATGGCTCCGCAAGGAAACAAAGTGCATTTCCTTCGCCAGCAACCGCTCTATGAAGCTCCAAACGCCAACAGTATGTAACAAGAGATCGCCGCTCTCGTCAAACAGTGAGATTCGGTCTTCCCGAGACGAAATTCAAACTAAACCCCCTTTTCACTATTAAGAGAGAAATTATCCTTGCCAAGCTGTCCTTCCTTTTATCTCTTTTTATCTCACACAAGGCTGGAAAGCCTTTCGGAATATTCGGTATGGCGTGGGCCTTGTTCAGCACTCTCGTGCAATTCCCGTAGCCTGCGACTTGGCATCATACCTTCCCTTTACGACGACTCGTCGCGGATGAGGGCAACAATCATGCTGTAGAGATAGAAGAAGAACATCAGGAGGTGGAAGCCCAGCTTAAAGAAGGATTCCTGCTAGAGGTTAGATTGTATATCAGAGGGCTAGGAAAATGGCACGTTCGCACCTTCTTGTGAACATTGAGCTTGCGGAAGATCTCGGTGGCGTCAAGGAGGTGGGTGTTGTCGACGATCCTATATTTTCGCATTCGGGTTAGCATCGGGTTGTGGGAATGATGGAGAGATCGCTTTGCTTACTTCTTGATGTTCCACCCAAGGAGAGGAAGATTGAGAATCAAGGGCATCCAGTAGCCGTTGATCAGGAACATGAAGGTTAGAAAGCCATGGACAGCGGCCTCGGGGATGATGTAGGTGTTGAGGCGGTTGCACAGGTCGATGGGGTTGATGTAGTCGCTAATGAGTTTCTGTCAGCTTAGGAAATACTCTTTATGCAAGCTGTGCTGGACGTGTCATGCGTGCACGAGTGTCGTGACCAAGTATTATCTGGCAACAAGGGCAAGGGGGGCAATGCGCGCGTGTAGGCAATTTTTACTACGTACCATTCCAGGTCACTGTACATAATAGTAAAGAAGACCTGGAGGAAGAGGTTGACGGCGTTTAGCAACACCGCCAGAAGAAAGAGCCACGCCTCTCCAGACATCATGTTGGTTTAGGAGTGGTGTTGCAAAGGGTATTGGTGGCGACTTTTGGGGGGCGAGGACGACGAAGCTATGGACAGCAGTCGTGAAGCTTGCGTAGTGTCACACGTCGATGTACGAAACAATGCGCTCGGAAGGCAGGAATCAGCGCGACAGTAGTCGGAAGATGGGGTGAATCTCTGCGAAGGAACAAGAGAGGATCGAGGATGTTACGATGACCGTTGCCGGCTTCGGAAGACGGCGATGTTGCTGAGAGCGGCGACGAGTGGGGGGAGATGGAAAAGCGAAGAAATGTTGTGGCGGACGCCGAGCCCGTGTGGTTAGGTGTGGACCCTTTACCAGAGGAGGTTAGAACCTGCGGGGGTTTGGGTATGGACAGTTTACAGCAACTACGAAAGTATTATTATTTAGAGCCTAGACAGCAATGATAAAAGGGGGCTTGACAGAAAGAAAAAAACAGTTGCTTTTGGTTTGAGGTAGACATTTCTCTTCAAATGTACGTTAATTGCATGATTATTTTGTCACCTACCAACGAAGAATTCTACCCACCACGGCGACTCCGGCCACAAAATGCTAATATTAACCTACAATCATAATACTCTATATATCGAACGCCAGATATATGCTAGCAATTTAGTCAAAACATTAGAGTCTTTCACCTTAATCAAGGGCGTAAGCTTTTTTTTTTTCTATCTACATGCTCATGCATTGAACTAGACACAAATGCTGATGTTTTGCAACTTTCTGGTACATGCGATATATCGGTCCCGGGTTATCAGGCCTACGTGCTTTTCCAAAGGGGAAGCGCAAGCTACAACCAGCTTTTAGGTATTCCCATTAAGCATTGATCAAGCCATACCATCAGCCTCAACTGCAGGCATCGGAATGGGGCCGCCCGGTGAATCCTCTTTCCTAGCCGTCAAAACCTCCACACCATCTTCGGTGACCAGCAGCGTGTGTTCTGTGGGCGCACATTAGTACTTGGAACAAGTTGGAAGGGATTTTTGCGCCAGCCGCTAGAAAGTGTTGACTTACCAAACTGCGCGGTCCGCTTGCCGTCGATGGTAGTGCTTGTCCAATTGTCGGGCCAGGTGATGTCCCTGTACTTGCCCAGAGCAATCATGGGCTCAATAGTAAATGTCATACCCGGCTTGCACTCGCCAACCGCCTTGTTCTTGGCGTAGTGGGGAACGTTTGGAGCGCAGTGGAAGTCCTTGTTAACGCCATGGCCGCAGTACGAGCGAATAACGCTGCAATTCTTTGCCTTGGCATGCTTCTCAATGATGTTTCCGAATTCACGGATCAAGGTGCCCGGCTTGACGGCCTTGATGGATTCTTCCAGGCACTCACGGGCCGCCTCGACGACGCGCACACTATCGGGATCTGCTTTGGCCTTGTCGCCAATGTAGTATGTCTCATTCAAATCGGCATGGTAGCCTTCGTGGTAGAGGGAAACGTCGATATTGAGGATGTCTCCGTCGAGGAGGACTCGCTGGTCGGGAATGCCGTGGCAAATGACTTCGTTTATCGATGTACAACAAGACTTGGGGAAATTGTTGTAGTTGAGAGGAGAAGGGTAGGCCTGGTATATATCCAATCAGCAAATTGATAGCAGTCCCTCAGACAGACGCATGTATGCGGCCTACATTTCTCTCGATGCATGCCTCGTGGACAAGTTTGTCAATGTAGTCAGTTGTCACTCCGGGTTTGGCGGCGGCAGCGGCAATGTCGAGAACCTCGCGGGCAAGTCTGCAGCTTTTGCGCATGGCATCCTGACCCTTCTGGTCAAGCAAGTCGACCTTGTTCCGGCTCACGATCGAGCGGGAGTATCTGGGGTTGCCATCCTGCCACCAAACAGGGTGAGGAATGGACTTGGGCAACGTTCGATGCTCGGAGAGGGGGTAGACGGGTCGTAGAGGTCCCGAGAAGGGAAAGTTGGGGAATGGGTTATAGTAGCCGCGGTCTAAGAACGGTCAGGCCTATGTTCACGTAGAGAGATGGAGTGCTCAGGGTATATTACTTTGCGACTTGTGCATGGACTTGTGGTTGGCCTACCGAGAAGTCGTTAGGTCAAGGGCGCGGTAAAGTCGAGATGACCAGGGCCAGAAACTTCGTACCCAATTTTTTTTGAAGCAGTCCTGCGTGCAGAAGAAGCTGTCCTTGATTCCAGTTTTGAGGCATGTTGGGCACTGGAGGGACCCGGCATCATTCTCGCAGTCCACCCCCAGGCACTTCTTCTTCGCAGGAGGCTCAGTCATGATGGCTCGCACGGGAGAGCAAAGGCGAATCGCAGAGATTAGACGTGTCGCTGTCTAGTGCGGTAAGCAGGAATAGGTTCCCTTTCTGTAGCTACGTCTATGTTGTAGTTTGAATTTGCAGTGTGGGCGGATGAGACAGGTGGCGTGTAATCGTGACAAGTTAAGTCGGGGAAAAAATACAGGTGGGAGCGAACAAGTCGAGAACCCCTCCAAGTCTCCAATCCTTCAGCGCCTCCGTCAACCATCGCACAACTGAAATCCCAGGGTGTTTTTATTGTGGGGCGGAACTCGGCCCAGCCTTTACCACTCTTGCCAGTACCTTTCGTATCAAATACTGCAAGCCGTACGACACAATGGCAAGAATCTTTACTGGTAGGTATTGGGGGCATACCATACAAGCGATGGTCTAGGTACCGATGCCGAGAGTGTGCCCGTGGCATTAGCAGTAGTACTAATAGTAGTAGTAGTTTACGGCGTATTACAAGTACTGGTATAAATTCGCCAGATAATGAATTACTAACGTAACGAATAGTCAAGTTAAAAATTTAGATTTGGCAGGCAAACAAAAATTGCATTGAACTGTTGGCCTAACGAGTGTAATTACTCAGCGTTGTATGCAATACTCATCCCGTTGGACCGACAGAACCGGCGTTGTTGAGAGGCTTTATCACTGCCGGTTTTTGCACTCATGACTCCGTAATGGAAAATGTGCGATGATATTTGTTGTCTGAAATGATATTATGTACTCATAGCCAACTACGCGCTATAATATGCGACGCTGAGACAACAGGAAATCGAGCTAAAAAGTGATACTAGCACCACAACTTCATCCAACACTTTCTTCCCACGCTTTGGCGGTTACTCTTTTCTTTCTGTTGACGACTAGACAACCACTTCCGCCATCAATATGGCGTCGACTTGGAAGGTGGTTATTGTTGGCGCTGGGCCAGTTGGCTCTCTGGCTGCGCTGTACGCCGCACAGAGGAATTGGCAAGTTGAGCTCTATGAGTTGCGTCCGGGTTAGTGACACCATCACCATGCTGGCCTATGCCGTGTGACAGAAGACAGTGCTGACAACCAGTCAAAAGATTTGCGAAACCCGGGTACAGTTCCGCTCAATTTCACCAGATCAATCAACTTGGCCGTGTCTGAGCGAGGTATTAATGCCATGAAGCAATCTGGTGAACCCAGACTTGTCGATCATGTTATGGATGCCACTGTCCCCATGCGAGGACGCATGATACACGGAAGGGACAAGAGTGGTGCCCTCTACGAAAATTCACAGGACTATGATGTTCGAGGACGGGTATGTGTTCCCTGCACAGAAGGCTACGGTACCCCCATTACGTGGGATGAATTCTAGCCTCACGCTGACTTGTCCTAGGCGATCCATGCTGTAGACCGTGCAGGGTTGAATAAGAGACTTCTGGACATTCTGGACTCCTTGCCAAATGTCAAGCTTCTCTTCAACCACAAGTTGATAGGGGCTGATTTTCGCCGTCAAAAGGCTTGGTTTGAAACGAAGGATAGTGGTGAATCCGCCGGTCGCCCCCGTGAAATCGAGGTGGATTTTGACCTCATGATTGGCGCGGATGGCGCTCACTCAGCCGTGCGTTACCACTTGATGAAGTACACCCGCATGGATTACCAACAAGAGTATATTGATACTTTGTGGTGCGAATTTCAAATTTCCCCGCAAGAGGCGGCTGAGACTAGTGGTCCCTATGGTAGGTTCCGTATCTCGCCGAACCACCTTCATATCTGGCCCGGAAGGGAGTTTATGTTCATTGCAATCCCCAGTGAGGTATGTTACCTTAAACTCGTTCATATTCGATGTTTGATCCTCAAGCATGTCGAACAATGTTGGCTGACTGATAGAGATAGGATGGCTCGTTCACCTGTACCCTATTCCTCCCTAGCAAAAAGATTGCGGAGCTGGAGAGCAAGCCGTCTGATCTCCCCAACTTCTTTGACCACCATTTCCCTGGTGTAACCAACTTCATACCTCCAAAGGAACTTGTCGCCTCTTTCCAGTCGAACCCGCATCTCCCCTTAATGAGCATAAAATGCAGACCTTACCATTCCGGATCATCGGGCGTCATTGTCGGCGATGCTGCCCACGCCATGGTACCATTCTACGGACAAGGGATGAACGCCGGGATGGAGGATGTGCGCATCCTGTTCGCCATCTTTGATAAGCACGCAACTCGTGGCGAGACGAACAAACCTACTAGCGAGATTGGGGAGGATTCTCAGTCGCCCTCTTCCATGCAAATAGCAGACGCGCTCGCAGAATACTCGGCTATCCGCGCGCCAGACGCTCACGCCATCAACGATCTTGCTCTAGAGAATTACGTGGAAATGAGGTCGTCGGTACTCTCGCTCCGCTACAGACTTCGCAAGTATCTAGAGGAGTTTACAAGCGTCCATTTCCCCGGTCTTGGCTGGCAGACCAAGTACGCCAGGATCAGCTTTGGAAACGAGGGCTACCTCGATGTGGTGCGTAAAAGTGAGCGCCAAGGTCAGGTCCTTGTTCGAGGTCTAACCGCGCTGGTTGCCGGCCCTGTTGTTGTCCTGGGTGCCACATTGGCGTACAAATACCGTCGTTTCCTGAACTCAGCAGTCAGCAGCTTGGTGCCCCAACAATAATGGAGGATTCAACTTGGGTCGCTTGTAAGAGAAGATGCAGAAAGGTATTTCACCATCGACTCGAAATTCACCTTTGTTCACCGGAGTTGGTTGAATGAAGGAAAACGCCTCGGGGGTTGTATGAGGAACAGGATATTAGATTCATCGCCCATTGCATATATACTATGCTATCTCCAATGTACTATAAAGTCTGATAGGTCAATATAGTCACATGATGCTGCTGTCTAAGTCCAGAGCGGCGGCTGAATTGCCGGACCGGTTTTAAAGATGTGTGACATTCACTGCCTCACAATAAAAAACTACACACAACAACTCCAAAAACTAGAGTTCCTCGAATTATATTATATAACTTATCGGGACTAAAATTCTGACAATAGATGTAAAGCTGGAGAAGTTGTACGGAGCTGCCTCTCTGAGGGCTGATTGGCTAATCCTGATCGGAAAGCAGTGGGATGTGGGTCAATTTCCCCATCCTCAGTCACGCATCGCGTTGCTTGAAATTTTGGCTGCTACTTCAAACCAGATCCTCAAGCGAACAGCGACCCAGCCGCCGGCCCAGCCCAACCACTACCTCTATTCCTCCAAGGCCTTGTCCGGAGCTTTCACGACTTTAAGTTCATCGGGCTATTGACAATATTACACTAACCGGGGCTTGTCTCCGAACGAGGTACGACGCAGTCTAACCCCCGACGAAACTGCCATTCTCGTCCCCTCCCCCTATGCGCACCGACATCCAATTCAGTGTGCTCTCTCTAACACCATTCGATAGACCTCTCACCTCCCTGTATCACTCTTCCTTCTCCCCCGATAAGCTGGCCGGCTAGGACTGGTGCACGACGAATCGCCCAACATGCCGTCAATCTTGAATATAGCCAACATGTGCTCGCACCTACAGAACGCATCCAAGGCCCGCCTGGCCATCACGTCGATACCAAGCAACAAGTACAATCTGCATGTATCGCTGGCCCTGCACCGCGCGGGATTCCTTTCACACGTGTACCGAGCCGGCCCCGTGCCCCCGACGCTCGAGCAGATGGTCACTAAGGAACCCGAGCTCGTCACCACCGCCAACGTCTCCCAGATGAGGTTGTGGCTCGGCCTCAAGTACTGGGAGGGCCAGCCCGTTCTGTCCAGGGCCAGCATGATCAGTAAGCCCTCGCGCCTCATGACGGTTAATATCCAGGAGCTCGGGCGGCTGTCCAGGGGTTTCTCGGCTAAGCTCAAGGGCGGCGTCGTGCCCGGGCTCAATCTCGGGGAGTGCATGTTTGTCGGCACGTCACAGGGTGTCCTCGAGGCCCGGGAAGCCCTCTCTCGCAAGCTCGGTGGCCTACTCCTCTGCCGGGCGTCATAATCATATCCTTCTCTTCTTTTTTATTCCCAATGTTTTCGAAGGGTCCTATGACGGGATTTCCAAACCGCCTTTTCCGGAAGTATACAACTGGGCTCATGGCTGTGTTAGATTTAAAATCAGGGGGGAGGTGTTTTTGTATTATAAGTAGCAGTCGGGCGCCTCAATTGTTGTATATCGCTAGCATATTTCTCTTTTCGCCTTGCCAATCGCGTGTTTGCCCTTGCTCCAGTGTTTTATATAAACGAAAATCAGTATGAACTATAGAAAAAAAAGAGTTTTTGTACTTTGGCTCAATCTATTTACAGGCATGTCTAAAGGTATTTGTATTCAAGAATGCGACGCCGCCGTGCATGGTATCGTAGTAACAGACTCCCTCCCGCACGCCTCAACAATTTGCAGCATGTACATTTTTCCCTCCAGTAGTCTTATAAACAAAAATCAAATCAGGACACTCTACAGCCGCCGTTGGCGGTCTGGATTGACTTCGGTCAATCAGTTGAACGGGGTGTCATCGGTCGCTAGATCCTCATATTACCAGTCAGTCTCCGCCTCGGGGGGAGGGCTAATTCGAACAGCACTAAGCTTCTCTGCGAGGTATTCGACCTCGAATTCTTCCACCGGGGCCGGAGTCTTAATCACCTGTTCAGCAAGCGGCAGGGCTCTCTCTGGCGTGTCGACCTTGGGCAAGTCATTGTGCTCATCATTGCTTGTGATTTCCTCAGTAGGCAGGGTCGCTTCCTCGGGGACAGCGGGGACCTTATTCTCCTTTGGTGCCTGCTCAGAAGATCCTGTCGAGGGCATATCGGCCTCTAGAACAGCTTGGGATTCCGAAACAGGCTGGACCGGAGGCTGGGTGCTCTGTTCATCGAGTCCATTTGATGCCTCTCCGTGGCCAAGGTCTTTTGCCTCATTTGTCTTAGACACGGTGGCTGACACCTCAGTGTTCTTTTCCGACCGATTCACAACTTCAGCGGCGGCCTTGCCCGTGGCTTCCCCGGGATGGGCCTCTTCTAAGATGGCATGGGTTTGGCTGGCTTGAGGTGACACGGTATGGTTTCGAGCCTGCGCTGTAACCCTAGACTCCTTTTTCACGCTACCCAATGGGCTCCTCTCCGTGTTGGACGTCGACGGCCGCGTCGCAGGCCTCCGCGGAGGGGTAACGGGAGCTTTCTCGGTGACCTTGGAGGCCGACGCTTGGGTGGGTCGCATCATCCGTGCTAGGAAGCCCTCGTCAACGTGAACTTCCTTCTTAGGCGCAGGGTCTTGTGATGGCTTCTTGGGTGGGGGCCCGAAGCTTGGACGCGAGCGGTTGAGCGAGGAAGGCTGTCGTCTCAGAGTCTTGGTCGAGGTGCTGGCCGCTGCCACACTGGCCCTGCTAGGAGCACGAGAGTTTACATGTCCTGGCTGGAGGCTGCCAGATTGGCGCGAGTGGGTTTGTCTGCTTTCCTGTCCCTTGGACACTGAGGAGGTAGTTGGGGCCATGAGCGAGGCAGGTAGCCTCACAGGCCTAGTGGGAGACTTGGGCTTAGGCTTAACCAAGCCAGTGTCGTGTTCCTTGGCTCCCTTGGAGGCCGAAAGCCTTAAACTTGGGGTCGAAGAAGACTGTGACAATGCCGGTGTGGTGGGAGTACGATTTGTGGCCTGGTACTTTCGGGAAGGCCTTGCTTCGACGCGCTTAGCCGGCGTTGACGGTTTGGCAGACGTCGTGGCTTTTGATGGTGCTTTGGGTGCGGGAGATGCTGTGGGGGGAGGGTGTGCCGGTGCCGGCTTCTTGATGGGCTCCGCCGGTTGAGGAACTTCTGTGTTCTCATCCTCCTTTCCGGTATCCACCTTAGGCTTGCTCTCGTGGACACTTGGCTTCGGAGGTGAATTGGCATTAGTAGCACTCAAGGGAGCGACGGGCTCCTCCTGGGAAGGCTTGTTTTTGTCCAAGTCTGGCTCGTTGGCGGTCAAGGCCACGGGCGTCTTGGGGGATTCGGGGATGGGGTCCTCGGCAAAGAGTTTACGGGGAATCCTTGCCAAGTCGTTTTGAAGTGAGATGGAACCAGTGTCAGAATCGGCGTCGGCGCTGGAGGGTCGCCTCGACGTGCTCGATTCGTGACTGGGATCTCTGCGCAGGCCCATTTTTCCGTCTTTTTCAATAGCAACAAAGCTGGTCCGTACTTTGGATAGAGGTCTCGGGGAGTTTGAGGCGCTCACTGGAATGACAATAAAGATGGTTAGATAGGTAAAGTGCCGCAGGAAAAGAGTAAGAAGTAAGAAAGTGTGGATCAAGCAAAGAGGCGGTAAAGATGCAGCCATGTTCACTTCAGTGGGGAACAACACTGAGGTGGCGGGAAACATCAACTGCTTCCTTTCCGAGAATAAATGTGGAGGTCGACGAGGCTCGGTGGGAGGAGACACGACGAAAAGAAGTTGAGTCGCGACGTCACGATATTACGTACCTGAGCTCTGCGTGAAAGCTGGAGATCTTCCTCTGTCGGGTGGGCTCGAGTCATCCCCCTTGTTCTCGAACATGGCGCGCAGGTTCTTAACCTGGCTCATGTTGACGGCTGCCACTCTTTCGTGTACTTTTTTTTCTCGGTATTGAGTCGAAGGGCGCGATATTCTCGCTGGAGTATTTGTCTCTATTCGGGGTCGAGAAAGCGAATCAACTAGAGGAGAATGTTTCTACCCAGGAATGAGCTGTAGCGAAGGGGGGGACGGGGGAGGTACTTGGGAGTTTGGAAGCTAGACAGTACTATGAATCCGGTAGCACAATCAAGATACCAAGTCAGCTAGAGATTATCCAATGCTCTAGGTCGTAGGATAGATACGGAGTTGTAGAGGAGAAGGTATTCAGAGGAGAGATTGGAGCGAATAGGTGGTGCACCTCATGTTATTATCCAGGAGGTGAAGGCCAGGAGGAGAGATATTGTCCTGGTTGGAAGATCGGCGGCAGCGTCCACCGCGAACGCGAACGCGCCCCCGGGTAATTATTGACTAAAAACGTTAGGGGCTCTTTCTCAGGGGTGTTGCCTGTTGGGGGGGTTGGTTTTGCTGCTGAGGGGCAACCGTAGTAAGCAAAGCTCCAAGACGCTTGGCCCCGCACCCTGATGGGGCACTGATGCGTTGTTGCTCGCTCGCCCGGCAGTGGTAATTTCACGGACAAATTATATTCTCAATCGTGGCTCATGGACGTTGGTAGAATGCTTAAAAATACTTGAAAGCTTTAGCCTACTGTGCGTGTCAGTGTACTTGTCTCTCTCGAAAGGGCGGGCAATTGAATGCATGAGTATTAGTATGTTTGTTTACCACGCGTACGTACATACATACACGTATTGTCCTTAGTTGAATGAAGCCAAGGCCACTCACTGGCTTGAACCAATATGGTAGGTAGGTACAACGTAGTAGGATGCAAGCACCGAGAACTGATACTGTTACTAAGGTTACTAAGTATTATATTGATCACACGCTTGGTACTTACATCGTATTACTGTTGCCAGTGGTAACATTTGTCCTGTCGCCAACCGTATGCGATGCTTGCTTGCCCGTTTATAGGGTGCTTACGGCCCTGTATGATCAATTGCTCCTACTCTTACAACGCATTCATCGTCAATCAACCCAAGTATCGGCAAAAAAAAAATTGTCAACAACGCCTACACCCCATTAACTAGATAATACGTGTACCTTCAAGACTTCAGTGTCCAGGGCACGAGCAAGAAGCCTTTCAGATACTCTAAATGGAGACGTTTCAGCTGCATGACAGAGTTATGCGTTGTACGCCTAGGCCCACGCAATCAACAATTGGACCCAGCAGCCCAGCAGCTGAAACGAAGCAAAGAAGCCACCTGGACTTATTAGCGATCAGGCTCCGGCGAGAACAAACAAGAGCCGGCTGGAGTTTGTACGAGTAGATGAATACGGAGATGTACATGTATGCTTGGCTAGAACCTAGCATTGCCTGCAAGGCTACAAGGCTACGAGTACGAGTAGATATTCCCTCATGCCGAGGAGCGAGTAAAAGCACCCCCAGGCATTGTGGTGATATTGACAACCTTGCTCTCATCACCCTCGTACGCCCTGGTACCCTTGCCACAAAATAAAATTAGCTCGCCTGACTTGACGCAACGGTAATTGTGATCCCATTAAACACGAATAATTGCTTCCAATATGCAGTTGCAAACTCGTGACTTTAATACCTCTGTCATATGAGTGCGGTCGAATTTCAATAACAGATACAGGGTTAGTGGCTCTGTTGGACTTGACATGAAGACGATTTGCTTGATACCATTGACATCATTACAACACCTTCCAATGATCTATAACTACAATTTATTACAAGCGGTCGAGAATGGACTATATTGAAGATTATGGTATTATTACTAAGGAAGATTCAATAATATAGGGTATGAGTACAGGCCGACAAAGTAATATTAACGATTATACTTCCATGCTGCCAGATATGTGCTACTAGCGCGGACAAGCGGATAGCTGCGCGCGTTTGGTTGTTTGCCGCGAGTTTTTTTCTCTCTCTCCCCTCGGTCTCAAAGCTTTCCGATCTTCGGACCTTGCAAACCACGTCCTAGAAAACCAGACAGAAGCAATTGACCATCCGAGATGTCGATCCGTACGCTGAGAATTGGTACGCCTTACCACTACCCCATCAAAGAAGTTTTCATTTTCGGGTGGGCTTTCTTTTTCTTTTTTCGAAATGAACACCGACACTAATATTTCTGCCACCGATAGGTCTGATTCCCGGAGATGGCATTGGCAAGGAAGTGATTCCGGCCGGTCGTCGCATTCTCGAGGCCCTGCCGTCGTCGCTGAACCTCAAGTTTGACTTTGTCGACCTCAAGGCCGGCTTCGAGACATTCGAGCAGACGGGTGCTGCCCTCCCCGACCAGACTGTCGAGGTGCTCAAATCCGAGTGCGATGGAGCTCTGTTCGGAGCCGTGAGCTCGCCTACCCACGCTGTCAAGGGCTACTCATCGCCCATTGTGGCCTTGCGCAAAAAGCTCGACCTGTACGCAAACGTGCGTCCCGTCAAGACAGTCAGGACTGATCCCAAGGCCATCGACATGGTTATTGTCCGCGAAAACACCGAGGACCTGTACGTCAAGGAGGAGAAGACGTACGAGAGCACCAACGGCAAGGTTGCCGAGGCCATCAAGCGTATCTCAGACCGCGCATCGTTCCGCATCGCCGCCATGGCCGGCGACATTGCCAACCGCCGCCAGGCCATCCGCGAGACGGGCATCTCTAGCATCCACAAGAGCCCTCTCGTCACCATCACCCACAAGTCCAACGTCCTCTCCCAGACCGACGGCCTGTTCCGTGCCGCCTCCAAACGTGCTCTCGCCGACGCCAAGTACAGCGGCGTCAAGATCGAGGAGCAGATCGTCGACTCTATGGTCTACAAGCTTTTCCGCCAGCCCGAGGACTACGATGTCATTGTTGCCCCCAACTTGTACGGTGACATCCTTTCTGACGGTGCTGCTGCCCTCGTCGGCAGCCTGGGTCTCGTCCCCAGCGCTAATGTTGGTGAGGGATTTGCTATTGGTGAGCCATGCCACGGCAGTGCCCCGGACATCATGGGACAGGGCATCGCCAACCCTATTGCCACCCTCAGGAGCACCGCTCTCATGCTCGAGTTCCTCGATGAGCCTGCAGCGGCCGCCAAGATCTACGCCGCCATCGACGCCAACCTCGAGGAGGGTAAGCTGCTGAGCCCTGACCTAGGCGGCACTGCCACCACTGAGTCCGTCGTTGAGGATATCCTCAAGAAGTTGTAGATATACAGTCACTGTGCAAGTAAATAAAACATTGATTACTCTTGCACAAACCGGGATCATTGTCTTCCCCCCCCCCCCGTATATCCATTATCGCCTCTGTTCCCAATTCCCCGTTCACTACTAGTACTGTACACATTTTGTTTGAGGTTACACGATAAAAAGTAGAAGAGAGATATAAGACCAGCATGCAGATCAACTTGAGCTCTATGAGTTCTATCTTTATTTCATGCAGCCTGTACCCCAAAGATTTCTCCCCCCTTTTTTTTTTAATTCTTTTTCTTCAAATCGTACAAATTGTTCTCGGCATTTGCCGACGCTATGGTACACGATGGGTGTTATCCCAAAACAACAAATATACAAATCTCTCATCACCTTGTATAACATGTTTAACGATTATGTGCTTCTACAGGTAAAAGCTACGGGGGTGACACTTATTTGGTTCGTTTGGCGTCAAGCTCGGCTTCGTACTTGGCTATGAGCTCTTTTCTGCAAGTGGTTGTTAGTAAGACAAATACTGAATCTGGGAGACGTATGGAAGGCAGCTTACTGCAAGTGCGGGGGAGCAGGGGCGTAGTGGCTAAACTCCATGCTGAACTCTCCCTTGCCCTGCGTAGCAGCGCGTAGCTGAGAGCTGAAGCCGAACATGGCATTGAGGCTGCAGTCGCAGGTCAGGGTGAAGTCCTCGGGGCCAATATCAGTGTCGTGGATGGTAGCGTTGCGCTTGTTCATAAGCATAAGAATGTTTCCTTGAAACTCATTGGGGGCAGTGATGGCAGTCTTCATTAGGGGCTCTAGGACCTGGCCACCGGCATCGGTAAAGGCCTTGCGGAAGGCCATTTGGGTAGCTAGGTTAAAGGCGTAGTCAGACGAGTCTGTCACGTGGGTAGCACCATCGTTGATAACCATCTTGGAACCAATGACCTTGTGGCCCAGAAGCGGGCCTTTGTCGCAGGCCACGTCGAAACCCTTGGCGCAGGCAGAGAGGAACTTGTCGGGGATGTTGCCACCCACGACTTGACTTTCGTAGTGGTTGGTGTTGGCATCGTCATTGGGCTCAACAAAACCAGAAACGCGAGCAAAGTCGCCGGGGCCGCCGCTTTGGCGCTTCAGGAGGTAGTCAAACTCGGCGCGGTGCGAGATGGTTTCCCTGTAGGCCACACGAGGCTGCCCAGTGATGCACTCTGTCTTGTACTCTCGGCGCAGACGCTCGATGTAAACCTCGAGGTGGAGCTCGCCCATTCCAGAGATGATAGTCTCCTCGCTTTCAGCATCAACGTGGACCCGGAAAGTGGGATCCTCACGCTGGAAACGGTTCATAGCCTTGCTGAAGTTGTCCGCATCGGCGCTGCGCTTAGGCTTGATAGACAGAGACATGACGGCGTCGGGAACGTACATGGACGACATGGTGTAAGGAAGTCCACCGTCGGTAAAGGTATCACCAGAGGCACAGTCAACACCGAAAACAGCGCAGATCTCACCAGCACCAATCTCGGTAACATCCTCCATCTCGCTCGAGTGCATGCGCACAATGCGGGGGATACGGACCTTCTTGTCGGTACGCGAGTTGAACAGGTAGCTGCCCTTGTTCAAAGTTCCCTGGTAGACGCGCATGTAGGTAAGCTGGCCGTAGTTGTTCTCCTCAAGCTTGAAAGCGAGGCCGACAAATGGCAGCGAGTTGTACGGAACAAGCTTGACCGTTTTTTCGCCCTTGGACTTGTCCAGGGCTTGGTTGGAGGTTTCAGAGGGGTCAGGCAGGTAGTCGCAGACAGCGTCGAGCATGGGCTGGACACCCTTATCGGCAAGGGCGGAGCCCATGAGAACAGGGGAGAACTTCCGGGCAATGGTAGCGCGGCGGATGGCAGCCTTAATTTGCTCGTTCGTAGGCTCCTGCTCCTCCAAGAAGATCTCGGCAATCTCGTCGTCGACATCGGCAAGCTTCTCAATGAGAATCTGTCGGCGCTCCTGGGCTTCGGCCTGGAGGTGGCCTGGGATCTGGTCCGTAACGCGGACCTTGATACCGCGAGGACCCTCAAAGTACATGGCCTTCATACCAATCAGGTCAACAACACCTCCGAACTCGTCTTCAGTGCCAATGGGGATCTGGAGAGCAGCAGCAGGGATCTTAAGCTTGGTGTTTATCTGGTCGACAGCCTTCCAAGGGTTGGCACCCATACGGTCCATCTTGTTGATGAAAGAAATCCTGGGAACATCGTAGCGCTTCATCTGACGGTCAACGGTGATAGTCTGGGACTGGACACCGCTGACAGCGCAAAGAATCATGACAGCACCATCTAGAACACGTAGGGCTCGCTCGACCTCTATGGTAAAATCAATGTGACCGGGTGTGTCGATGAGATTGACGTGGTAGGTTTCTTCCTTTCCGTTTTCCGTTTTCTGCCAATCGCAGAACGTGGCAGCAGACTGAATCGTAATACCCTTTTCTCGCTCGAGATCCATGGAGTCCATCTTGGCACCGACGGAGTCCTTGCCTCGAACTTCGTGGATCGCCTTAATGCGGCCGGTGTAGAAGAGAACTCGTTCCGTTACTGTCGTTTTACCGCTATCGATGTGCGCCTATTTATCAAAGTTAGTCGATTATCTTGTTAGAACTCTTGACATGGGGAAACATACCGCAATGCCTATGTTGCGCACTCGGGACAGACGCTCCTTTTCCTCGGGGGCTATGTTGGCAGCAACATATTCCGGCGTCAGACTTGAGGCATCATCCTGGGCTTTTTTCAACCTTCACTGATGTTAGACTACCGCAATGTTTCCTGGCTCGGGTTGACATGGGGGTCATACGTTTCCTGCGCAGCGTTTGTTGCGGATCGTCGGGGAGTGCTGGTGAACGAGCGTTGACCATGGACCGCCGAGGCAAAAGGAGCGGCAATGCATCCCATCACCCAACCGGGCTTCATGTGGCTTGACGCCAGACGGCCTGCCTGCCAACCGACAGCCCTAAGTCCCCTCATGTTGATTGTCGATGCGGGAGAATGGAGTGGAATGGTTGGCGCGGCTATCTTTCTCTACGTCGACCTATATCCAAACTTTTTTCTTGGCCCCTGGCCCGCAACGTCCGCGACCTCACGTGCCTTCGCGAACCAATAGCTGCCATTCTATTAATACTGGATACCACCCGCGTGCCATGCAGTTCTACCACACCCTTTTATTAGCGATTTTCGGCGGGAGCATTAGCATTCATTATACTACTACTATTCGTACTACTATTGTTCCCACTATTAATGATAATACTGCTTGTATAATCACAAATCTCTCTACTAAATCTAAACGGGATCTTGCACCTCGATTTCGCACGCCAAACTGGAACGGGTAAATAGATATTGAAATTTTCGCAAAATGTATCAATAAACCGTCTATGTACATGCATTGCTCTAAAGAAAAAGAGAGAAGAAAGGAGAGAAAGAAAAATACCCAGAACTCCCACCTATACCGAAACGCCGTCTTCTCCATGTCATAAACTATGCCATAAACATTGCCCTAAGAGATATAATAGCCAAAAAGAGTGCCATCATGATGGGTTGTATAGGTCGTGTGGAACTGTTGGAATCATCTCCGTCTTGGAATCCCTTCGCAGCAGCTAATCTTGTTGCAGTTGGCAGCACCGTGCTTGTCTCGTTGCTGGAGGATGTTGCTGATGTTGCACCAGGCATTTCAGTACCCGATTTCTCGAATTCGACGATATCGGTTGTTGAAGAGTTGAAATCTGTTGCCGCCAACCCGACCTGGTTGTTGTCGAGGTCGTACACGACATATGCAGAGCGGAGAAAGGTGTCCCCCAACACATACGGGCCTGTCGAGTAGTTTTGAATACCAAACTCGCAAACCAGCTCCCCTGAATATGCTCCTGATGAGAACTTGGGCTGATTTCCGTCGGTAAGATCGACGACGAGCTCGTCCATGGTGACATTAATCACCGGCCCGTTTGAACCCCCGAAGGTGAAGGAAAAATGTCCCGGGTGTTCTCGGTGGGAACAAGGGAGGACTGCCATGTCAAATTTGCTCTGATATTCGGCACCGACTTCCTCCCACATTTTTTGGACAACGTCGTTTGGTAGGAACGACAGCGTTGTCCCAGAATCCAGAATAACTTCCAGAGAAGAATTTGATGTAGCCAGGATGTCAGTCCCGGAGGGGCTAGTGGCTTCAATTGAGGTCAAAGACACAAGAAAATGCGTATAAGCTCCGTCATATGGAAGAACGTCGATCGTCTTGAGTGGGCCGGTGTATTTCCCCCTGTCAATGCCGCCAAACAAGATATTTCCTTTGCTGGCATCCAAGTCGTTGAGCCAAAGGCTGAAAGCAATAGAATTGGTGAGACCGTCCCGCTTCATGGCTATGGGAAGATTGGCGTAAAGCTCTCCTAATGTCGATACAGCAGCTTCATTATTGGCGTAGCCGACGCCAACAAGGCCGTAGGAGATGGTTGTGTCCCTGCCCAGGCCCATTGTCAAGTTGTGTACGACTGTGTTCGCGATCTGGAAACTGTCCTTGAAATAATCGCCATCGGAGGAACTGCCATCTGCGTAGGATATCTCAAACCCATCCTCAGCGACCATTTCATAGGTCGAGGAGTTTTCGGGGTTAACTGCAGAATCCTTGTTAGTAAGTGAATCCAAATAGAAAATATTCAATCACTTGAAATCAACTCACAGCTTCCATACGAACAATCAGAATCACAAATCGGTGCGCCACTGTATGGGACCCAGATATCACTACTTGCCGTATCGAGTTGCATGACGAGATCCTGACCGGGCGTTCCGACGCTTATAGTCGCAAAGTACCCTCCTTGGGACTTTTCGTTGGTGATAACCCCCTCATGTGATGTCTTTTCGGAGCGTCTCCGTAGACGTTGGCCAGAGCTGCGCTTCTCAATATCCCACTGCACAACACTTCCAAGTGATGTAGATGCCAACATCGGCAGGCAAATAAGTGCTGCGGGTGTCCATGTTTTCATGGTTTTTGGCGCGGTCACCAATACCGCATCAGTGAAAAGTATATGTTGAAATTTTCGTGCTATCTTCCTCGGCGACGGTAACGGCTGTAGTGGCCGATGACCATGGACAAACCAAGCGTTGACGGCTGCTAGGACCGTGATGTGGTGCGTTGAAATGCAGGGATATCCGTCGAAGAGCCTCACAATAGTATTACGGCCGCATTACGATGTAGGTCTTAAAATCGTGGAGTAAGTATGAGACAAGACAAGCTTGAACATACAAGGGACGGGGGTATGAATGGGTAAATAAGACGGGCTGAGGAAGCCAAGGCCGAGGCGTCGTCATGATATTTCCTAGTTGGGTTTCGTCCCACCTTCTCGGAGCACAATTATTAGAGAGTACACGCGGCTTCTGAAGATGGGCCGTACCGTACGCACAACGCCTACGTGGTCCACGCCCTATCATTCGTAATAATAATGGCTGGGCCAAGCCGCCTCTGGTTCCCCTCCCTTTCCTTTTTTCTTTTTGTCTTATTTCTCATCTTCTTTGTTGCCCCTTCTAGAGCCCTGTAGTGAATGTTGCGGAATATTCCTTAGACGCGCAAATCTCCTCACTTCGACTCGTACGAGTACACGTATTACCTACTAGTGGGCAGTAGCAACGAGTGGCAATTGTTGGTACGAGGACTAACTGGAATTTTTACATAAACAGAATGGATCTCAAAGTTGCAAATCGCATCTATACCCGTAGGTGCGCCCTAATAGTATAATTCTATGATGGCATTCGTCATGTTATTTTACTAGTAATAGGCACTCCGCTACAGGACAGGTTATTCCACGCTACATACGGAGTAATCCGTAATGCTATTACCTCGCTACGGGTACACAAACCCGCCGCTTTCCCATCGAGCAAATTAACCATCCTAGAGACCCTACCAAGATGCGCAAATACCAGGGAGCCGCAGAAAGGCGGGATGGTCTATAGTCTATAGACCATCATCGATGAATCCTCCTCTCCCCCAACCACCAACAACCTTACTACTGCATGTACCAGTTCTTGTTCTTGCACCGCCACCATGCAACTCATAGCTAAAATAGCTGGTGCCACCACTCGTCATCAATCGGGTGGCAGGGTGTACATCATTTCCTGTGGAAAACATTTAGTGATTCTGGTCTTTGGTTCACCACTCATTCAATCGATTACAGCTAAATCGCCGTATTTACCAACAATTATTATCTCGAGAAGATAATTTCAATATTTTTAGTGTCATTACCATGTAAATACTATCAAGCAAATGTCGCACCGAAGACAAAAGAAGGGCAAGGAAACCCGGGCGTGATCAATTGCTATCAACTACTGGCTACTGCTCGTAGTATGTGAAGGTACATACTAGCAGTAGCAGCTTATGGGGATAGTTAGTAATATTGTAAATATATTAGTGCTCGTTTACTCTATACTATTTCGGCCTATGATCCCGCAGTCGAGTTATAATACCACTCGGCACACTCGCGTATCGATCGTCACTGGCAACTGTCCCATCCAAAACAAATAATACTTGTACACTGCGTGCGGAGTAACCCATGCCTCCCCGCTCGCACAGCTCTCCACGAAATCAGGAGCGTCTCCCTTCCGGCTAATGGGAGCTCCGCCGTTCCTGGCCCTTGCGTTTTACTATCACTAACACAAAGTACCTCGAAGTCCTGTCGCCAACCTGACTTTAGATTTAAAAATATCGGGAGACATATACGCACTATTACAATACCGTTCAATAGTAGCATCATGTATGTGGTCGTCTTGCAACCAGAAGGTTTGACGAATGAGTAAGCGTATAACCTTTATTAGCGTGTGCTTCTCTAGGCAGCTACTGATCTGTTCGATCAAGTGCCTAGGACGTCCCAAGCTCATGACCTTCTTACGTCAGGCTGTGGCGCCCCACACGTCTCAAGCCACCCTGACCTCGCGTCGGCCAAGCAGCAGCAACTCCTCAACCATCAACAATCGTCAACTGCATAATCCACCCTTGACCGCCGCAACACCTGGTACACTGTTGCAACAGTGCAGCGGCTATCATGGCTCGTTTTAGCCTGAGAAACTGTTTACCATGGGTATTTACCATTGCTTCTTTGGTGACAGCCCAGGCCAACTCGAGCTACTCCGAGATCGACATGTTGAGAGCGCAGTTGGCGCTCATAGACAATCGTCCATCCGACTGCCCCCCTTGGTAGGTGATATTGACAACTTTCCTGTACGGAATCACGGCTGATCCAGCCCCTTCTTTTTCCCAGCTTCAACTGCCTCCTGCCGGCCCACACCTGCGCTCAATATGCTGGCTGCAACGAGTTCAATGGCAAATGCGACTGTCCTGAGGGCTTTGGGGGTGACGACTGTCTCCAACCGCGTACGTTTCCCAGATATATCTTTCAAAAAAGGCTTCACAGACTAACGAAATAATCTATATCATTAGTTTGCGGGTCGCTCGCTCGAGGAAAAGATCGATCGATGCGCTCCGGCCCAAACTGCCATTGTGATGACGGGTGGACAGGCATCAACTGCAACGTTTGCACCGAAAACAAGGCTTGTAATGCATTAATGGAAACTGGGGAAGGAGGTGTCTGCTACCAAAACGGCGAAGTCATCAACCACAACTACCAGATCTGTGATGTCACGAACAAGAAGATCACCGGCCTGCTTGGCAAACAGCGCCCCGAGGTCACCTTCACCTGCGAAGCGGATGACGCTACCTGCGACTTCCAATGTAAGTTTCGGCTACTTTTACCTTGTCCAAATTCATGAGACTGACTGTTCATTCTAGTTTGGGTTGACGCTGTCGAGTCCTTTTACTGCCACCTATCGGATTGCACATCGGACGCAGAGTTTAGCGAAAAGAGCAACAAGACATCGTATCAGTGCGACCATATCAGTTGCAGCTGTATTCCAGATCGTATGCTATGCGGGAAGGATGGGTCTATTGACCTAAGTGACTTCTTAGACCAGTCTATCAAAGGTCCAGGAAGCTTTGAGTGTGCACAGAAGGGCCAGGGAAGCCATGAATGCGCTTTCAAGGAACCAGAGATGGACAGTCTCATCCTTGCCCTGATTGGCGATTCGAGTATTTTCCTGGGCTGCCACGCTGGTGAATGCATTTACGAGACCGAGGTCCCAGGGTACAAACGCCCCGTAAAGAAAATCAACACTCCCCTCATCGCTGGAGTTATCGCAGGATGCGCATTGTTCGTCGGCGCAGTTATTATTTTGATCTGGTTCCTTTCTCGCCGCAAGCTCAAGTACGGCGCCATTCGGCTTGACGACTCTGACGACGAAAGCACAAAGCTCATGGTCGACCATAAACCCGTGTCACTGCAATTCAAAAACGTCTCTTATTCTCTCAACGGGAAGAGCATCCTCCAGGATATACAGGGGATCTGTAAACCAGGTGAGGTAACGGCTATCATGGGTGCCTCAGGTGCAGGGAAAACGACTTTCCTTGACATCTTGGCTCGCAAGAACAAAAGAGGCCAGATCGGTGGAGAGTTCTATGTCAACGGCGAAAAAGTCAGCGATCCCATTTATAGAAACGTTGTTGGGTTTGTGGACCAGGAGGATACCATGCTTCCTACGCTCACGGTCCACGAAACGATCTTGAACAGCGCTTTACTCCGACTGCCTAAAAATATGGGGCATACTGCCAAGGAGATGAGGGTCTCTGAAGTCGAAAAAGAGCTTGGAATTCACCATATACGCGACTCCCTCATTGGTTCCGAGGAAGGAAAGGGAAGGGGTATCTCTGGTGGTGAGAAGAGACGCGTTGGTATTGCCTGCGAGTTGGTCACGAGCCCTGCGATACTATTCCTCGATGAGCCGACAAGTGGCTTGGATGCGTTCAACGCCTTCAATGTCGTCGAATGTTTGGTCACATTAGCCAAGACGTACAAGCGAACAGTGATTTTCACCATCCACCAGCCTCGGTCAAATATCGTTGCCCTTTTCGATCGACTCATTCTCCTTGCTCGCGGCAAAACTGTCTTCTCTGGACCTTTCGCCCATTGTCAAGAGTATTTTGATGGACTTGGCTATGAGTGTCCTCCTGGCTTCAACATTGCAGACTATCTTGTCGACCTTACAATGCATGCCGGCAACACTTTTTCAGTCGACGACGGAACCATCCCTGCCGATTCTGTCAGCGTTGGGCCTAGTAGCACCACTGCGGTGAAGTCTATCGCGAGTGTGTCGGGCCTTAGTACCGGCGACGACAGTGTTGCTGAAACGGCGTCGACGCTACGCCCAAAGGCCTCTAAGAACGACTCGATCAAACAGCGTCAAGACCGTGAACTATTCACCCGCCGCAGGTCAGCAGACACTGCGGCGACCTCAGAGGTGGGTGCAGAAGATGTAGGCTCTTATCGGCTTCAACACAATCCCTCGAGCTCATTATCTTCGCAGTTGCTCGAGGATGTCCATGGCCTGCCTCCTTCAGCCACAATAGAGACAGACCTGGACATTGTGACACGGGCTTTTAGCCAGTCCGACATTGCTGCATCAACGAGCCAAGAGATTCAGCAGGCGATTTTGGCTGCAGAAAATGCCAACGGAGCCAACGCCAACGGGGGAGATGGATCTGAACAGAGCTTCAGCGCCAACGCTATCGGCAAGGGATATGCCCGTGTGGGATACCTCCGGCAGTTCGTTATTCTTTCCGGGAGAACCTGGAAGAATCTGTACCGAAACCCAGTCCTGATGCTCACACATTACGCCACTGCCATCATCCTTGCCGTCTTCTCTGGGTACCTATTCTATGGACTGACGGACGATATCCCCGGGTTCCAGAATCGCCTGGGTCTCTTCATTTTCTTGCTCACACTCTTCGGCTTCAGTACCCTTACTAGCCTGAATGTCTTCGCCACCGAACGCCTCTTGTTTGTTCGCGAAAGGGCAAATGGCTATTATGTACCCGCCACCTACTTTGCTGCCAAGATGCTTTTCGATATCATCCCGCTTCGCATAATCCCGCCAATACTGATGGGGTCCATCGTTTATCCCATGACCGGCCTAGTACCCGACGCGGAGCACTTCTTCAAGTTTATGCTGGTCCTTGTCCTGTTTAATATGGCGGCAGCAACGATCTGCCTTTTTATTGGCATAGTTTGCAAGGATGGGGGCGTTGCCAACCTGATTGGTAGTCTCGTCATGCTTTTCAGTCTCCTTTTCGCTGGCTTCCTCCTCAATCACGATGCCATACCACAAGGTGCTCTATGGCTTCAGACGCTTTCTATTTTCCACTACGGCTTCGAGTCCTTGATTGTCAATGAAGTTCTCCAACTGACTCTTGTGGACAAGAAATACGGGTTGGATATCACAGTTCCCGGAGCCGCCATTCTGAGTTCTTTTGGATTTGACAATAATGCGCTCTGGGACGACATTAGAAACCTGGGCATCGTGGCCATCGTTTTTGTTGTCCTAGCATATGGCGCGATGCACATTCTGTTGGTCGAAAGGCGCTAGAAAAACGGGCCAAGTCATTTGGCCTGAGTGTCATTGTCAAATATATAGCATTTGTTGTGTTACGCATTGGGCCCTTCAAGGAACCTGGGTGACGATGTATTGCTGAGACCCGAGCAGCGCATCCAACGAATTTGATACCGAGCATAGCTACACATTTGGAATTTCCTCTTTGTTCATAACTGTAAGTTGCACAGTCTGAAATACGAATAGCTTAGGCTTTTTCTCCGTTCGTTGTTCTGCTTTGCTTTAGGGAATAAATGTAATTAAGAGGCTCGATTGTATTATTGAAGAAAACAATGACTGTGATGATCCTATATAGTACAAAGAGACAGGATAAAAATGTTACATGTTTTGAGAGGTGGTGGTTCCCTATTCCATCTTTCCTCCAGTGAATTCCTCTGCAATCCTCTTTTGCCTCTTAACAGAGCGATCGTACTCGGACTCATGGACATCGACAAGCTTGGTAGAAGCGCCAGTGGTCGTCTGGAGCATTCCGTTGACCGAGGGCGGAGGGCCATATGTACCCCAAGCATTCTCAGCGCCCCAGCGGCCAGCAGCCTGACTCTGCTTCTTGAAGTAGTCCTCGCTAAAGACATCGTCGATCTCCTTGCGGAGCTCCTTCTCATTGGTGATGAAATTCGAAGCACTGATGTAGAGCTCCATTAGCGCGTCCCGTCGTGCCTCGCGTTTGGCATTCTGGGCAGCTAGGACCTTGTCGCGACTTCGGTCAGCGCGGGAGAAACGCTTAGGGTCGGCGTGGACCTTAGTGTCGAGTAGAGGCTTCAACACTGTGCTCCGCGTGAGGCGGTCGTCTTCCCGCTCGGACGCAACAGCAAGGTTATGGTTCTTCAAGAACTTTTCACGTGACCGCTGCGAGCGAGCAGTATCATCTCGCGAATGGCGCTCCCAGAGCTCCTCCAAGCCCTCTTTAAGGCCTTGTCGCCGACTGTCGGCAACCTCTGTCTTCCATTGACGCTGGGCAGATCCCGTCTTTGGCGTCCGGGGCTTGGGTGCAGTCTTGTCCAGATACCCGGTATCTAGCTTTCGCTCACCATCCTTGCGCGGAAAGATGTCGCGGGGTACGGGGAGGAAACCACGGACGCGTTCGCGCCTCTTTTCTTCGGTCTGGGGCGGTAGGGGAAGTCGAACATAAAGGGGGGACTCGGGAGGTACATCGTTCAACCTTGCCGCCGTTGTCGAAAAGCTACGCAGAATCTGTAGCGCATTACGCGTCACAGGTCTCATGCAGGACCTACTGGTAGGAAGCGACATCATGGACAACGACCTCAATGTTGAGGGCGATCGAAGTAAGGAGCTATAGGAAGGAGACCCGTGCACCCACAGTTGTGAAAATGTTCTTCCAGTATTTCGGATTATCTTTTGGCCATTGCCGCTTATCGTGATAGATAAGAGTGGGTAATAGTGGGTTTGTAAGTATCCCAGCCACTCACATGCATTAGCTCATTGTCCGCCCGAAGAAAAAAAAAAGAAGAAAAAAGTAACTTCCCTCCCACCTCCATTCTCAACCTCCTACACAAATTTCCTCCATCTCCCAGCAAAACATTTCACTATGGGAACGGGGAAGAAAGAGGCAACCCGGCGAACCCGCCAGGGTAAGACCGGGGATGGATTGGGAAATGTCAAGGTCAAAGGCGAAAACTTTTACCGGTAAGTCTCAGCAAGCCCACCGGACGGATCTTGTCCAGAATAGCTAACGAATGTCCCTTTGTTTTTAGAGATGCCAAGAGGGTCAAGGCCTTGAACATGTACAAGGAGGGCAAGGCCCAAAGGAATGCGGACGGAGAGATTACCAAGGCTGCCTCTTATCAGTCGAGGGAAATCCCCAAAGCCCGGATCGAGCCGAACCGTAAATGGTTCACCAACACCCGAGTCGTGTCGCAAGACACTCTTAAATCCTTTCGCGAGGCCATGGCTGAAAAAGCTAAAGACCCTTATCAAGTACTCCTCAAGACAAACAAGCTGCCTATGAGCCTGATTCGGGACGGGCAGGACGCGAACGGTCTCAAACAGCACAAGGCTAAGATGACCGTGGAAACCGCGCCTTTCTCAGATGTGTTTGGGCCCAAAGCTCAACGCAAAAGAGTTAAGCTCGGTGTCAGCAACATCTCTGACCTGGCTGAGGACACAGACAAGAGCATGGACTCCTACCATGATCGCCTTGAGCAGGCTAAGCTGTTATCTGGTACATCGGGGGACGGTGACGACGAGGACGCGAAGAAATTTACAATGTCGATCGAACCCGTCTTTGACAAAGGTCAGAGCAAACGTATTTGGAATGAGCTTTACAAAGTCATGGACTCTTCGGACGTGATCATTCACGTCCTCGATGCTAGAGACCCCGTGGGTACAAGATGTCGAAGCGTTGAGAAGTACCTCAGGGAAGACGCTCCCCACAAGCATTTGATATTTGTCTTGAACAAATGCGATCTCGTGCCCACTGGCGTTGCTGTAAGTTCAACTCAACTTTTCTCCCCTTCCTATTACAACATCACCCCAATGTTTTTAGTCAGGGCGCCTTAGTATTTTATCTTGTGAAGGTTGCCCGTTACAACATTGGGAGAGTAACTGCCTGCTCTTCAACGCCTTTGGGTTTTCCATTGGCTATTCGAAGCCGTTTTGGTGACGATCCCGAGATTTGGCCATGTGTCGATAGAGTTGAATTCTGTCTATGCCTTTACTGGACATTGATTGCAGTCTTCTTAGTTATGACACGCACATTTTTTCCTTTCTGATTTCTTGTTATCAGTTTTCTTCGAAAAAGACTATTTGCTGATGTTTTGGAACAGGCTGCGTGGGTCCGTCACCTCTCTAAAGAGGTCCCGACTCTGGCATTCCACTCGAGCATCACCAATTCATTTGGTAAGGGTTCACTTATTCAGCTTCTCCGACAGTTCTCTAGCCTCCATTCCGACCGAAAGCAAATTTCGGTTGGCTTGGTCGGAGGACCCAACACCGGCAAATCTTCCATCATCAACACACTCTTGAGGAAGAAAGTCTGCACCGTGGCGCCTATTCCTGGAGAGACTAAGGTCTGGCAGTATGTGAGCCTCATGAAGCGCATCTACCTGATCGACTGCCCTGGAGTAGTGCCCCCCTCTACACAAGACACGCCTACGGACCTGGTCCTACGTGGTGTCGCTCGAGTTGAGAAGGTGGAGAACCCTGAACAGTACATTGATGCGCTGCTGGCAAGGGTAAAAAGGCGCCACATGGAGCGGACTTATGAGCTAAGCGGTTGGAAAGATGGCGTTGGGTTTCTGGAACTTCTGGCTAGGAAGTCTGGTCGCCTCCTCCGTGGAGGCGAGCCGGACTTGGGTGGTGTAGCCAAGATGGTCCTAAATGACTTCATGCGAGGCAGGATCCCCTGGTTCACACCGCCGCCGGTACCTGAAGGTGTCGAGGCTGAAGAAGAGACGAGTCGTAGTGGGAGGCTAGGTGAGATGCCCAAGAAGCGCAAGCGCACAGGGGAGGAGAGCCAAGCAGACGATGACGAGGCAGAGGCACAACTGCAGGAGGAGGCCGAACTTGCTTCTGCGTCCAAGAAACAAACCGACGCGGACGCCGAGAACGACAGTGAGGAGGAGTTCGAAGGTTTTGGGAGTGACACGGACGCCTCTGGCTTGGGAGCCCGCTCTCTCGGAACCACCGAGGTCACGGAAAACGATGAAGTCAGCGAGGAGGAAACTTTTGAGGGAAGTGCGAGCGGAGCATCACAGCCAGAGATACCCAGAGCAAACAAGCGCACACGATCACGGAAGTAAGTAACCTATAAATCGAAAATGAAAAACGGCCGGAAAAAAAAATAGTAAAATAGAAATGATTTAATGGTCACGATACTGCATGGTAATATCATCACCCTGCTTTCTCCCGTTCTCTTACTCTGATGATCTTGCTCGTGTTCCTTTCTTGAAGTGCGTCTATAAAGGCCTGCTGGCGTGGAGAGACGAATTATGAAAGGCGTTGGCAGAAGAACGTGACTCTACCGGCCTAGCCATATGTATGCCCTGAACTGTTTTCTGCCTCAGCCACATGTTTTATCTTGTTATGTTAAAGGTAAATGGAGTGGTATTTTTTTTTTTGTGCTACTTTTCGCCCACGAAGCTCAACTTATTCAGCATTCCGAATCCATATTCCCGTCGTCATTTTTCCTAGTGCACATACACACAACGTCCAACTTTTTTTTACACATTACCTTGACTGAAGCTTCTAGGATACCAATATACCGTCATTTCTTGGAAAAGGTATCGCCGAATACAAGTCACAATGTTACATCGATTGACCCCGCCTCAGGTACGCCCAACTCGTCACGAAAATTGCTGACCTCTCAGCATGGCAAACCCTCACGATACATACACGACCCTTATTCTAATACCAATGAAAGACCGGCAGCGTACAACCTCCAGGACAAAAAGTCTCGCATGTTCAGGCGATGACCGGGAATCCTTAGGGTATACTAGGGCCCTCATTCTTCTATCCTCGTACGAGTTTAGGATTGCTAACTGGCAGCTTTACAGGAGGCATTCCAACATCGGCAGAACCTTGCGCCGCAATCAATCGTTTCAACGGGTACTATCAGCCATATAATACTCCTCCTTTGCCTTTTGGTTTGAACCCATACCAGCTCCATTCGCCTTCTCTGCAGGACTCCCCGGGCAAGGCTCCCATCAGGCAAGTCCGCCAACACACGCCCAGTCTTTCCGCTCCATTCGGCAACGCTGTGAGACCCAAGAGCCACATTCCACGGACTCCGTCACCCCTGAAGGCCACAGAGAACTTTCCAGTCTTTATGCCTCCTGCTCATGGACATATCCAGGCTTCAGGAGCCATGAGGAAGCTCGACGTGCCGAAAGGCAGCCAGGGTGGGTATCTTCACAGCTGGGTATGCAAGCAAAACCAGCAAGCCTTAGACGCGCAAGGGAAATATCAATGGGCCCCTCATGTACCTGCTCGACAGGGTTCGCTACGCATTTACGGGTATATAAAGTGGCAGGTCGAGATGGCCTACCTTATGAACTCCCGGGGAATGTCAGGGCCATTCGAAGTTGGCGATTTTCTCTGCCATGTGCGTGGCAGTGATGGAAGCCTAATCAAGGTAGCCCTGAGATTCTACGATTTCAATACCAAAGCCTTTGTTTGGGTAGACAAGGAAACTGGTAGGCCTGTGAGCACCGCTGGGAATCCGGAAAACATGCAGTGTGGAAAGGCCATTTCCGGACCTGGTGGCACATTTGCTGGCCTTCGATCGCCCCAGGGAAGATTGCTCCGTCCTGTTGGACATCTACCACCCGCTAATCGAGAGTCTAACATCTTGTTTGCGAAGAATCCGGAGAGTCACGCAATCCTCAAGCGAGGAAACCCCATGTGGTTTTGACCCAAGATATCCGTTTCTTCATTCAGTGTTCCCTTCACTTAGGAGTGATTCTATCTTTTCAAGGAAACAAGCCTTTGGGTAACATGAAAGGTGGTTATATAATGTTGCGACGTTGGTACACTGGTTTATTGGCATCATTCATTCATACTTTGGTCTTTTTGGTCCGTAATTTGGGACGACATTCATTTTCTAAGTGACTCTGCCTGGATGATTATTAGAAAACTGCTATACTGTTAGGGAAAGCCTCGTTTTATTATTGCTTTAACTATATGTACTTCTTAGTTCCTTTTCGAATACTTCTTCAAGTGCATACAACTGATGAACATGACAGGATATATCATATCGAATCAAAATAAGGAAGAAAAACTATCACATTGAAACACACAGAGAGATAGATACACTAATATAAGCAGCTAAGTCAGGAAAATATTTGTTTTTATTGCCACAAAACTGTGTCAAAGTAGATTTCTGCCAGGACGGGTCGCGAGTAGTATAGGGTACATCTGTGTCTAGATCAAGAGACCCATTAACGAACGCCGTGGGGCGATACGGAAATGGGGAAAGTCCTGGGGAAAGTCTTGGCCCACCTAAAAATCCCCAGTCCAACCTAGGACATTACACATCCAGCGACCGACCACACGTCAAGGACTTGTCCCAACCAACGCCCAGATTTACCATGGGATCAGCTTCGTCTAAAGTCGCACGAGGTGCGCCTCGACGGTATCCATCGAAGCCATCGAGTGCGACATCGCACAAGGCACGACCTGCAGCTGCTGAAAGAACGCCTACAATGGAGAACCGCTGGGTTCCAAAGGCTGGAGGTGAGAACTTAATTGACCAAGGAGCAACAGCTTGCCCCCCCCCGGTCCCCCTTCCGAGAAATACGAGGCTGACAAGGAAACTCGACTCGGACAGGAATGCGCCCCAACGGCATGGACCCAGACGCTGTCAGCGGCGACTTCTCCCAGCGCCTCCAGCAAATAGGGGTTGTACAACCTAGTCCAACCTACTCACAATCATCAACAGCCACCACACACTCAATGCCGAATGCCCCGAGCCATAACTCGTTGGGGTCAGTCGTCTCTAGTTCAGCATCCCCGAAGACTAATGTGACACTGTCGGTACTAGAAGCAAGGCGGCAGATGCAACATAGAGCGGAAGCAGAGTTCGAGGCTATGGGAACCAGCGGTGCACAGGGGCGGAGCTTCGTGGATATGCGTACGCTAATTGATGCCATACGTCTACTCGATCATGGAGTACCCCGAGCGGAAATTGAGAAAAAGCTTCATATGAAGCACGGGCTGCTGAACAAGCTAGGCAGACCAGGTATACTTTCTCACGAAACGACAGCTTAGCTTAGGAGAGCGAGGTGTATGACTTGTAATACCATTATTATTACCCGAGTAGAGCCAGCAATATTAGACAGGAATGCGCCGCGCTTTTCTAAGACTAACCGGACGACCGCAATATAATAAAAGAAGTTCACGTGGTGAAACAGGAATGCCAAATGCCAAAGTTGCAAAACACGCCAACCTTGCCTAGAGCTCTGCGCCCTGGGCTAACCGATTAAAAAAACTCGATACCGAGACTTAATATATACCATCTAGGCGGCCGTCACACCTTTTCTAGATGTAGCACCTGCAAATGCTGCAAATGATACCTTACCAGGCAGCGTGACCACCGTCAATGCGAAGATCGCTGCCAGTCATGAAGCTGCTGGCCTCGCTGACGAGGAAGACACCGGCGCCACGGTACTCCCTGGGAAGAGAGAGACGGCCAAGCATGTTCTCCTTGGGCCAGGCAAGTTTGCGGTCGGGAAAGTCGTCAAAAAGCGACTGAAGCATGGCTGTTAGGATGTACCCTGGGGACAAAGTGTTGACGCGGATGCCGTACTGGCCCCACTCGGCAGCGAGGTTACGGGCCAGCTGGAGAACAGCAGCCTTGGAAGGGTTGTAGGCACTGATTTTGCATGTTAGAATCTTGCTTCTTCCTCAACTCTCGGAGGGGTACTCGGTGATCGGGAGTGTAACTTACGGAGCGTACATGCCCTTGTTGGCAATGGTACCACTCATGCTGGCAATCATGCAGATGCTTCCAGGCTGCTTAAGTCGAACCATCTGGCGGGCAGCGGCCTGGGCGGTCATGAAGGCACCAGTGACATTGATGCTCATCATCCTATCAACCTCCTCGGGGAGATACTCGAGGGCAGGGGTCTCGTGGTTGATACCAGCAGCGGCAATGAGGCCATCGAGGCGGCCGGATTCGTCGGCGATGTTGCGGAAGATTCCGTTGAGCTCAGGAACGTTGCGAACGTCGGCTTGGTGGTAGGTGAGCGAAGTTCCGAACTCGTCACGGGCACGTCTGGCGACCTCGGAGAAGGAGGAGCTAGGATCGTTGGCGGGAGAAGGCAAGCGGTCGATGGCGTGGACAGTGGCACCGGCCTCTAGAAGAGCCTCAGCCTGGACAAGACCGAGACCTCTAGCACCTCCAGAAACGACGACGACCTTGTTCTCTAGGCTGAATTCAGGGAGAAGGTGGGAGCGGGCGGAAGCAGCCTGGCGCACGATGCGCGTGGTGTGGAGAGCGCGTGCAGAAACCCAAGACTGCTTGACAACAGCAGCCACGGGGTTCTTCCTGCAGACAAAGCGTGCGGTGGAGAAGACAGACATTGTGTGTGCTTTTTGTTGCGAGGAAAAAAATAAGACAGATAGGTTCTAGAAGATATGGGATAGACAGCACTTGAAGCTTAAAGAGGTCGAGCCCTGATGGCAAAGAGTATAAGGTTTTAGTGAGGAAAGCGTCAGAAAAGAGATATCCAAGGGATTGGGAACGTAGGGAAGAGGCAGTAAAAGTCAAAATGCCATAGATGGGAGATGAAAAGATGGGAGAGGAGGGATAACGAAGAGGGAGGGAGAATTGGGTTTTTTGTACTCAGTGTTATATGAGAGATGAGCGAGCCAGCTACATCCGAAGACGGCAACAAAGTAAAGGTAGGACATCGTGAAGGGAGCCGTGGGGGCGTGAGGGGGCCGACGGCGGCTGGCTTATGCTGTCGACGGATGTCCTGATCGAGGTGGAGCCACAAAAACCTTTCTCAATACGATGAGAGGCTGAGAGCAAAACTAAAAATGTCACGCGGGACACATACGCGGGAGGGGGGGAACGAATTTTAAGCAGTTGGTGAGTGAGAAGTGAAGGATACGCATATGCGTACTCCGTACTCAGTATTGTGGTGAGTGCTACGAGTAGGGCGGAGAAATAAGCTCGAGTCAATGTCACGGGCGGCAAAGTAGTACCCTGCGCCAGGAGGCTCCGGGCGTGGGAAAGGCGGTACAGATTGGTATGCATAGACAGTCTAGTACTCCTGGCCTGAATTGTGAATTGTAGTCTCGTGTCGTGATACACCCAAGGACCTCGTCCCCTCGGATTACCCTATTAGGTTAGCCGAAATCCCCTAGTTCGAATTGCTCTGCGTCAACCTACTCTAAAACCGGAGCCCCCGCGTTTTGGTGGAAAGTGAGGCCCAACCCCCGACGAACAAGCTTTGCTATGCATGGGACCAAAAGCCCTAAGCCAACCGGCCTACGGGCCCCGAACGCTTTGGCCCACAGCCGTACAGCAGGGCTACAAATGCACCAAGTCTGGTCCTGTAAGCGGGATCATGTAGCGCAATTGGGGCTGCTTGGGTTCCCCCAGCCGTCCCCACTAACCCCTAGGGTCGTTGCCCACAATCCCGCAATCCGTCCCGCAATCGTGGGGGAATTGTTTTCTCGGTCAATCTTCTCTTATTCCTGTTGTATTACCATGCATGCCCTTTTTTTCTTCACTTGAAATTGCGCGTGCCATAGCTGGCACACCCGCGCCACATAAAGCTTCTCGGGGATAATGGCTTAGCTCGACTCCGTGTCGCGTTTTGTCTACTAGTGGCAGTCAATGTGTCCGCGACGAAGACTCAAGGCAATGTAATGCTAGCCAGCTTACGAAGCGCCACGTCTCCTGGAGGTGTAGGCAGTTTGGGAGCTTGATGAATGGGTGTGCTACGAGCCTGGTCGGGACCAGTTTTAGTGCAGCCATGTATTATAGACTAGCTATGCCATATGTAGTCTGTGCGGCGTATAATACGTCGTATAATCACACACATAGTTGCCTGTGTAGCACAGGCTATATTGGGACTATTTGAATCCATCATTGGCACATCCTTTATTCATCTGGCCATCACAGCTAGCAGAAAAGGAAATGTGTTGCGTGGCCTGTGAACCCCCTGAGTCCTAGCTAGCACTACCGTACCCAACACAGCGGCCAGAGTGTGGGGGTCTCATATTCAACTGGAGGGGGGAGAGATCTTTGATTCCCCATGTATCTGTACAGTATTACAGGGTAATGCGGACTTGCGGGGTGTTACTCGTACTTGCGAAGTAATCAGCACTGGGGAAGACGCTGAGTATAGTCGACCGGTGCTGAGAGACCTGGTATATACCTGCCGCTGCCTGTGTACCTTCGGTATGTTTGTTTTAATAATACTGGGTTCGTAAAACGTACGGGTGATCCCCATGGGCGGCACCTGTGTAGGCAGTTGATGGGCGATTCATATCTGAGCTGGCTATCGTGGAAAGGCTCTGTCTGGAGTTGTGGAAACTGGGACGCGCTCATACGCACACAGTAGACAGCCAACTTGTCCTGCAGGGACCTGCAGGGGATGGGGGGTGAGGGGGTTGGTCACCGACTCACAGTGAATGTATTGCCGCTTGAACATACCCATCCATACCATCCGACCTTGCCGTCCACGGACTACTGGTGAGCATACCAGACAGGCCGTTTGGAATCAAGCAGCTGGACCAAACGACAAAGCGGCTTTCATATGGTAATAATGGGTACGGGGTAACTCATACGACGCATATGAAATTACGAAGTACGGGAAAAGAAGCAAGTAATGATACGTAGAGTGTTAATCTATATTAATGATTCGTATTATGGAGAGCAATCCAAGCTATTATTACCATCTACGGATGCGGTCCGGCAAGGGAGTGTCCCCGCTCAAAGGACTCAAAGGAACCTCAGTTATAGGCCCCCCTTGTGTCCTGGCGAAACAGCAAATGCCCAAATCACTTTGATTCACTTCACCGTTGGCAGCAGTATGTGGAAGAAAAAGCTCTGCATGCAACATTTGTAGGGACGCATGATCGAAATTGTGGATTTAACCCTCCCCGTAAAAGGGAAAAAGCGGGGCTAGACCCTTTTTTCTTCGTGTGTGTGTGTGCACTCGTAGCCTCCAACGACAGACCCCCAGACTACCATATCTCACCTTGAGGCTTATTACCTGTAATAGCTACGGTACCACTTTTTCCAACTCTGCAGTTATCCTGACTGTGTTATCCCCTCCTTCTCAAAACGACGCTGCCGGCTTCGTCAATGCCGGCTTCAGCATCGTGACCGCCGAATATAGTTGTACCGGGTTTCCTCTCTTTGGCCATGGTGTCGCCTCCTAAACTCTCACTCGCCGCCATGCCCTTTTTTCTACCTCCAAACTCTCTCTTTTCCCCTATTAATTCTATTTATCTGGCTGCTTCTAGTGAATGGCGTGCTTGGATATAGCATCTCCATCATGCTTGCGAGTTGCCACCTGGGAGCCGATTTCTCAGGCTCCCCGCGTCAAGGCGCTCCATAATAATAGTTTCTTTCTATCCGCATTCTCCCCTGGTTTCTAGCACTGACTGACCAACCCATCGATTGTCCTCCCCGCACTTTGGCATTTCCCGTTTATTTATTTCTTTACTCCTTTCCTCTTTTGTTCCCTCTGGTCTTGCTGCCTAATTGGTCTTCCTCCGTCGTAGGAGTCGTCGTACTCTCCTTCCTTCCCCTCCTTCCCTCACACACCCAGTTGGTTTTCCCTCTCCCCTCACTCTTTGTAGTCACTCGTCACACACGCACATACACACCATTATCTATTTAGAATTCATGGACTTGGTCGAGACCAGATTTACCACCATGAAGCCAATATTGCATTCGAATGTTTACTCAATTGGTCACTAGTCAAGATGCTACTTCCCCTCCACTTTGTTGCTTCTCGTCATGTTACGGAACATAATATTATCATCATATTGATAATGAGAGCATCCGCCAACGGACAACCGTCAACTTTCGTATATAAAAAAAGCTACCATACCCATGGCTCCACACATCTAAAACATTGATCTACTAGCCTGACTCTGGTTTGTTCACACTGATACTGATCTGGCCCTCTATTAAACAGGTATACTATACAATTGTCCCCATAGTTATGTATGGTATTATAGTAAGGTATTGCAGGCCGGAAACTCCAATTTTGTCTCTCAATTTGTCAGCTCTTGGATAATGTTTTGAGTTTTCTTGATCTGACCTGGAACTATTAATATTTCAGTTGCTACCATCCGGCATAATACACTCGATAATAAACAATTGGCGTTGAATCATAGATACACACGTTCCGTCTCTTTCAAGCTGAACAAAAACTAAACGTTGACTAGTATTCATCACCTTGGTTATAGCATAATAACGTACCCTTAAGCACATAGACAATAAAATAGAATAACAACTACTGAATCGAAATAACAAAATCGAAATAAGAACGATAGTTGTTGGCACATCGATGTCAAGGAAGTCTAGGCCATTACTGTCACAAAATTTATCAGAAAGTCAATAGGCATAAATAAGGTGCAGGGTAGGCAAGCATGTTCACTTATAAGCTATATTTCACTTGCTGGGCTGAGGTGATGATTTTTGAAGGGTGGAGAGAAAAAGGAGCGTGTGAAGTATCTAATAGAGGAAAATATGAAGATACAGTAATCAAGACTTTTATTTTTCTTGCCGATTTTAGCAATCCTCGAAAGGTGGATTCGCGATTACGCAAAACAACCAGATAAGCTCACGTATAGTAGTCCGTCGTGTTGATATTGTCGTTATCCCTGCTGGAGGATTATGTCTAATGCTGCGGTTCCGAAGTAAGAAAACCGGTCACCCAAGAATTCCGCCATGCCTCTACCCATTAATCCACTGGAATATGGCCATGCCTGTTGTGTAGACCATGGCGATGATGCCAACCACCATGAGAATGAGGTCTAAAACCTTTATGGCACTGGTCTCCGCCACTCCCTTGTAGTGTAGATATGCAGGATAGATGTACACCAAGGGAACGCATGCAAAGCTTCCAATCAAAGATACAAACTTGTCGAGGTCCGTAGCACCGAGAATGCTGATTCCAATACAGGCGATCATGAGCAATGTCCTGAGGGCATTTTTCTTCCATTTGACGGCCGGATTCTTCGCGCCAGACATGCGTTCCTCAAACAGACTGGTCTCCATGATTCGAACGGCGGGAAAGAGCTGCACAGGCTCGCCTGCTAAGACTGCCATCGAATAGAGGAACTGCACCGCATTGACAACGGGAGAATCCTGTGGGAAATTGGAAATCACTTGGATCTTGGTCTTTTCTCCAAATGTTCCATAACAGAGCGCACCGACCGACGTGAAGATGATAGTAATGAGGAACATGACAAAGTAAAGAAGAGGCCCAAAATGGTGAGGCTTCTTCATACTCGACTGAATCGGAAGAATCAGACCAATTCCCTCAAAGGTGAAGATGGCTGACCCAATAGTCAAGGTCCAAGAAGAAGAATTGAACAGCTGAACACTGGGCTCGAGGCCTCGGGTGGCAAGAGTGGCAACATCATAATACCAGATATAGACAAGCCCAACGAGGATGAAGACGTCTGCAACAAGTGCTACAGGCCCCAACTTCGAGATGTGCCTGATTAAGGCAAGCGGAATGAGAGGCAGAAGCTGGAGAGCAATAAGGGCGGGGATTCCAAGCGCGACGTTATTGCGCCCTCCGGTGACGGCGTCTAGGACAGCAAAAAGATTCTCAGCAGTGAAGACAAGCCCTGCACAAACGAAACCAATTTGCGAAATAGCAATGGACGTGAGGATCAAACTACGAAAGCGAGGGCCAACGATAGAAGCACCAAGCTCTCCATAACCACCGCCGTACCTTTGCCGGCAGTCAAGAAGTAGCCGAAAACAGAGGCAGTTGACCAGGGACACGAAAATAAGCGTCAGCGAGGAGAAGAGAATTCCGCCATTGCGGAAGGCTTTGGGTAGAAACATGATTCCCGTGCCGATAAACGCTTTGAGCAGGGTGAAAAAGGTCTTAACCGTGCTTGCATCACCCTCCCTTGCGGTTCGACGGGTACTACGACGCCGAAGAATATGGCTGGGGCGCGTGATCAACGGTTGTGTTTCGTCGGACTCGTCTCTGTCATCAATGGCAGATTCATCTTCAGAGAGGTCGCTATCCTCCAAATCTTCACCAGCAAAGCTCCCGTAGAGGTCAAGGAAATCGACAAAGCTCTTGGCAATGATCAAGGGGCCACTGTTATGGCGCCCGCGGGCTTGACGTTGTATATAGTTACGCCTAAACCCCCCCGGCTCGGTTTGTTCTGGGTATGTGAGCCCGTCGTCCGGGTGGAGTGGAGCTGAAGGCTGGTGTGAAAAGGTGTTGGCTCGACGCAACGAGTTGGCTCGGGCCTTTATTCTGAACATGTCGCGATGTATATCGCCGCCCTGAAGCTTGAGTGATGACTCGACATTCTCCGGGATAGAGGCTTCGTCTGTTGTACCTCCATTGGTTCCATTGGCAACACTGTCCCTTGTTGGTGACGGCGAATATTTGTTTGTTGCATGCCGAACATTTGACACAGAATTGGACGATGAGGCTTCCGGTAGATTGGCATGAGGTAAAGCAATGAGCCGAGGAGAAAGCATAGGCGATTGGCGTGGAGAGCCGCCAGTAATTCCGGGTGACGTTGTAGATGCCGTTGTGCCTTGGATTCCGAGACTGACGTCAGGCTCAGCGGAATACCCTTCAGGCAGATGTCGCTCGAGAATAGCAGCTTGCCGCTTGCTCGAGTCGCTTTCTGTATTGTCTGAGAGGTCTGACATGACTGGTTCTTTTAAGGCAGCTCAATGACAACAAGAGGCGATGTCGAGTAGCATGATCGAACAGCTTGTTGATCGCGGTGTCGAGCTAGTACCTAAAAATGCCCGAAGGACGTCCACCAGATCAATGTGAATGGGCCGGCGTATCTATGATCCGAAAGCTGCTCATACTCATACATATTAACGTTACGCAAACAGTGTACAGTCTAACGCGATCGCTATGGCAATAAATGTGTGTACTCATAGAATACAAGTGGAAAAACATGACCTAGGTGCTGGTGGCTGATAGTCCTTGCGCGATCTAAGTTGGTACTGCAGTGCGAGCACGAAGTATAGATATCAATCATACGGCCACAACTATCGATGCCCGCGACATATACTCGTACAAGCAGCTGGCGCCTAGGACTCACAACACATGTTGAGCCTTGATGATACCCTCGAAAGCCATACCTCGTGCTGTATCATCCAAAAAGTCATAATAGACCAAACAAGAATTGTCACACAATCGGTTGACCTTGGCACATGAATATACACGAACATGTTGGTAGACAAAAGGGGACTTTTACGAGAATGCTTTAGATAGTATTGAAAACAGCAAGGGGGAGTAAATATCATTAATTGCGAGCCTCTTATTTGATTTTTCTTGTAAACGATAGTAAAAAGCATTATAAATCATACACGAATTAGCGTTAATGTGCCGAAAAGAGTACCAATAATATATTTTTACAAAAAAAAGGCATAAGAGCATCTGCAATAAATTCCAAATTCAATATATTTTGGCGGTTAGTACTCTTATAATGTACATTGACACTTGAAAGTGTTTGATTATGATCATGTTTTTCTTTTTGAATGTGAGTGATATCAACGTAGTCCTAATATTTCAAAAGAGCAGCGGAGTGTAGAGTAGTAACGAAGTATTCTCGATAAAAGGACTTGGTAATATAATTATTTCATAAAGTTTTCTTCAGAATAGAATACTGGAACAACACAGATAACGGTTTTAATGAACATTGTGCACCATCATTGTTTCAATTATTTATATCAAATCGCTTTGAATCACTATCCTGATATTTCGAATTTAACGCCAAAATTAAAAAATCATTCGAAGCATATAAGGCCATACGTGACTTTGAAATATCTTATCTCACTTGAAATAGAAAATTCATACGCGACATACATAGATGGAGGAATATTCTAAGCAGAAAATTCAATTTCTTGAGGAAAATTCGTCTAAGCGATAGAGAAAAAAGCGAAAATGACATCCTTTCCTTTAGGAAAACCAGCTATCTTTGGTAAGTATTGATTGTCTTTTACTATACATACATAATAATTCGTCAATATTTTTGTAACAATAACTCGTTCGTGGACTTTTATAATATTGATTAGAGAAAACCACCCTGTTTATAGCAATTATGCAACACCAACATTGGTTTTTGATATAAGAAACATATGTGTTGTTGCAACGTTGTTTAATTTCATTTCTTTTAATAAAAAAGCGTAATAAATGCTTGCTCAAGATAACTAGTTTTCTGTGAAACCTATTGTGGACAATTCAAATAAAATATCTTGGCAGGTACAGAACTTAGTTCCAGACGTAAATGATTGTGCATATTAGGGAATGAGTCATGAAGATTTTACCAGTAGTATGCAGACTCGGAATGATAAAATAAAGCTTGAATGAATGGCAAGCTAATGTACGACAAAAAGTGGACAGGGTATAGCAATACGTCCGAAGTAAGTTTTGGGGCTCTGAATAGCAAATACAACCATTGTAGAAGATAGAAATATATTGATTATAGTTGGTTCGACCTATACTTCGATATAATTTGATACTACCCAGCAGAATAAACGCTTATTTCTGCGGCCTAATAAACCACTTATAATGCAATATGCTACCTACCCCCCAAAAAAATGTTTTTAGGTCTCTTATATTTCGGATGTAGGGCACTTGAGGAATATTTACAATATGATATATGTTGTTCAATGATGCGGTCAGTGATGCTCTTGACTTAGAAGGTGATTTGTGTGTCAACGCGCCTTGACGGTTATATGGTGGGAAAGTAGCCCTTGTATCTACTTCTATTGGTTTTTTTATTATTAAAAAAACCAAGCTCTTAGGAAATATGTGGCATGCTGAGCATGAAAAGATGGTGTGATGCCGTGGGAAGCAATGAAGTAATCATTAAGAGGATGTTCGTATGTATCCGGCGACGAAGAAATGGTATCTACGCCGATAATTGCGACGAGTCTATGTTATAATATTGTATACATCTAGAGTCCATTACGGGATCGGGGGGGCTAGAGGGGATAGCTTCATAAAACCTTTGGTGGCCGGCACAATGACTATGAAAATAGAAGATGGCGTGAGCTAGTAGTGCTGAATAAAACGGTAGTGTTGGGTCCGACCTTAGGTCATAATGTACTCGTAGAAATACAAAGTGAACCAGCCAATTGATCCATGACATAGTGCGTGCTCTTGTTGGGACAAGAGAGCTCTTATGGCTTATGGACTTGTTGAACGTATAGGAGCCCGTAATCGCCACGCACCATTCAACATGAAGAGTTTAGTGACCAGCTGTAGTGGTAACGTGTACTGGCCAGATTTGCGCTCTGTTGGGTTTGTAATCTCTTCAACAAGAATGGGAAATCCCTAGGTCAAGTCAGTATTGCCAGAACTGATACTGAAGTTTATAGATCTTGATGTGTCGTTTCTTTTGCACCAAAGCACTCACATACAACAGGCACTAGGAGAAAGCAGAAGGTGGGCCCCATCACGTGCTAACACGGCAGTAGCCAGCTGTCCACTTTCAGTCATAGCTCAAGCACCGCTATTTGGGACTGGACGACTGGTTAACGTCTCCTAATATCTACCACGAATCCTTCCCCGAGACTTCCTACAGCTCGATTCAACTGGCTGTGATGCTAGCGAGGCTTCCTGACTACACATCACGTTGAATCCAATCCGAAAACACAGCACATCTCCGGCTTTCGCGCCTACTCATATCGACACCATGGACTACGAAGTTCTCAAGGAACAATGGAGCGAAGTGGAAGATCGCGATGGCGTGCGCTTGAGCTGGAATGTCTTTCCTAGCTCCCGGATGGTTTGTAAAGTACGAAGGCTTTCTCGGGGTATGGCTATTGACACCTTGGCTAGGAAGCATCGAGACTGGTAGCACCGATTGGCGCGCTTTACACACCACTGAAGGAGAAGCCAGATACTCCTCTGCTGCAATTCGAGCCAGTGACATGTAAACAGCCTTGTCGCTCTGTTCTGAACCCCTTCTGGTAAGCTTGACAAATACTAGAAATTGAATACTCTGGCTAACCTAGTTAATAGTCAGGTTGATGTTCGCGCGCGCGTGTGGATCTGCCCGTTCTGTCTATCGAGGAACCCGCTGCCTCCTCATTACAAGGACATCACCGCCAATGCCATCCCCCCGGAGCTTCACCCCACGAATACGACGATCGAATACCGCTTGTCCCGTCCCGCCCCCGCACCGCCTATCTTTTTCTATGTGGTCGACATGTGTCAAGAGGAGGATAGTTTGTCCTCGTTGAAGGACTCGCTAGTGATGAGTCTCAGCCTTTTGCCCGAAAATGCCCTGGTGGGCCTGATCACATATGGAACGATGGTAAGACTACATCCCTTCAGCCACCTAGGGCATTGCTAACCTTGAGACAGGCTCACGTTCACGAAATCGGCTATGAGGAATGCGCGAAGTCCTATGTTTTCCGGGGAAGCAAAGATTATTCTTCTAAGCAGGTTCAGGAGATGTTAGGCTTGACTTCCTCTGGGGCGCGACCTGGCATGCAGCCGCAGCCGGGGCGCCCTATGCCCATGGGCCCGGCTTCTCGCTTCCTTCTTCCTGTGCAGCAGGCTGAGTTTCAGCTCACCAAGGCTTTGGAGGCTCTGCAGAAGGACCCCTGGCCAGTAGCCAATGACAGGAGGAATCTTCGCTGCACTGGTGTCGCACTTAGCGTCGCGGTAGGGCTGCTTGAATCCTCCTTCCAGAACTCTGGAGCTCGAATCATGCTCTTTGCCGGTGGCCCGGCTACCGAAGGACCTGGAATGGTTGTTGGCCCTGAGTTGCGTGAACCCATTCGGTCTCACCATGATATCGACCGTGATAACATCAAGTACTTCAAGAAGGCCCTGAAGGTATGGATGCGCGATATTTTTCTCTCCTTAGTAAACTTATATTGACTTTTGTTTCTAGTTCTACGACAATCTGGCTAAGCGTACGGCCCACAATGGCCACGTCATCGATATCTTTGCAGGGTGTCTGGACCAAGTCGGTCTTCTCGAGATGAAGGGTCTCTGCAATTCTACCGGGGGGCACATGATTCTGACGGACAGCTTCACGTCGTCCATGTTCAAGCAATCCTTTGTGCGCATCTTCGAGAAGGATGGCGACGACAACCTTCTCATGGGTTTCAATGGTGTCCTGGAGGTTCTAACGACAAAAGAACTCAAGGTAACAGGCCTTATTGGGCATGCCGTTTCCCTAAACAAGAAGTCAGTCTCCGTTGGAGAAACAGAGTGTGGTATCGGCAACACCTGTTCCTGGAAGATGTGTGGAGTCGACCCGAAGGCCAGCTACGGTATCTACTTCGAAATTGCAAGCCAAGGGGCGCCTGCCCATCAGCAAGCCCCGCAAAAAGGCATGATGCAGTTTTTGACATACTATCAGCACTCGTCTGGCCAGTTTCACCTTCGGGTGACCACAATCGCACGAAACTTGAGTGGGCCTGCTGGTGATCCAGCGATTGCACAATCGTTCGACCAGGAGGCTGCTGCTGTTCTCATGTCGCGCATTGCGGTCTTCAAGGCGGAAGTCGACGACGGACCTGATGTTCTTCGATGGGTCGACCGTATGCTGATCCGACTCTGCTCGAGATTTGCGGATTACCGTAAGGATGACCCGTCATCTTTCAGGCTGGAGAAGAACTTTACGCTATACCCGCAGTTCATGTTCCATTTGCGCAGAAGCCAGTTCTTACAAGTATTCAACAACTCCCCCGACGAGACTGCTTTCTATCGGCATGTCCTCCTCCACGAAGATGTCAGCAACTCTTTGGTTATGATTCAACCGACGTTAGATTCTTACACCTTTGACCAAGACGGCGGACAGCCTGTTCTCCTGGATTCAGCCTCCATTCAGCCAACCCACATCCTGCTCCTAGACACCTTCTTCCACATTCTAATCTTCCATGGCGAGACCATTGCAGAGTGGCGGAAAGCAGGCTACCAGGACCAGGAAGGCTATGAGAATTTTGCCGCTCTGCTTGAGCAACCGAAAGAGGATGCCAGAGTAATACTCCCAGCATGATTTGATTTACGAGACATAAGACTGATTGACGTTTAGGATCTCATCACTGATCGTTTCCCCCTGCCTCGTTTCATTGTTTGCGATGCCGGAGGCTCTCAAGCTCGTTTCTTGCTGTCCAAGCTGAATCCCTCAACAACCCATACTACTGGTGCCTATGGTGGTGTTGGTGCTACGACAGCTCAGACAATTTTTACCGATGACGTCTCGTTACATACCTTTATGGAACACTTGATGAAGTACGTACTTTTTTTACGTAAAAATGGAAATGGCGACTAACTGGAGACCAGGCTGGCCGTGAGTGGGACTACATAAATGGAGCAACCCTGCCATTGTTGAAATACATCAAATCATCCACTGCAAAAGATACGACAACGAGGGCACGCTGTGTCGGGGCGTACGGTCTTGGTCGATCAAAGAGAGGCCTTAGTTGGAGTTTAGGTATGAACAAATCGATAATAGAACGAGCTCCTGTTTGTCTTTGGTGATCACGTGCTTAAAATGGGAAGACAGACGCAGAATACCTGGAAAGATGCCTATGTCATACTCTAATGACTGATGTATGCCACCCTCGATTAGATACCAATATGATATTACTAAGAGAAAAGCATATGAGTCAATGATTGAAACCAGCGAGGTTATAGTAATACGCATGGCTACTGGTATTAGTATTCATCGTCTGGAGAACATTCGGTGTTATGTGGCGCGCCAAACGTGGCGTCGACCCTTAGCCGCTTTTATTATATAAGCTTGGGTATCCACTCGATGTCGCACTGGCTTAGGGCAGGTTGGTGGGGCGCACACATTGTATTTCCACGCTACGGTCAGCTTTTTTTTTCTCTCCTTCAAGTTTTCTCTTCCGTTCCCACGACCAACTCTTAACTTCCGGCACGCAAACCACGAGCCTCTGCCGTTCCCTCACGACCGCCAAGATGCGTAGGTTTTTGATCGGCTACCTGTTCGCATAAAATCACTGACTTCTAGCAGCTCCCAAGCTCGACCCTAACGAGATCAAGATCATCCACCTCCGGGCCACCGGTGGTGAGGTCGGTGCCTCGTCTGCCCTGGCTCCCAAGATTGGTCCTCTCGGTCTGTCCCCCAAAAAGATTGGTGAAGACATTGCCAAGGCGACTGGTGACTGGGTATGTTCAATGCATTCAAGCTGGCGTGTGAACTTTGCTTACAATTACAACAGAAAGGTTTGAGGGTCACTGTCAAGCTCACGATCCAGAACCGTCAGGCCGCCGTCTCTGTTGTCCCGACTGCCTCCTCTCTCATCATCAGGGCCCTGAAGGAGCCTCCGCGTGACCGCAAGAAGGAGAAGAACATCAAGCACAACAAGTCGGTCAGCCTCGACGAGATCATTGAGATCGCCCGCACTATGCGCTACAAGTCCTTCTCCAAGGACCTCAAGGGTGGAGTCAAGGAGATCCTTGGTACTGCCAGCAGTGTCGGCTGCCAGGTTGACGGCAAGTCACCTAGGGTTATCACGGAGGCCATCGACAACGGCGAGATTGACAGTCAGTTTACCCACTAAGTGCAAATCGCAGTTGGACAGCAAAACTAACAACTAGCAGTTCCTGAGGAATAAATGCATCTTTAATCGAAATGATTCAGAGGTGAATAGATGCCTGTTAACGGGTTTATGGCACATGAATTGAATGGTATCTCCCACTTGTAGGCCGGCGTGACGTGAGAATGATGATCCAACACAGCACCTTGACTTCACTCTGAAATCTACCTCTCTGCTCAATGGTTTATTTCAATTTTTGTACAAGGAAGATTGAACCCTGTCCACATACTCACCGCCACCTCTAGGCTTTCGTGGCCGTATGGGGGTGATGGTCCATTGATTTGGCCTACATGCTTTCTTGGTCGTGATCCATATACAGATACTATCCCATTCGTAGGTTATGTTATATTGGTTGGTAGTTTTTTTATCTACTTCTTCTCAGCCATGAAATACAGTTACTTTCAGAATATACTCATTCTGTCTCGATGTTGTTACTCTTTGAAGCTGCTTCAGTAGTATTGTCTCGTGATGTATCAACTGTTCGGTTTGTTTGAAGCATAGAAGGATTTGTAGCAATTGCGATGAAATTTGTCAAAGCTGCATACGAAGGCAACGTCGCTAATTACACAGGGCACCGTCATTAGCATGTCATCAATGGCAAGAAAGCTGTTAATAATAATACGTCAAGTACTACTATTAGTGTTAGGTGATTTCATTTTAGGAGGTTCCATACTCTCTTGTCCATAACCCTACCTCGACATTTTTTTATGATTTCTCGTTCTTTTCGCATAACATCACAGCGCTGTCGTTACCAGACTGTGAGTAGTATCGCGGTCTCCTTTTCCCTGAACGCGTCCGCCACCATGCATTACGCCGACATGATTTAGTACTGGTAAGCAGTCGACCCTGGAGATATATGAGTTCACTGAAGTATCGCAATACATGAAGAGTAGACCCCTTACGTCTTGATATACAGAAACCACGCTGGACATCGCCCATTTGGGGTGAGAGTTCATCCTGGTGGAACAACAATCAGTGCCGAGGTACAGCCGGTGTCAACAATCACTTCGAGGCGTCACTGTACAAATAATACTAGCAGTACGTACCTCGCTTTGTCTTGGCAGCGGTGGTGTGTCACTGTTGTGTCCACGTCCTCCTCCACCCTAACCAAGGGCTCTGAGATGTTGAAGCCTGTCTTATCGCATCACTCCTCAGCTCTGGTCCTCTTCTTCAGCTATATAACTAGCTGTCTACATATCACATAACATTGACGCCGTCTCCGAATAAATAATTGCAAACAACCACCACCTAGTGTCTGAAATAGCTGGGCGAGTTTGCCTTTGTTGATACCACTTCGTTGGCCATATGGTTGCCGACGCCCTCAGCCCCAAATGCATCGCAGCGATTCTGCCGGCCTTGCTTTGAGGGGCAAGGTGTGAATTTTTGTTGATAGTGTCTTGATTGTTTCTTCGATATTTACCGGCTGACCGGGCACCTACGAGCTACACAAACTACGCGCAAAGCCATGTTGCCGTTGCTCGGAACGCAGCCTCGCGGCATGCCGCAATCCACCAACGCCAGCCCTTACGCACCATCACGCTACCATCCCAGGGCCTTGGACCATCATCAACAGCACCACGGGCCCGCTTCTCAGTTTCCGCGGGCATTCCCAATCAGAACATCTCAATCACACCGGCGAGCCACCCAGTACCCGAGCTCTCCGTACCCCACCCGTTCCGAGCATCGTCGTCGAAAACTCCTTAGCGAATATACCAATGCGCACTACTATGGGTCATCTGTCCGTCCAGTTGTAGGCCCACAGGCCCCGAGAATTCTTATAAACTCTGGCGTCTCAGACTCCGGCTACTATGTTCCTTTCGAGCCGCATTTCAATCCATCGCGAGGAAGCTGGGATTCCGGAACTGGAGGCTCGGCTCATCAAGCGCAGCCAAACTACAATCCTGGCCCGTGGATCTCTGACGATGAGTCCTCAGGAGGCTATGGGCTTCATCAAAGCATTTTCTCCGGAATGCCTTCGTACCAAGCTTCACAACTCGGGCACTTCAATTCGATTACAAACATCTATCAGCCCTTTCTTCGAGCCAACGAATACAATGTCCGTGCCTTCTGCCCACCACCAATACCAACATCCGAGAGTTTGCTATTCGGGTCAAATGGCTGGCAACCAACTCCATTACCTTGGCATCAAGAACCAACCGGCTTGCAGAGTAATCCCCCAAATATGTCGGCCCCTGGAAGGCCACTGGTGGGGTTTGATCACAACCTCCGGTCTACGGATTACACTGGAATCCCAGAATATGCATATGGACCCAGCAACTCCACGTACCCCAATATGGAACGCTTAACTCTAGATCCCGGGTCAGGTTTTAACGGGATCCCACAGCAAGTAGTGACTCATGTTCCGATGGGTTTCAAGGAGAAAGCGATTGCTCAGGCCCATAGATCGTATATGGGCTTGTTGGCATATATGCAAAGCTCCCGGAGACCACCTCAAGGAAAATTTGGTGACCATTCCCAAGGTCCAACACGACGATTCGTGTATCCGAAACCACCCAACCCTATATCGTCTGCAGGTCTAAATGGTAGTTCAGACCAACGCTACTACCCAGAAAGTAAGCCGTTCCGTAAGGACAGTCAAGCGCATCTCGCCCACACGGAATGGCTCAGACGATATCCAGCCGGATACCCTGCACAGCAGACTGACACATCCAACTTCGCCTCACACCCTTCCGACATGCCTGGAGCCCATAACAATCATGACCTGGAGTCTGGGTCACATTTTGGTCCGTTGAATTCAAACAACGTCAGGGACATACATTCTTTTGGCCCTTTGTCGCCTATTGACAGCGCTAAGTCAAGCCTCGAAGTGCTCGGTGCCCTATGTGAACAAAGTGGGTGGCAATGGATAGACGGGATATTGCTTGGCGGCTGCCTCCATTACGCTCTCGAAGACTATCAATCAGCTTTGCACTGGTTTACGAGAATAACGGCCATAAACCCGAGGTAAGTGTGCCACGAGGTAATCAGCCACGGACTGCCGAAACCAATATGCATCTCTAATATTTTATTCAGCCATGTCGTTGCCATCACGGATATCGCCGCAACATTATACTGCCTAGGAAGACAGGATGAGGCCGAGAGGAACTGGCTTAAGGCAGTTAAACTCCAACCCGGGTATTTAGAAGCCGTTGAAAACCTTGTGGGCCTTTTGTATCGCAAACGTAGCCAAGAAGCCGTCGAGATTATTACGTTTGTACAACAATCTCTACGGCTGTTAGCAGATGAATCATCGCACTCTAAACCGGCAAAGGAACGATTGAACCAAAATTCTACTCAAATTTCGGTAAGAGCTCTTGCACCGGCTGAAATAATAATTCACTAATAGGTCTCAGGGCTCTCAAGAGACATTTGGTGCCTTGCCTCCGGCTGGTTTCGGAGCTAATGGCTTTGGCTCGAGTGGTTATGCCCTCCCTGGTAGCGAGAATGGAAGAATTCTTGCTCTATCACATGCTAAGGGGACAATGCTCTATGGGTTGAAGGATATTGACCGCGCTTCAGAAGCTTTCGAGGAAGCTGTGCTTATCAGTATTGGCCGTCGTGCAGATGGGATCCGCCATTTAGTTCGCCGCGTTCAGACAGTTCTCTCGCCACCAATGCAATCGAATAACACGCCACAATCACTGCAGCCCCTTTTACTGGAACCTGAAAGGGCTCGACAAACTGCTCGCCTCGTGTTTCCGGATACTGGAGAGCTACCTGGGTTGGCCTTCGTGGCAGATGGTGCTCCAAAGCGAGCCGCCAGGCAGACGACAAGCAACTCACTCTTGTCCTTGGCCAAAATTTTCCAAGATGCAATGTCGAGCGGCTCATCTGGACTCAGCGTGTTGCAACGTCCGTCGGGTGTGGGTGACATCCTGGCCCTATACTATCTTTCCCTTTCCTTACAGGAAAGCCCGTCCACGGCAAACAATGTTGGGATTCTTCTAGCAGGAGTTCCCCAAACCGCCTCTCACCCAGTATCTATGGGTGGAAATATGGGATTGCATCCCGAAATCTTAGGAGTACCACGCGGAAGTGGCCTTGCTCTGGCTCTAGCATACTACCAATATGGGCTGCGCCTCGATCCCAAGCACGTTCATCTTTATACTAACCTTGGCAGCCTCCTTAAGGATATTGGACAGCTGGATTTTGCAATACAGATGTATGAGCAAGCAGTCTCATGCGATGGAACGTTTGACATTGCTTTGACGAATCTAGCAAATGCCGTCAAAGACAGGGGTCGTGTGAAGGATGCCATCATGTACTACAGGCGTGCTGTGAAATCAAACCCGGACTTTGCCGAGGCCGTCTGTGGATTGTTGACGGCTCTGAACTCCGTCTGCGACTGGAGAGGGCGAGGTGGAGTGATTCTGGATTCTGGACGGCTCGACAGGTGGCATGTTGATGATGATGGAGCATTGGTCGATGCCCAAGGTTCGCGTACCGGGCGCGGCCTAACGCAGCGCGTTGTCAACATTGTTCACCACCAGCTACAAGAAGCTTCGCGCTGGGGTTTCAATATCCTGCAGGAGGATTTCATCTACGCCGTGGCTCAACAACTCTCGGAATCCTGCGACGTTTCTGCCGACAACATTGCTGAGCAGTTACGTCGCTGGAAAGGGAAACCCTGGGAAGGGTCACGCTTCGTCCGTCTAGCAGAACGGGCTACACGAGTGATGTTATGGAAGTGGTATCGCTGCACTCGTTCGGATAGTGCACATTCCCAGTATCGCCGGTTACAGCTGCCAGCAAGTCTTACGATGCCTTCAGCCCCGACGGTCCTCCCGTTTCATACATTCACTTGCCCCTTGGGCCCTAAGGATATCCGGGCCATCTCACAGCGAAACGCGCTCAGAATCACATGCTCGACATTAAGGTCACCTTGGGTTCCGGCAACGTTGTACCGACCGCCCAGGCCTCCTAGGCCTCAGTTAAATGTTGGTTATGTGTCATCGGACTTTAACAACCACCCTTTAGCCCATCTGTAAGTTGCCGCACAGGCCTTGTTGATGGCAATTCCTGCAAAGTTTGACATGCTCACAACCTTATAGCATGCAGTCTGTGTTTGGGCTACACGACCCTGCGCGTGTACATGCTATTTGTTATGCTACGGCCGCCAGCGACAACTCCATCTACCGGCAAAAGATCGAAAGAGAGGCTCCAGTATTTCGTGATGTGAGCACCTGGTCTCCGGACAGATTGGTTCAGCAGATTGTAGAAGATGATATTCACATACTTGTGAATCTCAACGGCTACACTCGAGGGGCTCGGAATGAAATATTTGCTGCTAGGCCTTCACCGCTTCAAGTATCTTTCATGGGGTTTGCTGGGAGTTTGGGCGCCGAATGGTGTGACTATATCCTGGCAGATACGACTGCCATACCGCCAGACACATTACGCCCTTGGCGAAAAAACGTTGGCATCGACGATGTCTTTCGTGATGAGGATGACACTGACGGTGATAGATGGGTGTATTCTGAGAACATAATATTCTGCAGAGATACATTTTTCTGTTGTGATCATGCTCAGTCTGCTGATCCCGACGAACGCGGTATCACCTGGGCTGAGGAACAGAGGCGACGATGGAAGATGCGCAAAGAGCTGTTCCCCCATCTGTCAGACGATACAGTCATCATGGGGAATTTCAATCAACTTTACAAGGTGAGAGGCTCCATTCAGGTACAACATTAGTCGTTGCATTACAATCGAAGCTAACCGCTAGAATGCTCGGGCTAGATTGAACCCACAACGTTTCGGTCGTGGCTGCGTATATTAGCCCAGGTGCCCCAGGCAGTTCTGTGGCTCTTACGGTTCCCTGAACTAGGAGAGACAAACCTTCGCGAAACAGCGAAACTGTGGGCTGGACCAGAAGTCGCTGGTCGACTCATCTTCACCGATGTAGCCCCAAAAAGTCAGCACATCTCGAGAGCGCGAGTGTGCGACCTGTTTCTGGATACACCAGAATGCAATGCCCATACGACTGCAGCCGACGTTTTGTGGTCAAGTACTCCTCTTCTTACGTACCCTAGGTACTCTTACAAGATGTGCTCGCGTATGGCTTCATCCATCCTCAAAGGAGCATTGCCAAAAACGGATGAAGGGAGAGCTGCTGCCTCGGAGCTCATTGGAGACAGTGACTCCGAGTACGAGAGGAAGGCCATTACCCTGGCCGGTGGCTTGGCCTACTCAATTACTCAGTCTGGTTACGGGGAGGGGCGGGGACGGTTGGCGGACATCAGGAAGCTACTGTGGGAGAGCAAGTGGCAATGCGCTTTGTTTGACACTCGGCGTTGGGTACGTGATGTTGAGACAGCGTATGAGGAAATATGGAGGAGATGGGTCGCAGCAGAAGGCGGAGACGTCTATCTATGATTGATCGGGGTAGATTCATGATCTCAGACCGTATGCTACCAAGGGCTGGGCCGACGCGGCGTTTGGATATGGTACTGCATGACGTTACCGCGAACTTGAAATGATGCTAATAACTGCACACATGCCTCCTTATTCACTTTTTTCAAATCTTTTGCTTTCTTATCTCTTATTCCATACGGAAACACAATACCCATCTCACATGCCATAATATATTTATTTTCATTACGTCTTACTTGATCCAAAGTGAGAGCAACATTATTGTTGTAATGGTCGGTGTGTCGCATTGCTGGTGAGCATCCCAAAAGTATTTTTGCATACCCTACACCAATTGTGCTGGTCAACAACGGTCACTCTTCAACTTTTTTTTTTACCCGTGCTTGAGTTGAGGCCTTTTTTGCTGATTGAAGGTTTTGTTTGATGCCCCTGATGGTCGTTCGATGGATCAAGAGGTTTTTCCCACAACGTTGATGGAAACAAGGGTGATTGGTAGCCATGAAGACTTTGTTCATATATAAGAATAGTCATTTCCCTAGATTGAACGAGTAGACTGAGAGCAGTTGCAACAATGATACATCGAGATGCCTATACCTATCTTGACAATTTGCTTCCATCTACCCTCTGTGACCCAGACTGAGTAGTATTGCTTGGGAACGGCAGTGCAACTGATGATATCGCATGCCTAAGGCCCGCCGATTTATTATCTGACCCCCGCGCTCTCTCTTTCTAAAAGCATACAGAATCGCTATGGAATCTCTCCTAGCAGCGTTAGGAATCTGACCGGTACAAAATACAAAGGAGAGGTCTCCCAGGGCGCAGGCTGCCTTTGAAAACGCCATTCGGCGTCTATGACCTGCCCCCATTGCCAGCCGTGTCTCAGTTGAGATGCAGTGATGTAGATCAGAGCACTGAGAGCTGCTAAGGGATGGAAGAAGCAATCTCCTCAATCCTACAGAAGGGCGGGGGCGGGACCCACAAGATGTTGAGGCTGTCACACTCGCAGCCGGTGATGGATTTTAGAAACATGAATACTGAGTTACCGTAAGGTCAGTGGCAAGTGTGGATGTTCTCTGGCGCGTACGTGGGCGTAGTGAGCTAGTTTGTGAACCAGCGTGCATTACATCCTCGCCTTCACCGTCAAAATTTCTCAGATGATTTGCGAGGTTTCCTGTTATCCCGATATCGGGCTCGCCTGCCACATATAGCCCAAACATTGGACTGAAGGAAGCGATGAGAGTTGACGGCGTTCGTTTCTATGGCAGGAAACAATCAATTTGCCAGAGAACAACGAGAGCTCTACGACGGAAACTGGGTTCGGCTAGAAGCCTAAACGTCTGACATGATCGGTGGCTGTCGTAAGCTTCAGCAAGAGCGGGATCTCGGCTAATTAACCGAATAGACTCTGGATCCTTAAAACTCGGAGCACTCTATGGCAAGCCACCGGGGAAAGGACTTGGCTTATCCGGAAGACTTGGGATTCCTGCTATAGCTCGAAGTTTGTAATATACACTAGAGGCTGTTACGCTTGAAGCGCTCACCGTATGTGTCGTTCTTGAGGATAGTGCTACCGCTGCCGTTGCAACTGATGTGTGCTCGTACGACCAAGTTCTCCTTAACCCAACGTAGATGTGCGCACATACTCGTCGAGTAAGACAGCAACATACGCACAAGAGCAAACCGCCAAGACTTGGGACATGAGATGAACTTGGCCCTGTCTTTTGCTACTTACTTGGCTCGAGTTGGGCGGCAGTGTGCGGGAGTGTGCGCGAACCTTGCCACATCGTCACCTCTTCTCTTCCCTCCCTTTCCGAGTACCTCAAGGTACTCTTTGTTCTACCGGGGAACGCCAGCTTTCTTCTAGGTTCCATTGATATATATATATTGTTAGGAAAAAGTAAACGCAATCAATAGGTAAGCGGCACATCCCATGATCGCTACCTGCAGTCAGGAGAAGAGGCATAAGTCGCGCGAGAGTCGCAACCGCTGCAGGTAGCCACATGTATGTTGTCGACGTGGCTCGTGAGGCTGTTCCAATAACAAGGTGGAGATGAATCATCTGGCCTTGGGCATGCTCTCAACTATGTTCTATCTTGTACCCTCTCAGCTGTAGACGGGACAAAGGAGGATGGGGCTACCGCAAGAGTGAGCCCATCTCATGTACCTCGAGCTGGGCTCAAAACCTACGAGTATATGTACCTGAGAGCACTACTTCATATTCGAATCTTCGAGTACGCTGTACTTCCGCTAGTACAAGTACAGTAGTATGCTAGTAGTAAGTCGCGCTACCAAGGGCGATGACTCCGGTCGGCACTAGATGGCGCCGAGACGAGGTGGACAGACGCATCAATACACACCCCTCTACCCCTGTATCCGTAGCGCGGATCAGATCAGATCTCTGCGACGCAGTGAACGACCCAGGTCTCGCCGCCCGCGAAAGGACCCAGGTCGACCATCCCATATTTGTTCAAGTCCTACAGGGATAGTGCGGAGAATCAATGTCCTCGCTGCCCAACGGCCATACCGATTCTGCGCCGGCGCGTTGAACGGATTCAAATCGGCGTCCTACTAGAAAAAAAAAGTATAAGTACATGTAGTGTCTCGGGAGTAGGGACGTTTGAACAGAATGCCATACAATCTCAGCGTCTGTAACCAACCCTCTCCCAAGGAAACAAAAGCATACGTCGCCCTAGCTGGGCCAAGAGCATATTGGAATCAAGAAGCAATAGAAACAGGGGAACCACAAGGTGATGGGAACAGACGCCCGTTTTCATAAAGCGAATTGTCTGCACAATGCTAACTGTAAGTACAACGCCGAGTTCAATTGGACGACAGATTAGTAGACATATGTCAATAGAAAATCCATGCCTTTTGGCTTAGACGCATGACGGAGAAAAAGGGAGAAGGGCGTCAAGGCTAAGAATACAAGCATCCTATATAGGATGATTTGTGTGGGAGCAATACGCTGTAACTTACGAAGAGCCAGACACTCAGAGTTATCTCACCAAGCATGCTGGGGTTGGGTGCGTTGACAGCGACACTACGGCGTCACCGTCCAAGCTAGGTTGGCTGAGATACATAGCAGTACTAATCATTAGTACGGGTACTTAGATACAGCGAGTACGTCGTAGATGTACTCGCACATATGCAGCAGTAAGGAATATATGCAGTCGTCGGTACGTGTCATGGCATGCGACTACTTTTGGCAACGAGGGGGGATGCATCTGGGAGGTTCCCGGATCCAGCAAGGTTGGTGGGAAGCTAAACTCACCGCAGCCATGAGAGAGCGCTCATATTACTGAGACTAAGACGTGTTAATAGAACCTGAACGTACCTACCGAGTCACTACTAGTAATACTACTGAGTAGTAGTATCCCTAGTAGTGCTCTATAAAAGATTAGACACCCCCCCTGCCCTATACGCAGCCGTACGTAGACTGTATACAAGCACACACCCTACTCTCCCCATACACGCCCCCCTCGCACACCTGGTAATATCCCACGAACATAAGTACAGAGGTATAACCTACTCACTTGGAGATCGCTGCACCCCTGTCCTGGTCACGCATTCTCCTCATCATTCGTCTTGCACGTAAACTTTTTTTTTATTAATTTTTTTATTAATTTTTTATTTATTTGCCCTCTCTACCCTCGGCCTTTTCAGGACACATTCATCCCGTTACTTCTTTTGGTTTTCCCTAACCCTTTACCCTCCTGCCGTATTCTAGAGTCCACAGTTCTTTGGGGCTAGACAATCATCCAGCGACCTCTCTTGTCTCGACCTCCCATACTACCGACATTATTTCTTCAAACCATGGCGGCAGTTCACAAACGAGGACCATGGGGTCACCAAGAGGACACGGCTTTGCTCAACCTCGTTAACGAACACGGAGCTTTCAACTGGGTTCAGGTCTCGGCGTCGCTGGGCACACGGACACCGAAACAGTGCAGAGAGCGCTACCACCAGAACCTGAAGAGTTCACTCAGACACGAGCCTATTACCCCGGCCGAAGGTGAAATGATCGAAGAACTCGTCAAGACAATCGGAAAGCGTTGGGCAGAGATTGCACGACGGTTGTCGAATCGAAGTGACAATGCTGTCAAGAACTGGTGGAATGGGAATCAGAATCGCCGGAGGAAACGCAGGGAGGGACAGCGTTCTATGAATGATGGCCGTTGGCATCCTGGTGCATCAACGGGTGACATTATTACCCCTTCGCCAAGGAGTCAGATCGCGACCATGCCTCCCCCATTCTATCATTCTGCTTATACCCACGAGGAACCTCGCCGCAGCTCGTGGGTTGGTCACTCGATGCCATCGCCATCGTCAATTGTGTCGACGGATTCCGAGTTACCTCCCAACTACATTGCTACCCCGGCCCAGTTCCCTTTTGGGGAACTCAGGGAGTCCCTTGAGCTTCCACCGCTGCGATATACCCATAATTCCGAAAAAATCCGGCTTCCTAGTCTCAACGAGTTCCAAGGACAACACCAACTGCAGCCGATCCACGAGTTTCGATCTGCACCACCAATGAATCCCATCCCTCGGGCCGCGTTCTACACACAAGATAGGCCAGTTTCGCACGGATCTATCACCATGGGAGATCTACCAACTGCGCCAACTACCCCGGAGAATCAGCAGCAATGGCAGCAGCCAGCTCAGGCAAACCAGCCAGCGAGCTTTTCCTATTACGCCCCGACAACCCGAAAGCCAACTGAGCCAGCAAAGAGAGACTCCAGATTGAGCTTGTCCTCACTGGTTCACTGATGGGGAAAAGTGTCTTATGCGACACACTTCAGGAAACTTATCATTAATGGGCTTGGGACCCACGAGCGATAGACTTGGTATTAACAGCGATAGTCAGCGATGGTCTCTCTCTTTTTTCTTTTTCTTTTCTCTTTTCTCCTATTTTCTCTTCATCTCTTTCAAGCGATAGGTGTACAAAACTTGCACTGGGAGGTTTATGCCCCGTTAAGGGGCTGGTATTCGGCGTTTGGCGAAATGGA